CTTGAACATTTGAAGAAAGAGTCTTACTATTCGCTTCGTCAGGGGTCCGAGTCATTGTGAATCGGCCCTGGACTCGGAGATTGCAGGAATCGCATACTAGGGACACTGAAATACAGAAAACCAACCTTAGAAAATGACCAAACTACAATACTGTTCAAGAACCTTCAAGCTGAAAGTAAACGCTATATAAGTTTTAAGTTTTCAGGTGTCATCACGCCAACCTTGGAAAGTAGTACAGACATCTCAACCTTGGAATCCAGTACTAACCCGTCATAATTCAGATATACATTTCCTGGGTCTTTGATCAGGGGAATGTGTAAGGTCTCAACGAGCCAGGGCATGACTGAGGGATCTAACCCAAAGTCGGAAGCTAAGGGCGGAGACTGAACAGGGAGAATAGGAAGACCCGGGATATTGAAAGTACGCTCATTAAATCATTCGAGAAGGTAACGTTAAATAGGTATCATATCACTCGGAAACGAGACGGTTAGCCCGCCCCCGGTTTTGTTTGCTATGGTGAATCTACGGAAATAAGCGTCATCCAAGGCCATAAGACAAGACAAGACGCCGTTTCCCAGCTACAGTTTTGGTTAATGTTTTGGTTTACATCCCCAGAGACTGGAGATGGCCGGCAGGCAGCTCAATACCAATGTCTTAAGACATTTAGTTGGCAAGAGCGTGGGCGCGGCGGCGGTCACGCTCCTCAGAGATGGAGAGCTATTGAGAAGGTCAGCAACATATTCAGGTGTAATACACAGGAGTTAGAGTCAAACATACCTTGACACCCTTGCCCTTGGGGAGGGAGATCCAGGGCTTGTCCTGGCCGATGACGAAGACGTTGGACTCGCGGGTAGCGAAGGTGTTGTCAATGGCATCCTTGATGTGGACGACGTTGAAACCACCGTCGTGGCGCTCACGGTGAGTGACAACACCAACACGACCCATGTTACGACCACCGGTGGCCATGGCGACAACACCAGAGTCGAACTTGACGTAGTCGGAGATCTTGCCAGTGGCAATCTCAACCTTGACGGTGTCGTTGACCTTGATGGCAGGGTCGGGGTAGCGGATGCTGTAGGCCAGAAGAAGCACAAGTTAGCAAACCTTTGTTCTTTTTCTCTTGGATCTTACTTGTTCCCGGGGAATGCGTCTTTCGCCGTATCAACCAAAGCTTGGTCCAACGACTGAATGACACGGAACTTGTAGAGTGTGAACTCACGTTCGCGCATCGTGCGTAACCAAGAATGGGATGCCGCCCTTGCCGAGCTGAACACGCTTGACCTTGCAGAGCTTGAACTCAGCCTCCTCAGCCTGGATGCGGTGGACGGTGAAGCGGCCCTTGGTGTCGTAGATGAGACGGAAGTGCTCGCCAGTCTTCTCGAGGGAGATGACGTCCATGAAGCCAGCGGGGAAGGTGGTGTCGGTGCGGACCTTGCCGTCAACCTTGACCAGACGCTGCATCATGATGGCCTTGACCTCACGACCGTTCAGGGCGTACTTGAGACTATCAAAAAAAATCCAATCAGTTTCTGAGTTCTGTCGGCGTTGTGGTTTCGAGATCGAGGGAGTCGTACCGGTTGCGGATGAAGACAATCAGGGGCAGGCAGTCCCGGAGCTTGTGAGGACCGGGGGAGGCCTTGGGGGCATAGGTGCCGGACATCTTGTCCAGCAACCAGTGCGAGGGGGCGCTAAGGCGCTTCTGGTGCTTCTTACTGCAAAGCCATTGCGGTTAGTCTTGAGAGGTTCTTCGAGATCGATTTTTTTTTTCGAGGCACGTCGCGACAGTCTGGAATCGGCGACAATCGCAAATCGAGTGTGGGAGAATCCAGGCATAGTCGTAACGAGTGCTTTGAATGAGGTGGACTTACGGTCCGCGAGCCATTTTGGATGTTGTCGACCGGTGGTGATTGTCGGAAGTATCGCAACGAGGAAGGACTGAGATCGCTGGTTGTCAAGTGCTTTCGCTTAGCGGAGGGCGGGTGTGGGTGTGCCCTAGCCTCGTGACCCTCGCGCTAGTCCGAAAGTGGATACACTAGGGCTATGCTTACGTCATTCAACTCCATTCCATTTTGGGAAAGATCTCGGTGCCTGAGGCCATAATCGCATTGACACCATCTAGTATTGCTCTGGCTATTACCGCGGGTCTAGGAATGAGCTGATGTATTCATGGTATTATTGACATCGCTGAAAGTATCACTTTTCATATCTTCATTTAAATATATCCCTTGATGACCGCAACCTCAGCGTTGAGGATGGATGAGCCAGCAGCACCAAGCACAGTGTTGTGAGAGAGAGCCGCGAATCGGATATCAAAGTAACCACCCTGTTGGCCCTCACGAACACGTCCGACACTGACGGTGTATCCCTTAGAGATATCACGGTCCAGGCGGGGCTGAGGGCGATCGGGCTCATCGAACACCTTGATGGCGGCTTCGGGGGCGGAGGGAGCGCCGAGCTTCTGGGCCTCCGACTGGTACTCCCGCAGAGCTTGCACAACCTGCTCCTCGCTAGGCGCAGGTCGGTTCTTGAAACGCAATGAGACGAAAGCCATGTGACCATCAGTGACACCGACACGAGTGCATGTAGCACCAATACGCAGACCAGTCTGCTCATCGAAAGCAGTGGCGTCAGAGTTAAGAGAACCAAGAATCTTCTGTGCCTCATTCTCCAACTTGTCCTCCTCACCACTGATGAAGGGGATCACATTGTCGACAATATCCATACTGGGAACACCGGGGTAACCAGCACCGGAGATAGCCTGTTCGGTGAAGACCTCAACCTCCTCAACAGGGCCGAACTTGGCCTGAAGGGCGGCAAAGGGAATGACGATACCGATGACAGCACAGTTAGAGTTGCAGATCAGGAAGCCCTTCTTCAGGCCGAAGTGCTTGCGCTGGTGAGGAATCAGATCCATATGGGAAGGGTTCACAGTAGGGACCACCAGAGGAACGATGGGATCCTTGCGGTAGTTCTTAGCGTTGGAGAAGACGGGAATTTCAGCCTTGATGAATTCCATCTCTATTCTCAGTGGTCAGTATAAGCAAATCTAGAAGTCTAATGATAAATGGGACCATACCAGTTTCGCCAGCAATATCGCTGTTCAATCCAGAGAACACCAGGTCACAATCACTGAAGTTGGCAGCCCGGCATTCTCGTAGAACAAGGTTGCTCAGGTTCTCAGACATAGAGGAGGCCTGCTTCCAGCGCACGGCATCCTTGTACTTCTTGCCGGCGTTGCGCTCGGAGGCACCAATGGCGTGCAGTTCCAGGAAGGGGTGATCAGCCAGGAGGAGGATGAAGCGCTGACCAACGGAGCCAGTGGCACCGAGGACACCTGTAACTAGTTAGACCATTATCTTATATAATTTCCAGGGCTGGAGGACATACCGCACTTCTTCTTGGGGTATGCTGCGGCCATCTTGAACTTTTGGAGATGTACGTAGGAGAAGCGATCTTTATAGCAATTAGCTGATGAGGTCCCAAGAATCAAATGTCAATTCAATCCAAGTAAAACAATGACACGTTCATATATCGAATAGATCACAGTCACATCGACCGTGAAGATCCTATGAGTCAAGGCTTCGTCCAGTGCCCCGCATGGTAGATAAGGATCGTTTTGACCTCAATCGGCCGATTAACCACATTGACGTTACATGCGGGGTACAATTGATATCCAGAAGAACAAAGAAACAGCCTAACTTACCACTTTCGCAGTTGACGATGAGGAGTGGCAATTCAACGGTTCTCCTGCGAACTGCGATATCGCGATGCCCCGCGATGACTCAGCAGCACCGGAGCGGGAAAAACTTTGAGCGGGCGCTGATTGGCTGTTGCGGAGTCTCACCGGAGAATGTCGCCTTCTCCGAAAACAATGAGACTTGATCACTTGCTTCTACATCTAATCTCGATGCTTGCGAATCTTCATTATTCGAGGAGCTCAGATCTAACCCAGAGAATAAAATACAAAACAGAGATCATGAAACTCTTATTATGACTCTTCTGATCTGCTTCTGCAGTCTCCATGGGGGCCGGTTTGTGTCATGCCTTTTGCGTTGAAGATAAAATGAGAGCCGAGACGTTAGAGAAATGATTATTAACAAAATAATTCAACACATTACGGCCCAAGGTGCCCCAAAGACTCGACATCTGACGCGAATATAATTTTGCCGGGCTGAAAGATCTACCCGAAGCAATGTTCAAGTTAGACCCCGGTGCCTCCCAAGTTTATACAAAGGCTTGGCGGGGCAACATAATAGTGTATCTTTTTCTTCAAGTGCAAGGCTGGAACTTGAAGATTGCAACCTAATGGTCAAACGTTTTAATGTTCAAAAGATCAAATCTTCAAGTAAAAGGGCTTGAGTGGATGATTTCGGGGTCCACGATGGCCACTAAGATGATGGGTGCCATGTTTACAATCCGGCTTCCCCGTAACCTTCAAGCCCTGGAGGTGGCAGAATACATAAATTAGGTACCTACTATCTATTAAGAAAAACTGGAACTGGAAATAGAGAAAAGACCTGGTAATTGACATGGCACCTGGGCAATCTAAGCATCGGAGCCCTGGTGTGAGTGGGGAAGAAGTATTAACTAGTTTTCGTGACAACTTATGGTACGAACAATGACGAGGCTGTGATAGGTGAGGCCCTCTGAGAATTTTATGCTAAGCCATTTTCAGCCCGGACCAAGTAAGTGGGTTCATTTGATGAATGATCATTGAAGGATACGCGTTCTAACAAGTGCCATCCCAGCCCACGACCCACTTGGCGTATTCTCCCTGATGCTATGGGGCATGATTCATGCTAAAACGGAACTAACTGTTTCGACTTGCCATCCGAGATTATGACAACCATTCCCTCCAGGGCGCGCTAGCCATCATGACAAATATTCCGCCCCCCTGATCTTTATCACCTGGGCATAAGCTACTTGAACTCTGACAACCGAACCTCGCCTGGTATCTAACACTACTTTATATCTACTATAAGTCACTCGGATCGCTTAAAATGGGCAAACCAACCTTTGTATTCTCTCTGGGTGCTTGGGTAGTCCCAAGCGTCTTCGATGCTACCAGATCCCATCTGGAGTCTCTCGGTTTCTCCACAGCGTGCCCCGCTCATCCCTCTATTGGTGCTGAACCACCTTCCATGACACTCGAGGATGATGTTCAATCGTTGCGAGGCGTATTGACTGCATATGTGGATGAAGGGCGAGATGTGATCGTTGTCGCTCATTCCTACGGCGGTGTGGTTGCTTCTTCAGCCGTTGAAGGGCTTACAAAGACTGCTCGGACAGCAGATGAATCGAGCGGTGTCACTAAAGTGATATATCTTGCAGCATTTGCTTTGGATAAGGGGCAGAGCTTGTTAGGAATACTAGGGGGAAACTATTTGCCGTGGATGAAGGTTGAGGTAGGTCCTTTTAATGTTCCCCTTTCTTTTTCGATTTGCAAGCTCTATCGACTCAAAATACGATATTGGAGATGGTCAGATTTCATAGTCAAGAAAATTGAACATGGTACTGATGGACTCGAAAAAAATTAGGGAGACTATGTCCACGCTGATGGTGCAGGTGATGTTGGCTGGCAGGATATTCCTCTTGAGAGCCAAGAGAAATGGAACTCCCTGGCACTCCACACATCTCGTGAGGTATTCTCTGGCGAGTCGACCTTTGAGCCTTGGAGAGAAATCCCTTGTGCATACATTTTGTGCGAGAATGATCGTGCTCTCCCTCCCCCCTTCCAAGAATTGTTCGCTTTAAAAGTCGGAGGCCCGGAGAACACATATCGACTTCCGAGTTCCCACTCGCCATTTTTGAGTATGCCCGGTCGTCTAGCAGAGACACTGACAAAGGCCGCAGTTTGAATATGGGGGCTCATACTGGGGATGATGAAGAATTTCGATATTACCTCGTCATGCTAGGTATATTTTCAAAATATTGTCTTAATTGAACTTTCATCTGAGAAAGAATCTTATTTGCGAAAAATTGAAGAAATTATTCTTTGAAAGGCCTTCTTCCCTCTTTCATCTTTCTTCAGTATTCCAACACACAGAGCGTCTCCATAATTCGTCATAGTTGATGGTCGATGGTATTTGTGGTACTTCTTAGTTGCATCCGACCCACCAATTGAGAGTAGAACTATAAAGTGACCAAATACGTTAGAAAAGCCTCATTTCTCAGCTAAAGTCGATACATAGGGATCGAGAACCTTTCTTCCCCCCGGATGCTCGTGCATGTAATTTGTCAAGTCAAAGATTTTGTCATCAATAATGACCCATAAATCATCACCCATATTATGTGAAGCGACATCATGGACAGAGTATGAAGGCAGAGAAAGCATTTTTAAACCCTTCAAACCCTGGTCGTCAGTTGTGTGACAACTTGAAAGCCGCCAGTCCTTTTTTTAAAAATTATATGGACGGCGTAGTAGACGAGTCCGCACTCTATATCATACATCTAGCACGACTTGAATAAGTTGTGCCCTTTATGAAATTGGCAGCTCCCATGTCATTTCATTAGCTGGCATGAATAATGTCACTCAGAACCTCACGGGGACGCTAACTCTGAGCCCTTCGGACCGAGGCACGCGGCCCGTGATGCTTATCCGGGGTATTTTCTGGGGTAAAAGCGCCACAGAATTTGGCCAGTCCCCACATTAGAACGCTCGTGGACAAGTATTTTTATGATATAACTTCCGAGGTCTTGATTACATCAAATGCCGCTTCTCCCATGCTATTATTGGTCATTGTTATGGTGTATTTCCTGATTTGTGGACCTCATTCGGGCGTCGAAATGTACTTTCGCAAGCCCGTCTGTGCATTTATGCATGCCCTTCCAAGGTTCATACACGAAGGATCCAAGCCAGCCACGAGAGCGGGGGCTCTGACGCAGGGGCTGGAATGCCATTTCTTTTTTATTTTAACAAAAAGGAGCCTGCCGGTCCTCGAAAGCTACTGGGCAGAAATATTTCTTGACACTGGCTTTTTCCTACTGACTGAAAAAATCACCGCCATAGTCCCAGAGCCGTTATAATCAATGCAAAAATACCGACAGCAAAGGGCTCGGAATGCCTGTACCTGGTGCCATCAGCAACGTGTGCGCTGTGACATATCGCGTACGGGGCCTCCCTGCACCAGATGTTCTCAAGATGGCGAAGGATGTGAGATTTGGAGAAAGGATTCAAAGTGAGACTTCTTTAATATATGAAGAAGCCGTCTGGCTGATAATAAAACAGGAAAGAGAGATCCGACAGGAAAGATCGCCTAAGAATGGCCCGATTCGAAGGATCAAACCCCAGCATAGCTAGCGATTCAAACGAAGCCGACGGATACTCAACACTGTTGGCAAGATCAACAATAGTACCTCTGGAAAATCAAAATGCGGCTCTCGATAAATCTTCGCATACTGAAAAGGAAATGAGGTTATATGGTCATGTTCATTTTTCAGAGTACTCATTTCTCCAGCTTTCTTCATCCGCTGGCTTGGGGACTGAGGATATGAACTATCTGGCAACCAAAGGGTGCTTGCAGGTCCCTGCACAGCCAGCACTAGATGACCTAGTGCGCATGTACTTTATGCATGTGCATCCATATTCCCCGATATTGGACGAAGCAAGCTTCTGGAGATCATATCGCCGAGGCCCCTCAAGCGATGAAAGGCCTATGTCGCTCTTTGTATTTCAGGCACTACTATTTGTGTGCTGTACAGTAAGTTGTGCGGAATGATTGAGAATCTTGGATAACGCTCATCAAACAAGTACGTCGAACTAGATATTGTGAGAAAGTGTGGATTTCCAAGCAAACTGGCTGCTAGAAATGAGTTCTATACTCGAGCCAAGGTAATCGCGAGTATCCAACATCCTCTCGCGGCGGTTTTATCATAACTAATACTTTTAGTTGCTACTGGACCTGGGTGGCGAATATCAGGAGTTGGACAAGGCCAGAGGAGCCCTGCTACTTTCATATCAAGCTTCATCCGATAATCCTCAGATTGGAAGCCTCATGCTAGGAGCTGCTATACAAAACTGCACGATCGCCGATAAAACAGCCTCCACGTCACACGTGGCCATGAAAAACCCACTTATTAAGCGTGTATGGTGGTCAATTGTCCTGCGAGACGGATTTATCTCGCTTGCATTCCGACGCAATACCCAGATAAACTGGTCGGATCTTAATCTGAAAGCAAGATTTTTGGATGAGAGCGATCTTGAAGACGAAATAGAAAATTCGGAAGTCTATGACGGAACGGTAAAACGATTCCTTATCAAGATGTTTGAGAGACAATGCCAGTTGGCTGTTATAGTGATTGAGATGATGTCTGCATTCTTTCCACAACAGGACCGTTGCAGCTATGAGTCTATTGATGACATCACGAGGGCTATGAAAGAAATAGAGGATGTCAAAGATGCCTTGTCTTTCTGGGAACGAACAAGTTACGAAGTCCTATCCCCAAGACAACACGCGTGGCCATATGCAGTCACAAATTTCACCAATATGACTCGTGCATACTACTTGTCAGTATTTACCTTAACGTCCTTCGAATTCAGTTATTTCGCTAACAACATGAGCTTTAGCACTGCCGAGATCCACTTGATACACTGCGAAGCATTTATCCTGGAATCAAATAGGTCAATTGCCACAGATGACGTTATAATGCGGATGAGAGACTCGGCGCGGAATCTCAAGGTCGCAGTTACTGAAGTACATCGAGTTTTGGCGTACATGAGTGATAGCCGGAACAAGGAAACTATCCCATTAAGCATGTCTGTTTCTCCCGCAAATACCCTCTTGGTCTACAAATACTCATACCTATGTCTCATATAGGCTCGCTCTTATGGCATGGCCTCTGACTATGGCTGCCATTGATGTGAACCTAGCACAGACAACCGAAGATAATATAAGACGGACGCAGCAGATGACTTGTCTCGGTGAAATCTACCAGTATTTGACCGGTGTTGCTGATGTCACAAGTTTTGTCACTGCAGGGGCGAAGCAGATCTTACTTCTTGCAAATATGGCTGTGCAGCAACTCTTGATTCGAGGTAAAATGGCAAGACCGCCATCAGCGTTGACCAACAGGATTCGTGACGGCAGCCCCCTTGAGTGGGAGAGAAGCCTTGAAGGTGATCAGAAGAATGATCTGCGTGATTGGGTGGACATTTTCAATCAGTATCCCGAAGTCTACCTATTGATATCCAAATCCACTGACTATGCCTTGTCTTGTGGTCGCTTACCGGATCAAGATAAGTTACCCGAATGCCTTCGATCCGCAAATTCTTTCGGTGCTATGGATCTTAGACTACCATGGCTAAATGGTCTCACTATTGACGAGGGAATAAGAAACCGACAGCCAATATCACGCAATGAATTGAGCACAGAGCAACTTCAATCATTTCAGAACGCTCTATCTGAGAAATCTCTACCTATCCCTTTCAAAGGCGTACTAAATTTCCGATCAAGTGTAATGGGAGACGAGGGGTTTCAATCAGGCGATAGCCCAAGGGAGCTACACGGCTTATTGAACACTATTGAAGAATGTCTACCGAGTGATTTTCTGGCACCAACAGTGCCCGAAAGCAAGTATTTTGAATCCATCGACAATCCGAGTCATTCCACCCAATCGCAAAAGAACAGCCTTAGCCCCAGGGAAGCCAATTCTTCAGAAGTATTTCAAACGTCACTTTTGGATCCGGATTATTGGGGCGGATTTGGACAATTAGACCTCCGTGGCGCATATCTTGAACCTGAATTATGGTCTAGTTTTTGAACAATGGGGATCGAAAGGAGGCACTTGAAGAATAACAAATTTTCCTTGGCCTGGTGTCGAATACAGTGAGCAGAAATTTGATTAAAAGATGCTTTAAATGCAAGAACTTGGATACTATTCTTTTCATTAAAAAATTAATTTCGAAGGTCATAATGTGATCTCGAGGAAATAAATGATAGAGACGCTGGAACAACTTCTACCTCTGAATACTCTGGATATGTATCAAGAGTGAAAGAGCCCATCTAATCTATACATTATTGCGCCCTCAAATATTTTCCCATGATAGGAAAAATTGGGGCAAACTTTGACGAATTCTACCAGAATCCATAGTTGCCCTCACGGTCGAGGGCAAATGAAAAATTGAAAGCCCAGCGATTGTCTTCCTATCGTGGCTCGAATGGTCAACCAACGTGTGCCGTGTTGAATACTAGTAGGTTTCGATAAGTGATATCATTTTTCTTTCTGTGAGATCTGAAGCTGCTCCAGCTTTCTGAGTGCCTGGTAGATCTTGGAAACTCCTTGCCATGTGTAGTCTGTGCTTTGTCAACACCAGGTTAGAATAGGGACCAGGAAAGGGATACATACAGCAACCGATGACCATCCAGATAAAGTTGAAAAAGAAATAATAAAACCAGAAGTAATATCTTTCCGGTCGGCAATACTCAATATCCAGCAGACTAGTAGCGTAATAAAGAACATCACCGTAGACTTGGCCTACCGATATGACAATTTGTAAAGGATACCGTAGAGGGTGTTGCGCAAGGATACAGTATGCGATGAAGAATGCCAACGGACCCCAGCAGAACTGAAGAGAAAGGAGTATTAGCAATGGTCTCAACTCGCTTTGAGGAATGAAATTACCGCAGTCACAGCCTCCATAGAGACCAAGAACGCGTCGGAGGTCAAGTAACGAGAATCAGAAAGAGAGTATTCTTTCCACAATTGGTCGAATAAACTTTGACCACTAGCCAATCCTACATGGTTGACAACAAAATGCGCTTCGAAAAATAGATGAATCCATCCCGCTATAATTTGTTAGACACATTGCCATCGGCTTTGTTCGAAGTGGCAGGGGTGAACTTACTTAGACACATCCAAGTAAACGCCACTCGGTCCGCCAAACTTGATCTCGGTCGCAGACGAGAAAACAAAAAGGCAGCTGTGCCCGAAACAGCCACCCAAAAAACTCCAAAGCGAGCAATGAGTGAAATTACCGAGTCCTCGTTCGCGACATAATGAGGCAGACTGATTGAGGGCGGATAATAACTGTGGGAAACGAGGACGGTGTCCGCCATTATACACGTAACTTAGTACTAGTATAAAAAAGGGGGTCTGTATAGATCAGAAGAGCCGAGAGCTAATGAGATTGATTCAAATATAAGCAACTTATCGACCTGTTAAGTATGTGTAGAAAGGTTCATCTGTTCGGCCAAGACATTCGGAATCCGCGGGGCCCGATGGCTGCCTGCGGAACTAGGGGAAACCGAATCAGGCCACAACAGAACAATACTATGTACTACCAGTAGACCGACAACCAGCAGATTGGTTCGGGCTCGGATTCAGTGAAACCTCAAACCCGCACTGCGGGTACGGGTCTGGTAACTAGTTAAACCTGTTACCCATCTATGCAGGTACCCGCAGCCAAAAGCCATGGGTATACCGCAGGATTGCTACATAATTCTTATATGTCAAATAACAATTAACTCGCCGGTACACCGAAAACTCACTTAAGCCTTACACATTGTGCAAGTCGAAAATTGTCATCCTTTTAAACCCTGTGGATCAAAGTTGGGTGAAATGCAGGTTTGGGGCACAGGCACGGGTCCGAGGTCGAAACCCACACCACGGGTATACCGAGAAGTAGCAAGAACGTCTGTGGCTGAGGTGGCTGAAGCTCTGGAGTGGACTGGATTAACGGAAGGTAAGATCAAGAGATGTGGAGCTACTGATGATCATCCTCCAAGGTTGTATGTGAGCGGCGTCTGAATCGAACTTAGCGGCTACGACAATACGAGAAATGTGAGTCAGAGTGATTGAGCAAGATGACATTAAAATTGACATATATTCCTCAATCTTTAGCCACGAGGATCTACTTATAATCTACGTATTCTATTTTACCAATTTCACCCGAAAGAAAGAAAAGAGCGAAAACGAAATTTGGCGCAGCTACAACACATCATCACAGGCAGCACAATGGCAAAAGATCATTCTTCAACCCATCCCTACCGTGCAATACGCGCATCGTTTACAGCCAAAACTATAACTGTCTACCAAGCATATCCTCCAGAAATTTCCAATCCGGCAGTTGAAGCACAAAAGTTTAAACCGCCATTCTCCCGAACCAGGATGACGTGGATCAAGCCCTCTTTTTTATGGATGGCATACCGCAGTGGATGGGCAACAAAACAGCGTCAAGAGCGCGTGTTGGCTATCGAAATCACACGCGAAGGGTTTGAATGGGCACTGGAGCACTCATGTATGAGCCACTGGGATACAAAGAGCGAAAAGACTGCCATGGACAAGAAACAATGGCAGGAAAAGCTCCATGATAGTCCCGTCCGCATCCAATGGGACCCAGAGAGAGACTTTGAATTCAGGCCCCTAGGATATCGCTCTATTCAGATTGGACTTGGACCTGAGGCTGTGGCGCGGTATATTGATGATTGGATTGTTTCTATTACGGATGTCACGGACCTGATGCACAAAACCAGAGATCATGTTGATGAGGGGAATCTTGAGGCTGCGAAAAAGCTTTTGCCAACCGAGGAGACGTACTCAGTATCGGCTGAGTTAATGGAGATTTTACAGGCTTCATGCTGATATGGGTATTTAACTTAACCTTATTTACATATGAATTAGAATGATTGCTTCCATGTATGCTAGGTAGCCACTCTGTTGTGTCTTCTATATCTAAACCCCAGCACTTTCGAGACTTAGTACATCCATGGATGTTGGGTAATAGGATCATTCATCCAAATCGAAAATCTTCCCAGGATTCAACAACCAGCATGGATCTAAGGAACGCTTGACACTCCGCATAATTTCAATAGTTTCCTCTCCGACCTCTTTCCGTAGCGAGTCCTTCTTACCCAGGCCGACTCCATGCTCACCCTAGGGGAAAAAGTTAGTCAAAATCATGTTGAGAGACAGGATGTACCCATACCGTGCAAGAGCCCTCCATCTCAAGGGCACGATCAACCATGTCATATACCACTTTCTCTACCCTTTCTTTCTCCGCTGGATCATTGCGATCATACATGATGCTTGCATGGAAATTTCCATCACCAATATGACCCAAAATGCTAGCAAATAAACCAAGGTCGTCAAGTTCTTTCTTGGAAATTTCTGTACCGGTCAGCGACACATTGAATATAGCAGAATAGTCAAGCATAACATACCGATAATATCAGGAAGACGAGAGATCGGCACGGCCACATCGGTCGACCAAACCTCAGAACCCTCTTTGCGAAGAGCCATCATACTCCAAAGCGACTGTTTACGCGCAGACCAAAGATCATGAGCCTCTTTCTCGTCCTTGGCAAACTGGAATCCTTGCGCATTGTTGTTTTGGGCCAGTTCCCTTGTCAAGTTGATATTATCTTCAACTCCAGCCGAGGTCCCGGAAAACTTGAAGAACAGGGTAGGGGAGACGCTCCATGTTCGGCCCGTTCCACCAGCACGGTTGATAACATCCATCTGAACATCATCCAAGATTTCCATACACTGGACCTGAATACCTCTCCGAATGAGCTGTTGCGCCGTCGAGGCACAGTCACGAATAGTCGAGAATGCCACTACGCCAACACGGGTTTGCTCAGGGATAGGCGCCAGTTTGAGAGTCGCTTCCGTCACTATTCCCAGCGTGCCCTCCGAGCCGACAAGTAGGCCTGTGAGGTTATACCCGGCCGAAGTCTTGCGAGGGCGCCGGCGGGTTTTGATGACTCGGCCATCGGCTAAGACGACAGTCAAATTGATAACCCAATCTTTCATGGTACCGTATCGCACAGCATTTGTTCCACTGCAGTTTGTACTGATCATACCGCCGATCATAGCCGAAGGGCCGGGATCAACGGGGAAGAATAGGCCCGTTCCCTTAATCTGCTCGTTCAGATCCATCCAGCCGATCGAGGGCTGAACCACAATGTCCATATCATCTTCGTGGATGTCAAGGATCTTGTTCATCATTGCGAAATCAATGGTCATGCCGCCGAACGGGGCGGAGAAGTTGGCTTCCAGGCTCGACCCGCCAGAGAAGGGGATCATGGGCATGCGGTATTTGTGGCAGACCTTGACGATTTTCACGACATCTTCGGTTGTCTCGGGGTAGGCGATGGCGGAGGGCAGACGGTCTGCGTTCAGACTGGACCACTCGGAATAGCCGTGTCGATGGAGGTCATCTTCATCAGTGGAGATGGTGTCTTCGCCCAGCATGGCTCGTAACTCGGAGATAGCCTGCGATTGTCAGTCATTGAAGTGCAGCTTCCAAGTGAATCCTAGCGCACCTTTTCGAAATCTTTCACCGAGCCATATTGAGGTTTTGTGGGAGTTTGGGGAGTTTGGCTGTAGGTAGCGTAGCCGTATCCTAGCCCTGCAGCGGATGCAGCGATCGTAAGGGCCCGAATTGGTGTCCAGGAGGACGCCTTAGGTGATGATTGAGACCTAAACTTTGTATATTCTTGCTTTTGCTCTTCCTTGCCAGCACCACCGCTTGAACTGTTCATTCGAAGGCTCGTGGTTCTGGCCCAGCCGGCAGGTTGGGGAACGCGGGGGCGGCCGCACTGGGGAATGCGGGGAGTGGAGATCCCCCGTAGAAGAAGGTGCCGCATGGTGATAGAGGTAGGGCTAGAGGTAGGGATATCGACAACGAGGAAGTGGGAGGTTCCGAAAGACAATTGAGATTCGCAGAGGCACAAAATACTCCGAATTGCTAGAATGAAAAATTCCCACTATTCCGATATTCCGGGGCAAAGATAGAGCGACTTGGATTTCCCCCGCTCGACTCGGACTTCGGCCGAGAAGGACCATTTCCGCTAGCGTGGGGGTAATGGGGGTGTATGGGAGATGGGGGTATCGGAGGGATTCAATAACTGCGACGGAGTATTTAGCACTAGCCCGATTACGTTGCCTACAGATCTGGTTTTTTCTAAGACTGTCCCTTAACATCAGCCAGGCCGATCAAGCATATTGACTCATATGTACAAAATAAACACCCACCATGGAAGCTGGATGTCTTGCATCACCAGAAACAAAATTATTAACAAAGAAAAGACTCAATTCCACACGAGCTCATTGCGGTGCCGACTTATCATCTGACCCCGAGAACGCTGTACTGGTAAAAATGAAGTCCCGCGAAAACTCCATATCCAAATCCAAATCCAAGTCGTGAAGACAATTATCCTCGAAATTATCGGTCGGTGCAACCATAGGCGGGTTATTCTTTGCGACATTGGCAGTCGGAGACTTGCTCGGACTATTGAGATCAGCTTCGCCCAAAGGTTTGCGAGTCAACCGTCTTGCAGACTCCGAGATATGGGGGCTCGACTTGGATATCGGAAGACCCTGTGGTCGGGGTTGAGGCTGCGATGGATGCGAAAGGCGATTTCCTCGAGGTCTTTTAGAAGTGCGTTCGTTTAAATTCGAAGTCATGGACTCGAAGGATTCTACCAATTGTGAATCTTCGTCGTTGTATGTATCGAGGTGGTGTGCTGCTGGTTTAGATTGCTTCACGCTCCTTGGCTGTTGGAATTTAGGCTCCGTCTGCTGTGCTGGCTGTGCTGAAAAGCCCATGACTCCCATCAAACGACCAATATGTTGCTGGGCCTCGGAAAATTCTCTGGCCTTAGCTTCTCGTTCATCTCGCATGGATTGAACCTATACAAAAAGTCAGCGGGGGCCCGAATTTCTTAAAATACTCTTGGAAGCTGTAGAATGGAGGGCTCTGTGTTACACACCTTCTTCTCCAGCTGCTGCATGCGCTTGTCCTTTGCCTGGATCTTCTTTGTGGCCTCGCACACGCTATCCTTCATCTCGCGATGCAGGCGTGTATTTTCTTCTTTCAGCTTTGTGGCCTGCCATGGCTTTGTTAGAAAAAGATCGAGAGCGAAGTAATTTTTGCGAGACGTACCTCTGCTGTGATATCAGAGATTTCAACCTCATGCTTTTGTCTCATCGCCTCCCTCTCCGATCTCAATGTTTCTTCGGCTTCTTGTAGCGAGTTATGCAGCCTCTCAACTTCTTGGGTATGTTCGACCCTCTGCAGACACCAACTGTTAGCGTACCCATTAGGTTTGAGGGCCAGTATAGGCTAACCATAGTCTTCATATTCTCCGACTCCATTTGAAGGTCCTTATTCGCCGCCAAGAGACGTTGAATTTCGCCCTCCTTCTCAAAACATAGATTCCTATGTTGTTCTAATCCTTCCTTGTGCTCCTCGACATCACGTTGTAAAGATGCAACTGTTTCCGATGAATATGCCTTTTCTTGCATCCCGGCATCGAGTGACTGACGCATCTTTTCGTTATCAGACTGGAGACGATGCAGCTTCTCCTGTAGTTCTTCTAGCTGATCGTCCTTCTCTGTTGAAGTAGCCATTAAATCAAGTTCCCGTGATCGAGCTCTTTCTTTTTCCAAATGAAGATTCCCTTCGGAGTGAAGCATTTGCTCCTGGAGCCCGTCGTTTGCGGAGATGAGCGAGGCAGACAGCTCTTCTATGCGATTGTATGCGCTTTCGGCTTGCTTTTCCAGATGAGCCATCTCTTGGCGGAGATCGGACATCGCCTGCGCAGATTGCCTGCTAGCGTGTTCGAGGTTGTCATTTTCGCGCCGGAGCTGCTCCACCTCAAGCATATGTTTATTCCGGTCTTCCTCGGCAGAACGCAGGGGGCCTTCAACATCATAGCAGCGTCGTTCCATATCAAAACAAATATCCTCGACCTTTTGCAGCATAGAATCATTCGCCACCCTGGAATTCTGCATGAAGGTATCAGTGAGTTGAGACCGCCAATCTCGATTCGGGTGCTGCTGCGATGAGAATTCTCGACGATCACGGAGGAGTAGAGAGCTACGGAATTTGCTTGGCTCCGCATTAGCGAAAAAAACACGTTTCGAGTGGCATTTGCACGCGTCCAATGAAGGACTTGATAATATCGATGTCTCTGCCGTTCCCGTTTTGAGATAACGCGGCCGCAAAATACATCTCAAAAAGGTTTCGCAGGATCTTATTCTGCAACGCAGTGTAGGCGCAGTAGCAAATTTCTGAGCCCTCGCACTGGGCTTGGTTGGTTTTGGACGGGAATTGGCCGAAAAGACTGGCGATAGTCTCTTTTGTAGACGTTGAGCTTAAGAAGGAGGATATAACCTGCTGGGACTCGGCTTGCTGGAAGCTTGAAAGTAATAGATTTGCGACATGCAGATTAGACAAGGATCCACGGTTCATATTGTTGTCCTTTACGGCATCGACAGTGAATCGGAGGAGCTCATAAATGATGGACTCATCGCAAGTCTAGTATTGTTAGTTATGCCTTGAAGAAGTTAAAAAAAAGCATACTCACAGCCAGGGACTGTGTCAGGCGAATCACTAGGTGAGATTCCATAGTGGTCAGAGCTACTCGGCTATCTCTAGAGATGAGAAGCCGTAGCCCCAGGTTGCGAATTTGAGGGGGAAAGTTTGCAACCGGACAAATGGACAACAAGAAGGTCAAGCCCTGTTATCACAAAGTTAGATTCAAGTCAGGCAAGAAATACACACGGTTTAAGGATCCATACCATGAGCTGAACTTCCCGATTCAATCCATCTCGGACCACTTTATCGCACAGTTTGGCAACCTTCGACGAGCCACTCGCAACCCAGGCATTCTTCTGGCTAGTGTCAATTTGATCAACTATGGATATGGCGAGGCGGATGCTCTCTGCGGCTTGGGAGGGAGTGAGGGAGCCGCTACTTGAAGAGCAGGCTAGGATGACTCGCAACACAACCAAATCCAAGGTTTTCTGCCCGCGTTTAGGCCCGAAGAAATGCTGAATGTTTAGAAGCCAGTTCGGTGGCTCTGATCCGTGTTGTTTAGAGGGGCTTTGATGTTCTGACTGGGTCGATGCGATGCGGGAAAATGTAGCGAGGCTCATGAGGATGCCCATATGGTCTTCCATGTTGCGGAGGGTTTTGGTAAATTCAAACTGCAAGCTGGCCATTATGTCATCGGAAACAAGACCACGGGGGGGCATTTAAAGCTCCCATTATCGTGTACAGAGGGGCCACAGTCTCTGCGCAAGGGTTGCCTGCCATGTCTGAAACCAACTTCGTGATGAAGCTGGGAAGGCGACCGGGTGGAACCATGGTAGATGGAAGAGGTGATGAGAGTAAAGCAACGCATGCCGTAGTGTACTAGTAGGGTCAGCTTATCGTTCCCAGGGACTAGGTTGATGTCACCTACGTCCGACTCCCCAGAATCCACGGCCTTCTGAAGGAAAGTGTCCAATGCAATCGGATGGCGATTCAGCAACGCATCTCGGAAGAAAGTGGTCATAGCTATTGCAAGTTAATTCCAGGCGCTGATATGTATTTCTTGTAGATCATAAGCTCACCAAATGTGGAGAGTAATCGCAAAGCAACTCGCGATCGCGACAGGCTTTCCACCAGGACATCCGCTAACAGGCCCACTTGGCACGGTTTTTGCAGAGACCATATTTTGAACTTCGATGTATCTAGATTTTGTGCCAAATTGTATAGATCCTAGATGCAGTATTAGTGTCCAGTCAGACACGGCAAGATGCTGCTATGACGTACCTGGAGCGAAGGCACATAAGGGGCGGTAGTGATGCGCTCAATCTCACGAACAAGTCGCGTAAGATCCTCGGCCATGGTGAAAACCGTGCTACCTGGTACACTCCTCACCGGCAGGTTTAATGGTCAGAGGTGGTCCCTTCAACCCGGTTCAAGTTATGTTGAGAAGAGAAGCAGAAGTGTGTACGGCGGCCGTTGCCCCTGCAACCGGGCGGTCAATGGATAGAGCCACTCACAACCTTTAGGAACTTGTTTCCGATCTATATCTTTTTGCACTAACTAGTTACCACAATTCATACTACAGTAGTCTATGGTAAAATTCAGATAGATTGGATTGAATCAGTGACCCAGAAGTTACTATTAATGCGATGTGACTCTTAAGTATCAACATGCGCACACTGCTTACATGGTATCCGGTTTGTGCATGATCGCGTTTGCTGGACCCCTTTCAATTGAGTATCAACCAGACAGGAAGTACTCTCCTTAATATTTCTCTTTTTGTTAAAAATCTCAATAGTTGTAGTTCCTGGGGAATACCGAATTGAGCATATCGCCAAACGACTGCCTTGAAGTTGATATAGTGAAAACCATGTGATTAGCGGACCACTCCTTCCCTTCAGTCACCTACTTCACTTCACCTTCTTCACCTTCTTCGCCTCCTTCGCCTTCTTCGCCTTACTCCATCACTCACTTGTCTCCTCCCCCCTCTCGTGCTCTAAGCAATCTCTTGAAAAGCCTTCCTGCTCGTCCACTCATTCTCGACTCACCTGGTGACCAAAATTGCCCTTGACCCCATTTACTGCTGCCCACTCTTGTCACTCGTATCTCTGCGGACAAGTGTTTGAATCATGGCAAATGAGACAGAAATCGCCCAGGGGGTGCATATGGTGTCCTTCCCGCAAGATATGTCCACATGGCGGATCTGGGAATCGTTGGCTCTCAACGTGTTCAACATCCCCGAAGGCACGAACACATTTGTCCTCTGGGATTCTTTCAAGAAGGAGGGCAATATTACCAGTATAGACATATTTGATAAGAGACTGGGCGATCGTCATAGCAAAGGCCGTATCCGCTTCAGGTTTGTTTCTATTTATACTCATATCGCTGATCGTATAGTATAGCATCCCACTGACTTCATGACTCTGCAGACCCCCTCCCTCATCCGAATTCTGGGCCACGGGCTCTTACATTATCAAACTCCGGAACAGATCCGAGGTAACCGTTCGCCTCGAACTCAAGACCAATGATCAACAAGGTTTCATGGATAGTCCCGTACGCCCTGGAGTGAGATATCCTTCGTTTATGGTAAGTGAACTCGATTCAAAAGTATCCATTATTGCTTCGCCGTATTAATTGGTCAATTTAGGATTTTTCTGTCATGAAGTTCGACGTATGCGTCTTGAATGGAAAAAATACCTTTCACGTCATGCACGCTTTCAAATATTCTCTAAGAGGCTCCATCGACATCCGCCGACGCGAACTATCTGTCAGTTTCACTGCCAACATTCGTGATAACAGAATGTACCTCGGCCCTTCTCCAAATCCAGAAGAAGAGGAGAGTCTCTTCCAACTGAGGGTGAAATTCAACCAGCTCGATAAGCTTTGGGCATCCCATGATCCCGAATCCAAGGTTATCTCTTTTCTCGCTATTTTAGAGCACCCAGCCCTCTTTTTCCGTCGGCTCAAAAACGTGGAGCCTACCTTTCAATCCGAAACAACGTGGAAAGAATTTGATGCGTGGCCTCGGCAGACTGCTTTGGTACACAATCCCGAATCACTTGCTAACCAGAGACTCATCACCAATCTTTACCGCTCCGGTCAAATTGTTGATATCGGTAAGTAATTCCAACCTTTTCTACAATGTGACAATTCTCAGCTTCCTTCTTCTCTAGGTCGGTGGAATGTCTTCCGGGTTACCTTGTCTTCCGAGACAGTCGAAAAGGGTGTTTTTACACTTTTACACGACATTTTAGGCGATCATAATGTTCCGGTACAGAATGATTGCCCCTATAAAGAAAGTTTCCAGAGACCCAAGCTGGTCTGGGACTGGATCAACCATTCGCCTCAGAATACAACCACACCGCAATCTACGCTTGGCAATCTAACAGATCGGGCATATGTTCCTTTGGAATTCGCTGTTCGTTATCAATTAGAAGTTTGCATCTCAAATGGATGGCTTTCGGAATTTTGCATGACTCGAGAATTTGTTGTCAAATTACGAGATCTCGGAGAAAAGAACGCTCGAAGACTGTTGGAGCATGTCGACACGGAAAGAACCACTTACCTGGATCCCATGAAGATTTTCAACATCAAAGTCTACAAGGGAGTCAGTGATGCAAAGATCCCTTCCTACTGTTCCTTTATGCGAAGTGCTCAAGTCACTCCGACTACAATCTACTACAACACCCCCACGGTTGATACCTCGAATCGAATCATTCGCCGCTACATCGAACATGTGGACAATTTCCTCCGCGTCCGATTTACGGATGAGAAAAGCATCGGTAGAATATTTTCTACCGTGGGGGATTCCCAGGATGAGATTTACACCCGAGTCAAGAGAACTATGGCGAATGGAATCACGGTCGGTGATCGTCATTATGAATTTCTCGCATTCAGCAACTCTCAGTTCCGTGACCACGGCGCGTACTTCTTCGCACCGACTCCGCATCTGAATGCAGCGCAGATTCGGGCCTGGATGGGCAAGCTTAGCCATATCAGGAATATAGCAAAGTATGCTGCAAGGTTGGGTCAGAGCTTCTCTACCACTCGTGCATTCGGGAGTTGCAAAGCCGATATTCGAGAAATCGAAGATATTTCCCGGAATGGCCGCGTGTTCTCTGACGGAGTAGGGAAGATCTCCAAGTTCTTGGTCTCCATGGTTGCGGAGGAGCTGAATCTCAAGAGCCCGGATGGTGAATTACCCTCTGCCTTCCAATTCCGACTTGGTGGGTGCAAGGGTCTGCTTGTCATTTCTTCAGATCCTGGTCACTCTGAGATTCATATTCGACCGAGCCAACTGAAATTCGAAAGTCCTCATGTCAAGTTAGAGATTATTCGCTCTTCACGACCCTCGGTCGCAACCCTGAATCGGCAATTGATTCTTGTGCTTGCTTCTCGAGGGATTGCTGACCGAGTGTTCCACAAAAAGCTCAAGCAGCACCTCGAGATATTTGAAGAGGCCATGATGAACGATGAAAAGGCCACTGGTATGCTTCGGAAATACATCGATCCGGAACAAATGACTCTCACCCTCGCCCAGATGATAGACTATGGCTTCAGACGAACAGAAGAGCCATTTGTCTATTCGATGCTCGCCCTATGGAAGACCTGGCATCTCAAAAATCTCAAAGAGAAAGCCAAAATCGTGATTGAACAAGGCACATGTGTTTTCGGCTGTATTGATGAGACTGGTTTCCTCAAAGGCTATCTTCATTGCAGAGCATCAAATGAAGAAGAATCTCTGCCACAGATTTTCATACAAGTCTCTCAGCCCGAGAAAAGAGGTTGGTCTCGGAAGGTTATCACAGGCCTCTGCATCGTCGCTCGAAATCCTTCACTTCACCCAGGGGACATTCGGGTTGTTTTAGCGGTCGATGTGCCAGAGCTGAGGCATCTACGAGATGTTGTCGTATTTCCACAGACTGGTGATCTAGATGTTCCCGGCATGTGTTCCGGCGGGGACTTGGACGGCGATGACTATGTCGTGATCTGGGACCAGGACTTGATTCCATCTAAGCGGAGTTGGTTCGAGCTTCCAATGCGACAAAATCCGAAGAAAGCCCCAGATCTTGACCGGGACGTGACCGTGGATGAAGTGACCTCATTTTTTGTCACGTACATGAAAAACAATATCCTGCCGTCGGTAGCGAGAGCTCATTTAGCATGGGCTGATATTCTTCCCGATGGTATTCGTGATGATAAATGCGTTCGTCTGGCCCGACTTCACTCCGATGCTGTCGATTACAACAAGACCGGAGGTGCTGCAGTGATGACCCGTGATCTTGTTCCCCTAAGGTGGCCACACTTTATGGATAGGAAGAGTAACCTTTCAAAGAGAGATTACCACTCCACGAAGATCCTCGGTCAGCTCTACGATGCAGTCGAGAATGTCAATTTCGTTCCTCATCTCACCATGCCATTTGACTCTCGGATTCTGGATTGCAAGCCCGAACTGAAAGAGTTGAGCGAAGGTCTCCTGGACTATGCGAGAAGTTTGAAAGAAGACTACGACTCGGCCGTGCGCCGGGTAATGGCCCAATACGAAATCCCGACTGAATTCGAGGTGTGGTCCTCCTGGGTCATTACCCACAACGGCTCGGCCAACAACTACAATATCTCCGAGAAAGTCGGCGGACTCGCAGACCGTCTTCGAAGTGGTTTCCGCCAGCACTGTTACGAAAAGATGGGCGGCCGTTTTCTTGAGGCGCTCGCACCTTTGATAGTGGCGATGTACCGCGTCACTCATGAAGACCTCATGACTACTCAAGAAATCACCCCGTACGATGATGAATCCGATTATGATGAATCCGAGCACATGGACTCCGGTGCGGCCAAGACTTCTCTCATCAGCTTCCCCTGGATGTTCTCCGAGTACCTGGGCAAAATTGCCCAGCGGCATTATGATCTTGACGCCATCACCACATTCGCTGCCAACAAAGCAGACCGACCCGCGGGCAAGATATACACGCAGGAAGAGGCGATGCGACTTACTGCTGATTTGATAATTGAGCAAGGGTCGGGAGGGCCAAAGGTTGAAACCCTTGAGTGTGAAAACGATATGGTTGAGGAGGTATTGGAAGACGAATTCATTGCGAAGCCATCGGCTCTAGATAAACTGATCGATATTATGGGAGAGTGAGGGTATTTTCGGCTTGTTCGGTTCCGAGGTTTCTTTCTTCTTCAGTTGCATTTTACTCTCACAGTTCAAGGGATTTCTCCTAAAGTAGTGCAGATTTAGAAAGTCTAATAGTATCCATGTTCCAAGATATTTTTTCTTCCTTTTTTTTTCCAGCTAAGTATTCAAGCTTTACCTGGGTATCGCCAGGAAGCTCTCCCGCATAGAGTATTTCCAACACCATGACATGAAATAACAAAAGTTGTCAAAAAGGCAGGATTAATATCGCATGAAGGGCTTTTCAAAGTCATTCAAGAAAAACCAGATCACCAATCCAGCCCCTCATCCCCTTTTTTCTCCAATAAATCAGCGACGGGTCCCAAAACTCCTCTTGTGTGACTCAATCGAGCCACATCTCGAGTACGAGAGTAAAAAACCGGGCAGTCAATGCTGTTGCACGCAATTGTGTCACCACAAGGAACCCCCATGCAAGAGCGACAAACCGCCTCAAGGTCAACGACCCGTTTCTCAGCACGCTGTAATCGCGAAACGACATCCAGAAGTGAGATATGCGGACGAGAAAGACAACCTGCGCAGAGCGGCACAGCTGCATCTAGCAACTTCTCTCGGCAAATAATACACGAGGAAGAGCGCATGTATGATTCAAGGGTCTTTTTCATGGCACCGGATTGCATACCCGGCCGTGGCACAGTCGAGGCTGTATTATCCACGCGCCGAATACGCCGGACTTTGGGCATTTCGTCGTACCATTGCCGGACATTCGCGCCGACAAGGTTGAAGATTCGCTCCAGGGGCGGGATGAGGTTTTTGGTAATGTAGTAATCTGTATCAAGTTCAAGCTGCGCATCGTGTAGCAGCGTTTCGGGCGCAACGCAGCGGTCAATGAGCCTAGACCCAGGTGCGCCGGTAACGACGACATATGGCACACGCTCGCCATACTGCGGTTCTAAACGGGGATCCTCGAGCATGCGTTTCGTGCTAATCATTGCGCCGGCGGGCATTGTTCCACGTTCACTATATGTGCCCAATTTCACTTCGCGGGCGAAACAGAAATCCTGTATCGAAACACGGCCCTGCATGATTTTACTGCACTGGCGCTGGAAGTAGGACTTCACTTGGCTGAGGTCTGCGGTTCGGAAGAGAAGTTTCAAGGCTTTCTCTTCTATCTTTTGTTCGGCGGGAGTGCCGTCTCGACGAACAGTTTCGATGCCCTTGGCGTCGAATTCTGGCTCGGTTTGGGCGCGATGCTCATATTTGAACCCGACGTAGCGTTTCTTCGCTAGCAGTACACACGGGTGGTAGACCTTTTCGAATTTGAGCTTCACGGGTCGAGGGTTCATTTCGGTTACTGCTTGTGCAATTTCCTCGCCGATATCGAAGGCTTGGTCGCGGGTTCGACCTTTGAGGTAGACGAACAGACTGTCTGTGTCGCCGTAGACAACCTCGGCGCCCCATCGTTCGATTGAGTGAATGAAAGCGATGGCTTTCTCAAGTGTTTCCCGCCCTGACTGCACGATGCTGTCTGCTATCTCAGAGCAGGGCATTCGGCCAGAGTACGAGGCGGAGGTGTATCCGTATGTGACATTCGCAATCAACTTGAGAGCCAGTTGCCGATTGTTGAGAAGACGTTGCAGGATTTTGTCGTGTTTGTCAGCCTTCATACCAGTCTTCACCATCACGCGGGTTTCGAGGATCTCCGTAAGCATTTTAGCTAAGAGTGACTTGCGCACTTCTTGCTTTGCGTACATCATACCGTTTGGGGCAATGTTAATCTTGTCTTTCAAAAGCTCGAGGAGACGGGGTTGTCGCTTGTAATCTAGAAATCCCATCTTGTCCCGACCACGCCAGGATGCTGCTCTCCCCAGGAATGTCGAGTAACAGTAGTTATAGGCAATCATTATGCTAGGGTAGAGAGACTGGAAATCGAGAACCAGAAGGGGGCTAGTGTAGAAGTCACTTTGTGGCTCCATAACCAGTGGTAGGCATTCAAGCGCATTCTGTTGTCCAACCTGCTGTTTGCTCGGGGACACAAGCAGAAAATTCTCCGGCTTGGCAATTCGAAACATCAAGGACTCAACTTTGAACTGAGAGCCGCGAGAGAAGACCGAGTAAAAGTCAATGCCGATGAGCCTAGCTTGTTCACTGAGTCGAGGAATAAGCTCATTGGCCTCGAGAATTTCTAGGTTCATCTGCACCCGAGAAGTGAAATAGTCTACGAGTTTGTAAACCTGACGAGGCTGTCCGCTCTGGTACCATTGGGTGAGATCCCGGTGGGAGTAGTGCGGTATCCGGCGGTGCAGTAAGTGAAAAACAACGTTCTCCATGGTATACTGCAACAGGTTCATCTCGCCTTTCATGGCACGCCATATATTTATCATGTGTCGGCCGGTCATTCGGATAGAAGAAGCATGTTCGAAGCCCCAGCGGTCATCCTCTTTCCCGAATTTTCCGTTGGCTTGCGATTTGACCCTAGACAACTCCTCGCAGAGATCGAAATCGTACTTTTTTCGCGCGCGTTCGATCACATAGCCCCAAGAACCGTTGTGTACTTCATATCCCGTGATGATATCAGGATCAAGATCACGAACAATATCAACCAATCTGTTAATCATATCCAGTTCTGTTGACTCATGCTCTAGTTCGACTCGTAACGCTTTGGAGATCTTAGCTACGGGGGGTTCCCCTTCGCCTTGGTATATCATGCCAACATGGACGCCAGGAATGTGACTGTTAACCTCGATGTCATCATCTTCAGACTGTATGCACCAAAATATGCAGGAGATTTCATCCTCCTCGGGGTTAGCCGAGAGAGCTCCACGGGTGTTGACATGAACTTCCAAACTCATAGTGCTCATATACTGCGCCTGGTGCTCCACGCTTGTCTTTGCTTTCTGTGAATTTTTGAATTCCAGTGGTTTTTGGGTCGGCCCTTCGATCTGCGACAAGGCATCCACCTTTGTCTCAATTCTCGATGGAATTGGCTTTTCAGGTGCGGAGTTTGTCACGGTATTCGCTTGGGTACTTTCAAACCATTCGATCACTTCAGAACGACTAGGAGGCACTGCTGCAAACTCCCAAACTCTAGCAGTGCAAGACTCTCGCATCTGCTGGTCGGCTCTTTCTTGGCGCTCGCGATCGAAGGAACCGGTGCATTGCTCACCAAACATCGCAGGTGAGTTTCCTGTCGGATCAAACTCAGGGAGGAAAGGTATTGTGTCGCTTTCGAGTCGAAATTCCCGGCCAGCACATTCCCGGGGTCTTTCAGGCACATCTGATTCTTCAGAATAGTATGCTTTCTGATAGACAACAGATGGCCTGCCATAGTCATTCAGAGTTTTGGAGACCTCAGTCGAGCTTGGGCCTGCAAACTTGAAAATCGCCAACGCACTATCGGGCGAAAATGCAAATGAATGATGGATATTTTCTTTGAGTGCTGCGATATGCGGATCGAGTGCGGTTGGTTCCACAATTGTCGAAGAGGATGGAAGAACTGAAGAGCCACCAAGCGCATTAATCTGTCCTGATGTACTCGTAGTTGATCCCGAGGGAAAAGAACTTGGCATTTGCTGAGATAGTCTATTCTCCTTTGAATGCTGTGAGTCGTCTTGACTAAAACGTAAGATGGTCAAGGGATCATTGGGATCCTTGACCACTGGAAACTTCAACCTGCTGTCTGACATGTGTTGCTTCACCCGGATGGTCTTCTGTGACGAGGACGACTTGGGGTCTGACGCTGGTGGCTCGAATTGTAGACATGAGCTTTTGCTCACGGTTTCTCTATCCCCTACCTCCCCAGTTTCTCTGGTGATTTCTGACTGATGTGGGCCAGAGTCATCCTCCACAAAGAACCTCGGCTTTTTGAGGGGTGGTTTATAAGAGCCAAAGGCGCCATCGATAGAGTGCTTGAGGGATAAGCCTCCTGGGCGATCTTCGCTGGGCTCTCCTTCAAATTCAACATCTGGCCTGGGTAATTCGCCGTGCTGTTTGTCTTCCAATGCCACATTCAGAGGATCTATTTCACCAGACGAACGGAAGGGCAGATTGGTTGAGAGTTCATCAAAAACACCGTCATAGAAACTTTCATCCGCCGGGTGGTTTGCAACAGCATTATTTTCTTGGCCGTGAATATCCTCTAGTGCTCCATCTGAGTGGTCGAGATCAAAAAGAAAGCTGTCATCAACTTGAGAGGATAATGCAAGGCTTTCATCAACAGAAACCGTGACTGACTCGTCGGGTACCTGCGGGTGGTTATACATTGTAAAGCTGACAATTTTGTCCGGATAAAAGTCTTCAACGCTGCTCAATGAGGTCTTGACATTCTTTTCATATTGGTTTGTGTCCAAAAACTCCTCAAACGATGTATTCTTCTCCTCAGCGTCCTCCTTCTCGGCCAGGGCGATTTGTCGAGCCATCTCATGAAATTCATCTTCGTGAACCCAGCCAGCTCTGGACTGGTCCCTTGAATTAGCAGACATCGAGATGAGCTCATCTGGAGCAAACGGCGTATTTCCGGGGTTAACGATTCCCATTCTTTTCTTGCGTCGCCGCGTCTCATCTTCCCATAACCCGGCCACACTCGGGACTAGTCGCTCATCGATGACGGCCGGTCGGAGCATTTCCGTAAAATCATGGTGAAGAGGGCGCTCCTTGACATGAGATCGATTCAAAATATCTTGGACACAAACATCCACTTCCAGCGCGCAGTGGCTTTGTTTCTGAAGGGCTGGCCCGTCAAGTATACTTTCTGGGTCGATCGTTCGATCATGCCACCGGTGGTTCAAGTTATTCATTTCCAGATACTCTGGCACTGGTGAGCGAAACCTGACTATACTGCAGTCCATATAGTTGCAGCCGGACAAATTGTAATCGCACATCCATTGAGGAACGTACCCCAGGTGACTTTCGTAGGGCTGTAGGGGCCGCTTCATGACAGCCCCTTGGTGCAGAAGATCGGCAAGTCGACCCTTGTAAGTTGGGTTGAGGAGATAGATTTTAAGAAAGAATCGGTATCCGACATGGTAGCCATAGAAGGGAGTTCCCTTGACCAAGGTGATGTGCGCCACGAAAGCAGTCTTCCTGTCGTAGGCGTTTCGGCGAAAACTGACGGCTAAGGCATGATCTATGGAGAGATGCAGTGTTTGAATAGCGGAGCTTACTATAATTTCAAATTAGCTGGCTACTCGTAGGGTGCTCTAACGGGCGTCTATGTACATACCCGCATCGGGCGCCAAAGACCCATTGTATTCGATGTAGAGATATGGGAATGCGCCATGAACATGTACACAGACCCGTTGACCTGTTTCAGTAGCTCCAAAGACTCTGATAACAGGCACCCTAGGCCTATAATCTTTTTCAAAGACGCCATCTCGAATAGGCAGTTGAGGATCAAGTTCCGACGCGATCGCCTGATAATGGTCGATGCAGTTGAGGCGCACGCGAAAGGGCTCCATCAAGCTGGGTAGACTCAACCATGAGCCTCGGTGTCATCGCGCTGAGTTTCTGCTGGAGCATTGCATTGAGGAAAGGTTGAAATGCCGCCAGGGTTAAAGAATTCACGCGCGCCATTTGTGAGTGGATCAAGGCATGCGGCGCGTGCATTGCATCAGCGGAACGCCAAGTCATGTGATATCTGATCTTGACGGCCCAGCCACTTTTTCGACCTCGCCTCATCTTCCCCGGAATCCATGTTCCTCCTTGGGATTTCTCGCGACATTACGAATCGTTCTCGAAAATATACGCCTGCTACCTCTGGGTAGCAACTTAAGTCATCATGTCTCGAAAGCCCGCCGATGTAGCGTCCAAGCAACCCAACGAATACATCCCGTCCTTCATCTCAAAGAAGCCGTTTTACGTCGATGACGACGATGAGGGCAACGATTACCTGGAGCATCAGCGTTTACACAAAACAACTCAAGATCAGTCAAAATGGTATGATCGGGGAAAGCGCTCTGGTCCGGCTGCGACCAAGTACCGAAAAGGCGCATGCGAAAACTGCGGCGCCATGACACACAAGACCAAGGAATGCCTAAGCCGCCCGCGCAAACAAGGTGCCAAGTGGACTGGCAAGAATATTGAAGCGGACGAGGTTCTTCAGAAGGTCGATATGGGGTGGGATGCCAAGCGAGACCGATGGAACGGCTACGACGCCAGTGAATACCGCCAAGTCGTCGACGAATACGAAGAACTGGAGTCTATTAAACGGGCGGCCAAGGAGGGTGCCGATCTTCAAAAGCTCATGGATGGTGAAGATGGCGAGGGCGCTCTGGAGGAGGATATTCGCTATGCTGAAGAATCCGACATGGGTCGTCAACAAAGTACCGCCACGCGCAACCTCCGCATTCGTGAAGATACCGCCAAATATCTCCTGAATCTCGATCTCGATTCCGCTAAATACGACCCAAAGACACGACGAATGGTGGATATGGGTGCACAGGAGGATCAGGCTTCTGCACTCGTTGCGGAAGAGAACTTTGTCCGTGCCTCTGGAGACGCAGCCGAATTTGAAAAGGCCCAGCAGTACGCCTGGGAATCACAAGAGAAGGGAATGGCTCAGATCCACTTGCAAGCCAACCCCACCTCGGGTGAAGTGTTACGGAAGAAAGAAAAGGAGGATACCGACACCAAACGTGAGGCTCAACGCAAGGCCCTCTTGGAGAAGTACGGAGGCAGCGAACATCTACAGGCGAATGCTCTTCGTGACACAGCAGTAGTCGAGAACGAACGATTCGTGGAGTATGATGAGAGCGGCGCGATTAAGGGTGCCCCCAAAAACGCCACCAAGTCCAAATATGCCGAGGACATTAAGGTCAACAACCATACATCAGTATGGGGTAGCTGGTGGCACGCCTTTAAGTGGGGTTACTCATGCTGTTTCTCTACTGTTAAGAACAGTTATTGCACAGGTGAAGACGGGAAGAAGGCGTTTGAAGATGAAGGCAACCTATTGATGATCGCGGAAGGCGGGGACAACGAAGATGAGCCTCATCAAGACGCTCAAGACCTTCAGTCTGAACCTGCGAGTAGCTGGGCGAAACAAGAAGACTCCAGTGCGAACGGGAAGAAGCGTACGCTAGAGGAACTACGAACGGGGATCACTGAAGAGGAAATGGAGTCATATAAGCGAAGCCGATTGGCAGCGGACGACCCCATGGCCAACTTTATTGGAAAGGACTAAGTCAAATTGGAGGATCTTCATCTTTTGTCATTCTGGGCGTTTCTCTGTACCAAAATACCCCTTTATATTCTGCATGACACAATGGAAAGCCATTTGCATTCAACTTTAGAATCAGTAATCTCGAGATGCTCTTCATGTACTACCCTAGCTACCCTAGAGCGGGGTGTTTCCATAGTTAAGATGATGGGAGGGTCAAGATTGCCCGTGAGTGGGTCATCGATGTCACGTGGACTCTCGTGCACAGTCCATGTTTGCGTCAGGTGATGTCAAATCACGGGACTCAGGGCTTGTGCCCTGGATCCCGTGATGTGCCCACACCACTCGCTTAGCCTGGACACCACCACCGGAACTTTCGAGATACGCCTAAGCGACGACGACCACGACAACAGCCCTTCAGCGGAATCGCCAGGTACGTTTGCATGCCGAACCTCCACACGATAAATCTCGATCGCCTTACTGACATTTTCTTTTTTCTCTCTCAGTTCCCTAATTCAAAATGAGTACGTCCGATGCCGAAACCTCGCACCGCAAATCAACGCAACATCGAAACGATCCAGACTGACAACCACCACAGCTAAGGGTACCTCGAGCTTCGGAAAGCGCCACAACAAGACGCACACTCTGTGCCGTCGTTGTGGTTAGTATTACACCTCCCTATCGAATGTCATGTTTCCATCCCGGCCCCGAAAGTTTTCGCAAACCGATATTTCTCGTTCTCTTGATTCGATTGATGGAAGTTGTGGGCGACACCGACGGACGCGATGGGGTGGAAACATCGACACAGTCTCACATTCGGGACAAATTGCTGACTGATTGTCTTTTTCGCAAATTATAGGCAAGCGGTCCTACCACATCCAGAAGTCGACCTGCGCCAACTGCGGTTACCCTGCCGCCAAGACCCGCAAGTGTACGCATATTACCCCCATCCTTGGAAGCATCACGATATGATTTGGAACATGAAGTCCGCTGGACAACACCATACGGAAATGGCATTTTGGGGAAACAATTCGACTGACCAGTTTTTTTTCTACGCAACAGTCAACTGGGGTGAGAAGGCCAAGCGCCGCAAGACCACCGGCTCCGGCCGCTGCCGCTCCCTGCGCTCCGTCCACCAGCGCTTCAAGAACGGTTTCCAGACCGGTACCCCCAAGGGTGCTCGTGGCCCTACCGCCGCATAAATTACCCGTTTTCCCAATTCGGCGTCGCGTTTTTGTTCTAGGAGAGGCTGGAAAGGAATGAGGGTGGGCATCAACTGGCATGACATGGCCTAGCATTGCGAGATAGAATATACTCGAAATGCAACTGGCAATTCCGGAATATTAACGCTTTCCCCGTGGAGTTAGTTGGTGTGATGCGAGTCGTCGAGTCTCGCCCTTTCTTTTCTATTCTCCTACTTGGCCGCTGGCATTGAACCACGAGTCAAGGGGGGAAATAAGATTGTGATGGCGGGAAAAGTTTCCATTTTTGTTTCTCTTTTCTTGAGGGAAAGAGAGATGGCATAAAAAAATCAAAGGGAAAGCGTGCATGAATTTCCTTTTTCTTCCTCGTTTATGGCTGGCGAATATCCCCATGTCGTGACAGATACAAATGTGAAGATCTCTCTTCCTATCACCTTAGACGTGTTTTCTCCCGGTCCCAATCTTCCGTCGATCTCATTTCTATGCCCAGATTGGGGATACGTAATGCTGCAGTTGATTCGACTTGTGTGGAATTCCTTTCTACCACTAGAGCTCCTACCGAGAGCAAACTAACCCACTAGCAACCATTCCTTCAAGACTCCCCACGCCCAAACACCCGGACTCCGCCATCTCGCTGGATGTAGAACAGCAGTTCTTTTTCCTCGAGATTCTCCTCTGCCCCAGTACTCCAGCCTCCACCGCGGCTGATCCGCAACACCCCACTCACGTCCCTTGCGGCTCCGGTCTCCAGAGTGCGGAGCTGCATGACCGACTGAGCCCGATGCGCCAACCCAATCGCAAATGCGGCATGTTCCGACTCGACTGGTGTAGACATCTGATTGCTTGCAACCGGTGCATTGTGTAGAAGTGGCGAATCCGCAGCCAACGTCAGTACTGTAGCATGAGCGGCCTGTCAAAAGCATTAGCGTTGTTCCGCGAGAGGTTGTCCTTATCGATCTCTCGATCCCGCGACGACATACCTGTTGTAAACCTGTCGCCCAATCCATCATCTCCGTCGCACCTATCGCATAGCTCGGGCCTGTAGACGCAAGTAGGAAATCAGGCTGATCAATTATCAAAAGAACCTCGTCATCTTCTGCTGTCTTGAGCTTTGCAATGACCGTTGAGATATCCCGCTCCAGTGCGTCCAAGGCCGTCAGTCCTTGTCCAGCAAAGTTCAACTTCTTGGCGACTCCAGGCTCCGAATTGATAGGCCCACTGGCATTTCCCTGCCCTATTGGGTTATTCGCTTGCGCTGGCGATCTCCCGGCAATGTGCCGGGCTGATATCGAAGCGGGAGTGTGGTGCGTGCCGGTGCTGGGCTCCCAGCGGATAGAGTAGGTAGAGTATTACCCGCGGGCTTTGGGGTGGTGAATAGCTCTGAGAGGCCATCCACATATGCGAATTGTTGCTTGCCTGCCAAGCGAGTGAGGTCAAGGCCCTATAAATGTGTCAATGGGATGGAAAGATTAAAGGCCCGGTTCAGTTGAACAGATATTCAGCAATTTCCATCCGCAAAGCTTCTACTAGTAGTAGCCGTGAAAATCAAAGATACAAGAAGCTTGGAAGGGTCTGAACTCACCAGTCGCTTGGCCTCTGCCTTCCAGAATTCCCAACCCCGCAGGAAGCTCACAAGAACGACTTTTTTCTTCTTGCTATCCGGGGAATCCTCGAGACCGATGAAGGCATTGTTTGACGAGTTGCTCAGGGCAGCATGTAGAAATCTCAATATCAGCCAATTAGATGTTGCGCCGAGAATTGAGGAAACCAGCGTCAATGAAGACTCGGGTTGGGTTGATAGATATGGCGCAAGGAGGGGTGGAAGTGGGGGCTGAGAAGGCATGATGATGCTTCATTCGCCGTCTGATGATTACTGTGAGAACTGGTGGAGCAGCTCAATGTTTTTGACGGGGAGTGGATCTTGTTTGGAGACGTTTTATCTCATTGATTTTTGAGGTGTGAAGTTGATGATGCACAAAAGGGAAAAAATGTAGGGGGGACGTGATTGGCTGACCAGATATCCCGCGGATTTGCCAAGAGATGAGCACTTGAAACGCAATCGCCTTCACTTTTCGATATCGACAGCTTTGGGGGATTATTGATGGTGAGTAGCTTATTCTCAATGGAAATATGCTCTTTTGGTGCTCAGATTGGTAATTCTCGTTTTGGAATTTGTACTGGGGTTCGCAACGGTGCAGCGGTGCTCAACGGTATATACTTCAGGGTTCCCGCATATATGTAGTATGGCTCGGGATGTGTGACCTGTCAAATCATACAATTGCTACCTATGTAATAGCTCAAATTTTATCTTATTGTACATCTCCGCAGCTGTTCATTTGAAACGTTACTGTTAAGTTTATTATTTTGACAAAGACCTAATTAATCACATACTAGTATAACTGTGAGTGTGCATCCCCCCATTACTTCTCATCTTATCCCACCTGAATCCGAAACCGGACGTCTGCCTCAGGCCGCCAAGTGATTTTTTCGCGCATATCACCTGACCATTTCCCCACCATCGAGGGGAGCGTTGGATGCGGCTTTCTGCTCATCATGTCGTGAGCCGATTTGATCAGAGTGGATCTATGCTTATTCTAGCGCCGATCGTGAGTTTTCCTTGATCCCGCTCAATCACCCCGACTACCCTTCACCCCCTCATGTTACTTTGACTACCCCACTCCCGCGCCGGCGTGGCTATAGTTACATTCCACCCCACGTTGCTTCGGCTCGCCACAGAGTCCCAGCCGCCAGGGCAGGCATCAAAACACCAGTGCAGTTTACTAACGGGTTGAAAGATGACTTCTGTTTTGTGCCATGATCAAAGCGCATTGGACACATGTTACAAGGAATCCGCCTTGCCTCGATAAATATGGCTAGCACCCGTGATTCCCATTCTTTCGCTGTACGTGTCGTCTTACCTGCAGCCTTCATGTCAGGACTTGGATCTATAAGAAACCTGATGCTCCAAAAAGGATCATAAAACTGACGGGAATGTGAACATAGTGCGACGAGTGCCGTCTGCGAAAGTCAAGAGTAAGTACTACCATGAACTTGCCCGACATTTTATAGGCATCTAGCTCATTAATCACTCTAGTGCTCGAAAGAAAAGCCGGTTTGCCTCCAATGCCGGCAATTAAACAAGGAGTGTAAATATAGCCCGAAAGTTTCTCGGAGCCCCCTAACGCGACAGTATGAATTTTACCTCGTCCAGTACTTTCAGAAGCTAGACCAAGCTAACATTATATAGACACTTGACTCTCGTTGAAGATCGCTTGCATTCGTTTGAAACAGCACTGAGTAGGCTGTTCCCAGGAGGTGACCTGGATGCTACCCTCCGATCTCTTTTACAAAATCCCGAGGGGCCTAGAGCTCCTTCATCCAAATCTTCTTCTCGGCACTCAACACCGGCTAAGCCGGATGCCGATAGGTCAGAGCCAGCTCCAGAAGCTCTGCCACAACAGGCTGATGGGTTTGACTGGGCCGAGAAAGAACTCACACTTGGTGACCTGACAGATGGCATGGCCGCGTTATCCATAAAGCCCGAAGGAGCTGGCTATTTTGGTATGCAAATCTGCCTATATCAATTACTGATTATGTATGACTGACGCTTGACACACAGGCGCTTCATCAAGTGTGGTTCCTCTTCGGGCACTTTTTGATCATGGCTTCGATCTGAACATTCCCGTTCGCTCAGCGAGGTCCGGAGGAATACCACTCAAGGCACAACTCCTGGAAAGCGCCCCATCTGGTCTCATTGAACAAGCCTTCATCGACGCCTATTTCCTCAATTACCACACCAGCTACCCGTTCGTCCACGAACCAACCTTCCGCGCGCAGTTCAATGACCCTTCTCTGCGGCCTCATGGTACCGCATGGCAGATCTTGCTCAATACTATCCTAGCACTTGGAGCATGGAGTATTGGCGATGATAGCTCTGATCTTGACATTACCTTTTATCAAGAAGCCAGGAGCTGCCTACAACAGTCCTCCGTCTTTGAGACTGGAAATTTGACTCTGGTCCAATCGTTGTTGTTACTTAGCAACTATGTACAGAAACGCAACAAGCCTAACACGGGCTGGAACTATCTGGGATTGGCTGTTCGAATGGCCATGAGCCTGGGACTTCACAAAGAGTTCCCTGGATGGAAGATCAGTCTTCTGCAGCGGGAAATTCGCCGCAGACTGTGGTGGGGTGTCTTCATCTTTGACAGCGGCGCCGCAAAAACCTTCGGCAGACCCATTCTTCTTCCGGAAGAATGTGTGATGGATGCTAAACAGGTACTAAACATCCACGACGACGTAAGTAAATGGTCTTGTGGCTGGGCTACCACCGGAAGAATTATACTAAGACTCCATACCAGGCCCTGACACCCGCAACTACTTCCTTGCCACTTGAATCACCCGGCCCAACTCTCTACTCTGGCTTGATCGCCCAATCTCGATTTCACCTTCTTACCAACAGCGTTTACCAACGTCTGATTTCCAGCCCAAGCATTACACCAGAGGAAACCCTCAATCTTCAAAAGCCTATGGATGATTGGTACAATGGCCTACCCTCCTATATGCACTACCCACTACAACCTCTATCTACTCACCCGACACAGCCAGACTCAGACACTCTTGCCCTTGTCCGCAACCGCCTTCTTTGGCGAAACTGGAACCTGATCATTCTGATCTACCGCCCCATCTTGCTACGTTGGGCAGCCCGGCGATGGGCGCCCCATGGTGGCAGTTCTGACGGATCATCCGTCAGCTCCGAAACGGGAGTTGAAGATCCATCCGAAACAGAGTGTCGGGTACGTTGCCTACAGAACGCCCGGCTGACGATTTCTTCCATCTCCGAGTACATGGACAATTATGTTTGCACAAGAATCGGGGCGTGGTATATGCTGTGAGTCACACCCTTTCAAGAAGAGAAGTAAGATTTAGCATTTACTAATAATGTGAAAGATACTTCCTATTTCAAGCCGGATTGATCCCGATCGTTTTCCTCATGACGGATCCCTCCAACCCCGAAGCACAGAGCTGGATCCAAGACATCGAAACAACGAAAGCTCTTCTTACCCACCCATCTTTCTGCAACAACCGTTTCGCCGCCCGATGCTCCGAAGTCATCAACAGACTTTTGGGCCCATCGATAGGCTCTATCTCTGGCATGCAGCCAAACTCCCAACAGCAGAATCCTCAACAATACGGCCAACAACAAGCACAGGGCTTCATGCCATTCCCAGAACATTTATTTAGTGATCCTAGCTTTGGTAGCATGTTTCCCGTCGAACAACAGATGCCCAGCCCAGCGGGCATGGATTTCTCAGAATGGGTGAACTATCCGCAACAGGAGTGATTTGTTATTTTATTTTTATGCAAAGGTCATCGAGCGAGAATTGCCCGGAATCGTCTGTTGAAAGAGAGCCCGAGCAGAACAGAGTCCATCATATTGAACGGGATGCATAGCCGTTTGCAAGTTTAACCCTATATTTCATACCCAATGCAAATTTTGTACTGCATTTCTTGCTGCCATATGAAGACGAATAATTACCGAAATACTTTTGTGATCCGCACCTCAAAGGCCGAAGCAGCGGAACAGTCCTCCAAACCAACCGCGGCGTTTCTGAGTCTGTCTCTCAGCACCCGATTTCTCATCCATATACCCATTCAAGTCCTCACCCTCAGGATCATCCAAGTAGCGTTCCGTCCGCACAGCCGCGATAGAAATAATACCAAGCTCAAAAGGACCCTCCTGATCGCCAAAGAAACTAGGACCAAAAAAAGTAAGCCATAGCCCCCCCAACCCTCCAACAAAGCATGATTAAGTTCAAAAAGAACATACCTTCTAACCATAATCCCAAATCTCTTCACATTCTTCAAATCCAAAGGCTCGGCATCATCCTTATTCTTACCGCGATAAGTCGGTCTGAAATCCTCCCACTTAACGAAGATCGTCTTCTGCCGCTCAGCCCGGAAATCAAATTCCCAGCTCACACTGCTCTGCTCCCGGCCATCGGATCTCTTGGGCAGAATCTCGTCCTTCAGAGTCAGGGTGTATAATTTGCCATCGGCCCGGTCGACGACGATCTCTAGCCCATCATGATGCGATAGATCCCATGTTCGGTCATCGCCTCTTGTGCGCTGCGAGGCGAATCCTGCCCCGCCTAAGGTCGTGATGTCTAGGTTTCCGTGGAAGTGGGCTACCAGCGAGGAGGGCGAGCAGGTTAGGGTTGAGTGGGAAGATCCGCCGCGGACGCGGTCGTCGGATGAGGTCCAGTCATCTGAATTCCAGGCACTTGAGAGGAGTGCAATTTGGTTAATTGAATAATTCGGTTATTAAGACAGGGGGGAACAGAGGGGCTTAATGCCTACCGGATGCCGCCGAATAGAGGGAGGTGTGATGTTGGAGCCATGATGACTTTAAGTTGTTTCTGCTTGGATGAGAGCTCGGGGATTGACGATGATCTAAAGAGCGGGGAGGGCGGTGGGGGATGGCGTCATAGCGTGGCCACAAGTATACTGTAGACACTCTTACGACTACTATTCAGGTTCGGAAGTTACCTATTTTGATCACTACGCAATGTGATGTACTCGCTGCAGTCTAGATAGGGGAATATTGATATCGATAATGCTTGTCTTTGTTCAAGGGTATCTATCTATGTACAATCTCATAACTCCGTGTCATGCAATGCCATGCTCGCTCGACGTGCAAAATGCATCCAGTTATTTCTCTAATGCAGCCTCCACCTCTCCATGAAGCTCTTCTAGGCCATGGAATCCCTCCTCAATAACCCACTTCTGTCCATCCTGAGGGCTGTGCAGAACGTGGCAGCTTGCTCCAACAACCAACAACCCAGGTGGCCGGGAACCCGCCTCTTCAAAGGCCAGGCAGATATTCTCCAACGTCGAGCGAATAACCCTCTGATCAGGGCAAGACGCGCGCTCGACGATAGCGCAAGGGGTATCCTTCGGCCAAAGTGCTCGAGTTCGCTCAGAGTCTTCGGCAGGGTACACGGTGAGTGACTCGATAAGAGCCGACAGTCGGTGAAGAGCCATCAAGAAGACCACGGTTTGAGTGGGAACATAGGTTGGTGAATTCGGTGCAGCGCCCTTCCTACCAGTCCCCGTGCAGACCAGAACCTGATCAGAGACACCCCGATGGGTGGCCGGAATATCGGCGAAAAGAGCAGCGCTCATGGCGCTTGTAATACCGGGTAGAACCACGGGAATGAATCCTTCATTCCGGAAAAACTCAAACTCCTCTGCTCCGCGTCCGTAGAGGTATGGATCTCCCTGCTTCAGGCGCAGCACTTGCTGACCCTTTTTCAAAGAGGCAAGGCCCATCTGCAGGAACTCCTCCTGGGCCTGATCGGCGTTACCGGGGAACTTGCGCGCGATGTGAACCTCGGTGCGACGAGGAATCAAATCCAATACTGGAGCCGGGACTAGCTTATCGGCCAGGATGATATCGGCATTTTGAATGGCGTTATATGTAGCGCGAGTCAGTAGGTCGGGGTGACCAGGGCCAGATCCAGCGAGCACAATCTTTCCCTTCTTTGTAAGGGTGCTAACACCGTTGACACCATTGATTTCTGAGGTCTCGTTCCTTCCGCCGGTGTACGCTTTCAGAATAGCATCGATATCGGAGTCGGTGATAGAGACAAGTTTGCGTAGTGGCCAGTACTCGCAGATCTGCGAAAGCCAGCGCATACGTCTAGTCTTCGCAGCGGCAACATCACCCTCCGTGACCAGTGAATTGAAGTGATGATTTTGACCAGCTGCATCGTCATCATCCCCCTCCAGAGCCGATTCGCCCAATCCCGCTGAGTTGTCTTCTTCCCATAACTGCCGACGCATGGAACCTAGTCGATCAATGGCAGATCCAAGGTTTGCGGGAAGGAATGCAGCGATTTCACGTCGAAGCCTTGATGCGAGTTTGCATCCACGACCTGAGGTTGTAATTCCTATATGAAGCGGTCCATCGGAGTAGGTAGAGAGGAGGCTGAATGAGCAGAGCTCGGGGGCATCAGACACATTGACAGGGATGCGAAGACGGCGGCATAATGTTGAGATATGCGGGCCTGGTAAAGTATGATCAGCCTCATCCCGCATCAGGTATGCAAGTGTAGAACTTACTCAAGGTATGCTTGCCACCCAAGGTAACGAAGACCATGTCGACCACGCGGTCCACTTCCTCTCTCCCCAGACTAGTCAAATCACTATCGTTAAACTCGCGACGTAGCCATTGTACATATCCCTTGGAGATGTATTCTGACAGGGTAAAGTGCAAGTCTGCGGTTTCCGGCGCAATGAGAATGGGGGTGGCGCCGGCCTCGAGACTCTTTGTACATCTCGCCGCCGCCAGAGGATTGGCGCCAATAATGAGATGGATTTGAGACTCGGTGTTCCATGCTGTCATCAATGGGACAGACTGGCCAAAGCTATTCGAAGCATCCTTCATCATGTCGTATTGCCGCAAATTGCGGGCTACCCCTCCAAAAGTTAATATGGGATGCTTTCAATGTGATACCGAATGTAGGCGGAAACACCCAATATATATGGTTGTGGAAATATTGGCTCACCCAAGAATATGAGAAGGAGTGACCAACGGACAAGATTGACTCAATGCGTCGTGCAAGGATGATTCCGCGGAGAAAGAATAATGACTCCGGTAAGGTCCTATGAGTAAAAGACCCCTCGCGATTGGAGATAACGGGGCTGATAAGAAGCTGGGGTCAATTCTAATTGGAATGATCAAGTGTCACACGCCAATCGAATTGTCACTGCCTGCACAGGGTCGAATAGAAGTGTCCGAGGGTGAAGAGTATATGCAGATGCGAATATTGCATGAAGATCACACTCGACCGAGTGGAATTGTGTTGCGGCGGAAATTTTTCTATACAACTGCATATCCTAAAGTGGACTAGGGCGAAATTGCGTGATTGTGACTTCTCATGGCTTATGTCAGCATTGGAGATTGGCCAGTTGGCGGGAGCAGTGATGTACGCATATGTATACTCATACATATACCTAGATGTTGAGTAGATGACTCTACGGACAAGTTAGCCTTGTTGATCAGATTGGGTATCATGAGACTTCGATCATTCACTCCTTTTATGGCTGCTGGCCCGTCAAATACTGATTGGTAGTGAGGGTGATCATAGAAAAAACATGTGTATGGATGAGAAATTGCCTGAACTAAAAGGATCTATATTGAGGAGTGTGGACTGACACAGCCTATCCCACGGGGTGCAATGGGACTCGGACAAACGCTCTGCGTGCATCAGGATAGACAATCTGGCGTGCGTCCCCGGGCCTCGGCGGCCGGAAGCCCTCATCTCCGGTAATTCGGTTTATAATTAACCAAGAGAAACTGTGTGATATAAACTTTAGAAAGAGCAAATCTTCAATCGTCAGGAATTTTCAAATGGGCAGGAGGGTGTGCTTTAGTGTACTGATGTAGATGTAGATGTAGGCGGAGGGTTACTTGGCAATGTGTTGATCGCATCACGTGAGGCGGAGCTCGCAGGTCGCGGCCAAAGGGCGCCCCAGAGCTCCGTCATCACCATCAGCCATCTTCGTGTCTCGCTTCCACGCATTGCCCCGTCAGTGCATCATTAATCTGTTTCGATTTCATCTTTGATTCCACTTTCAGCTCCGGACCCCTTCGAACACCCAAGACAACCGCCATCATGTCCGTCTTGATGAAGCCCGAGAAGGACTTCACCAAGGACGCCGACAAGCTCATCCCGGAGGCCGAGGCGCTTGCAAAGGTAAGAGAGGAAATATCATTTGGCATCTTGGTGTTTAAATGAACTGTGCTAATTGTTTCTATCTAGACCGATGTTCAGGGTGCGATCGATAAGCTGCTGGCCTTGGAGAAGCAATCCCGACAGGTATCATCTCGTCTCCATCTCGATCCTTCATCCTATACTGACCCAGGGCTCCTCCCTCCATAGGCCTCCGATCTCGCCACCACATCCCGTCTCCTGATCTCCATTGTCACTATCAGCAAGGAATCCGGCGACTGGGCCCTCCTCAACGACCAAGTGCTCCTGCTTTCTAAGAAACATGCCCAGCTCAAGCAGGCCACAACAAGGATGGTGCAGCAGGTGATGAAGTTCCTGGACGACACCCCCAACCTGGATGTCAAGCTCTCTGTCATCGAGACCCTCCGCACAGTGACCGAAGGAAAGGTAAATGCAGATGTGCCCGCGATTACTTTCGCACCAGAGCTGACATCCCCGTCCCCAGATCTTCGTTGAAGTCGAGCGAGCCCGCGTCACCCGCATCCTTTCCAATATCAAGAAGTCACAAGGCGATCTCGAAGCCGCTGCGGACACTCTGTGCGAGCTGCAGGTGGAGACCTTCGGGTCGATGACCCGACGTGAGAAGACCGAGTTCATCCTGGAGCAGGTCTCTTTGTGCATCGAGCGTGCAGACTGGACCCAGGCTTCGATCCTCATCCGCAAGATCAACAAGCGCTATTTCAACCGCAAACCGAAGAAGTCCGCCGAGGAGATCGAGAAACTCAAGAAGCAGGCGGAGGAGCGAGAGAAGACTCGAGGACCGGATGAGGCCCCAATGGAGGTGGATGACGATGTGACCGACCTCAAGCTTCGCTTCTACGACCAACAGATCACCCTCTCCAATCACGACAACAAGTATCTCGATGTTTGCAAGCACTACCGAGAAGTCTTGGACACCGAGGCAGTTGAGAACAACCCCGAGCACCTTCGCGCAGTAAGTTTCATCCCTTATAGTATGGCCGCCGATCGTCCGTTCAATTGCTAACCTCAGTCAAGTCTCTTGCGCGCATTGTTTACTATATTGTCCTGTCTCCTTACGACAACGAGCAGTCAGACCTTCTGCACCGCATTCAACAAGACTCTCGACTGTCACAGGTCCCCGAGGAGGCCCGACTGGTGAAACTCTTCACTATCCCGGAACTGATGCGCTGGCCCATGGTCGCAGAGCAGTTTGGCCCTCACCTTTGCGGTACCGATGTTTTTGATGCGCAGACCCAACAGTCGTCCGAGAACCAGGCGAACCGGAGATGGCAAGACCTGCGGAAGCGAGTCATTGAGCACAATGTCCGAGTGGTTGCGAAGTACTACACCCGGATCCAGATGGGCCGTTTGACCCAGCTTCTGGATCTGACCGAGGAAGAGACGGAGAAATATATCAGCGAGCTGGTCACATTGAAGACAATCTACGCCAAAATCGACCGACCTGCCCGGCTAGTCAACTTCGCTAAGCCTCGCGATGCTGATGATGTGCTCAACGAGTGGAGCAGCGATATGAAGAGCCTGCTTGGTCATCTGGAGCGCATTGATCACTTGATCACTAAGGAAGAGATGATGGCTCGCATCCTGCCGACTCGTGGCAAGGAGACCAAGGCCCGTTAAGTGAACTTGAATGAGATGTGAAACGTTTGCCTCCGTGTAAAATAATTCGCCGGTAGACCTCTATGCACTATTTGTGAACATCTAAATACTATTCACTCCAGGGCTGTATCTCGGGGATTGGCCGACCTTCCAGGGTTGCAGTTGAAAACTTACCTATTAGTAGTTAGTAGGTACATAGGTCATCTTGAACGTAGACTTCGAGGACAAGGAAATGTATTGGGTATAATCTAGTCTAGTCGACAAACGATCTCCTTCCAAGGTCTATAGTATATACTAGTGCCTACTAGTACTATACTCTAGTACTAGTATTCATCATGGTCTAGAACGGCATATCCATGTCGTTCACATCTTCCTCTTCTTCTTTTTCACCGGCAGCACCTTTCTCCAACTGCTCCCGAATAAACCGAACCGCAGCATCCAAATAGGGCCGCTGACTCGGCAAAAAGTGACCACCTGGATGCCAAACAACAAGCCCCTCTTTCTCCGGCTGACCCCGACAAGCATCAATCAGAGCACGACTCCTCTCCTCATCAACAACCGCATCCAACGAACCCAAAACATGCAAAACAGGCGTCTGAATCGGCGGATTGTCATAAAAGCCCCGATACCGCGGCCCCGGAGCCCGGAATCCACTATAGCAAAGCGCAAACTTCAACGGCGGGTGCGCAAAACCAGCCGATTCATCAAAGGCACTGGGGAAAGGCATACCAGCCGCCCCCTCGGACTCATCCTTCGCAAATTGCGCAAAGACTTCCTTCCGCCCGGGCTCGAGGAGTCCCGCCACCATACCCGCCAGCGCAGCACCCTGCGAGAACCCGATTACGCCATCGAAGGGCCCTTCATCGGTCAGAACCTTTGCGACGGCACTGAGGCCTTCCTCAATGCCGGTGTAGAGGGGTGGGTTGGCGCTGTTTGAGCGCCGCCACCAGCCGTAGGCCTCGATATCGTCGTCTGGGATGCCGCTGTCGGAGGGCTCGTAGCCGGGGATGTCGCTGGGTCTTAGACGAAGTGGGGCGGTGGGATAGCTGGTAGTCACTTCATGCAGGGGTAGGGCCTTTTGGATATGTTTTGTGAGGGCGCGGCTTTTGGCGTGGAAGAGGGAGCCTGATTGTGTGTAGCCGTGCAGCATTAGGAGTTTAAGTGGCTGCCGCGCTGAACTGGTTGGGTTGGGTGCCATGGTTGGGGTTGTGACCGGTCGAGTCAGGAAATCGACGTATCTAATTTTTCGAGAGAGGGACTGGAAGAAGAAAAGAAAAAGATAAAAGAACGGTGAGAAGTAAACAGCAAACAACAGAAGGAGGGGAAGATGAGGAATCCGAGGGATCCTCGGGGAAGCCGCGACGATAAGAGCTTATCGCGTAAGCCTCTTATGGGAAGTTTAATTTATTAAACAGCCTGCCTTCCAATCGTCCCGTCAACATATATCCAAATCCACCCCCAAACATGGCAGATCGATTCGACCTCGCGGCCATAGCCGCAAAAATGCAATCTCTAATCGAGTATGTTTCCTCTATCCTATCCCCATGCTGCTCCATCTTGGAAACATCTGAGCTATCCCATCTCCCTCTCCCCTCACCTGGTCACTATTATAATCTTACCCCCTCATCCTTCAAGAACGGGGCCATCCCAACCCAACCCACCATATACAAATATAATGGAGAGTAACCAAAGCTAACCAAAATAACAGGGCATTCGAATCCCACCCAGAAAACCAGCCCCCGACCCCCAACCCAACCATCTTCTTCACCTACGACTTCGTCCGCAACACATACAACCAGCTGAAGGCCATCGACGCCGCCAAATACGCCGCTGGCGACCAGGTCGCTCAAGAAGCCGTCACCGAGGTCATTGGGCGCAACGGCTTCACCCACGCCCTCATCAGCGACACCAGCGGTAAAATGTCCATCATGATGGGCGGCGGCCCCGGGTCCGGACCTCCCAACTTCGGACCTGAGATTAAAACCAAGTCGGAAGAGCTGGTTGCCACCGATACTGCTTAAAGCCTCGGATACCGGATTCGTCTCACATTGAGACAAACCACTCTATCGACGAGTCATCTCTTTCAAGCGACTACTCCTCGAAAAAGATCCGGATCGCAACATGAGCCGGATTTATGATATCTTTTTCTTATTCTTCTTTTCTGATGACCCCTAACTTAACATCTTTATTCTGTCATTTGGTTTTTTTTTTATTTCCAAATCATTCTTTTATCACGATGTGACTTCCTTGTCTTCCGCTGTACGACCACAATCAGAATGATATGAACATAACATAACATACCATACCATACCCAATATCAATCCCATTACCAATGACCTCACCACGCACACGCGCAGATACTAGAAGCTCTGCTACTTCTATATAAGCAACCTTAATCAAAAACCTCGCGAGCTATCATTCTCCCTAAAGCCTTGGATAGAATCTTACTCAATCCAAACAATAATTCATCCCATCGACGCACCGCACAGTAAAGCATCCCTCCACACACACGCCTGGAATTTCCTACGGGGGAATCTAACCACGACCCATCTCGCCATCTACAATCAAACATGACATCACTGCCCCGTTCCTGGCACGTTGATCGCACATACAGAGGTACATATGGACACTAGTCGCGCTGCCGATGCGCTGTTACGTAGCCCCCCTCGGCTGGTGGGGACCACGGCGGGAACGCACGTCCAGTGGGGTGGGAGGCGTGTATGCTTTGGGTTTAGTGGAGGGCAGATTTGCGGTACGGATGGATTACGGAGTACGATGATGATGTTTCGTGCTGGGCGGACTGGAGGGTTTCCTAAAGGTTGGATTTGGATTTGGATGTGGCGGGGTGGATGGGATTGGTTGCGTTTTTGCTGTATTGGGTGGGTGTTGTGGTGCCCAGGTGGGTTGGATTGGGTGGATAGAGTACATGGTACATGGTACGGGGTGCATAGCCCTGTGAGGAGGATTGTGTACAATACTCCTTCAACTATACGGGGGCTTTCCTATGGTTGTAGGATATCGACGAATGGTTTACTTGTTGGGTGGTTAGACCTTTGCCTCAGATGATACGTAGACGACAGGATCGTTCCATAGACGTAGAAGTATGTATGTACGACAAGTCTACTCTACGCAGTCGAGAAGAAATCGAGTATCAACAACTCTAATTGAGCAGAGAACCCATTTACATGAGGGGCAGGTACAGGACAAAACAAAAAGCAGAAGAAACAAGATAGACCCACGCAAAAGCGATGGTGCCTTTTATGTCAGATATCCGGAACTCCCTGAGCTAGATGCTGCAAGTTGCTTTTTTTTGGGGATTGTCGAATGCTTTTTGGCCGTGGCCTTGGTGAATGGGGGGGATAGGGCGAGTCATTCCATCTTCTATCTGTCATCAATCGCAATAGAAAGAACAAGCAAAAACGATGTTAAAAGAAAGGCAAGAAAAAAGCCGCTGTGTGATTATTTTAAATCATCACAGAGTGAAATTGTAGAAAGCAAAGTTGGACGAAAGAGACGGGTGTTCCAGAACGTCACATTTCAATTGTTTTTTGGGTTTTCAGGGAAGATAAAACAAGTGGTATGGATCGTATCATATCATTTTGCACGTCTTCCATTCCGAGTTCGAAAGTCCTCCTCCTCCCACCAGCATGCATCTCCAAAGCTTTCGAACCGAAGACCGTGGTCGGGAGGAGGAATCGAAATCAAATCAGAACGAAAGGCGTGTCATCCCGTGAAAGGCGGATAGAAGGAGGATATAGGGAGATAGAGAGGAAGAAGAGGGTAAAAGGGTAATTGTTGTATGTGACATTTTGAAAAGCCGGTGGTCTCCGTTTAATAACCGAACCCCGTAGAGGTTAGAGTGGTATTTTCATCCAAAGTTGCTCCATGCTATTTCCTCTGCGTTTCAACCAGACAATAAAAAAGAAATTTCATTTGCGCGTCTCGTTTACTTGCGGCGGAAAGAGCAGCCCTCAGTCAGACGGGCCTTACCACCGGTGGGCTGGCACAGGACGGTAGAGCAGCCGGCACAGATGACGACGGTCTGGGCGTGAGAGAAGACGGTGGTGATGGTGAAGCAGCCGGGGCACTTGACGTCCATGAAGAAGGAGCGGGGCTGGGGCACAAGGGTCTAGATGGTGAAGGGGATCCCGGTCAGCATTCCGGTCGAGATTCGATAAGGTTTCATTTTTTCAAGATCCATCCATGTATCATATATCATTTCAATACGTAGTTCCTCCTCTTGCTCTCCAAGTTGTCGTGGTTTCAATGTGTCGAAAGGGTTGATGGTGCGGAAGGTCTCGTGTCCACCTTCCTTCCCGTCCACATCCATATCCACCAACACAACTTCGAGACATTCTTGATTTCCTTCACTTTCTTCATTCGACATTCGGAGGTATTAAGCGTACCTTAAGCTTGTGCTTGCGGGCCTCGGCCTGAGGGGTGGGGTTGAGGAGGTCGATCGCGAGAACCTGGAAGATGAGTCGTCAGCAAGGGAGATTTCGACGATAGGTTGTGTTTTTTCGACGTCTGGCAGGGGCCACGGTGCGTGATTCGTGTCGAGTCGGAATAAGGATAGGAGGGTGGTGCGGCAGCAGGGCGAGGGCGAGAGCTTACCATCTTGACGGATTATGATCAACGAGGGGGTTGATGAATGGCGCTGATGGCGATGACCTTGTGTGTCGATTTCGATTGTAGCGGGAATGGTTTGAAGGGATTTGTCTCGGGGGGGGCGGCCGCGGGTTCAACTAGGGTTTGTGCCCTCGCTTGACTGCCTAAATGGGGCAGGCGCGAGGGGGTGCTTCCGCCAATCACCACCATGTTGGATGGATGACTCACCGCCCATTGCCTTATCCGTGGTTCTGCCGGATAATCAGGAAGGCAGTCACTCGATGTCTTACCCAGTCATACTCAGTCATACTTCATCGTCATACTCCATACTTTATACTCCAGTACCTCACGCATAACACATTACTCTCATATTCTATCACACGGAATCACCGGTGCTGAAAAATAACAAACATATGTACTTGCTGAAATCAAATCATAAGGTCCACCCACATTAATTCCTTTTTGCCCTCCGCTTTCTCCAAGCAATCAACTCAACTCAAATCTCCGGAACTTTCTAAATCCGTCCCCACACTTCTTAACTTATCCCCGAGCTTCGCTTTCAGTCCGTAGGGTTCGAGGTTGAACTGTCTATCACCCACGAGCCTGACACTCGCATCATTCACCACACTCTATTGTGCCTTCTTCGATGAGCCCTCTAGTTGGGCCTTGGCAGCAACGTCGTCCTTGTGCTCAGTCTCCTCAACATACGGATACTTGATGGTCAAGCACCAGATGTCGATATAGTCACAGATGGTAGTAATCACGTCAAACTGTGAAAGAAATGTCAGCAAGAAATTTTCATCGACCACGCCTAGAACAAGGAAAGTGACAGGGAGGAAACATACCACAAAGCTTCCATAAACACCAACTGCCAGACCGAGACACACAAAAATAAATGCAACCGGTCCAACACCATGACCCAGCACGGGAGACCAGAGACCCAACAAGGGACCAGAGCTATCGATCACACCCAGAGCGAGCGGGTACAGCAGAATGTTGTGGTACGGGAAACCGGACTGCACGAGGTGACCAACAATCATCCGGCCGACGGAGTAGGCATTGACCAAGCCAACAAACAGACCAAACGGAACAGTGTAGTTCTCCAGAATGGCGGGCTGCAGGTACAAGTAAGCCGGCACGAGGGTCCAGATCGCGGCCAGAGGAAGCAAACCATAGAGCGGCGCGATGGGGTCTTGGCCGCGCTCACGGCGCACCTGCATAACGTGCAGGATACTCGAACCAGTAGCGAAGAAGAGCATCAACGCACCGTACACCAGGTACCACTGCGTGAAGGGCATGTCGTAGACCTGTTGCGAGATGAAGCTTGGCTTGGAAACGCCGAAGGTCTCCAGCATGGGCTGGTGCCAGAAACTGCCGCCGCCCATGTATGCAGTCAGAGCGTAGACGGTGCAGAGGGTGAGAACACCCTCGACGGGGCCGGAAACAACGCCTAGCGTGAGAACCTGGGTATAGTACTCATCCCAGGTTTGGACGTAGAATGTCATCGTAGCTGCTGGGGTTAGACTCTGGATATCTACGGCTTCGCCAGGTGTGTAAAGGACTTACATCCAAATAGACTCAAGAATGTCATCCAGGATTGGCCGAGGTTCATCGCAGCTGCGAAAATCAAAACACCCAGCCCGGTGTTGCATGCATCGACACCTAGACTCGGTTAGATTGATCAAGTTCTCTCTTTCGTTCTGTTCCCCGTAGAACAACATACTGTGATCAAAGAGCTCTCCAAGAGGGCCACTCTGTTTCGTCCTTCGCCTATTTAAAGTTCAGCAACCATTCCAATCCAATTTGATCCAAAATGCGATCCGGGTAATGGTGAAAAACATACGCCTGCATGCCATCAACGGCATCAAAAGTCTGATACAAAAACAGACCCAGCGCACAGCTGGCATAGACCCACGGCGGACAATCCTGGTCCAAATTGGGATTATACCACATGACAGTGATGAAATTAATGACCACGAACATGAAACCAGTCAGAGTGATCTACAAGAGGAACAGTTTAGCTCAAATCCTTCTGCGCAGCAAGGATACAAAGCTCCACCTGCTTATCCCAGGATTGGTGAAAGGGCAGAAATCGCATAGGCGCAGTACTTACAGCATTGGGACTAAATGCGCGAAAGAAAGAAAAAGCCAGAGAATCTCGTTAGCCAGGGTTCCGCATCATAATGAAGGATCGCATCGCATCGCATTGTACTTGATCTCAACTTATCCCATCCTGTTTCCAGGATAGGGAAATAGCTAAGGGAAAGCTCCACTCCAGCAAGAAATCACCCGCGAAGCTCTGCCAAGCTTGCCAATGGAAACTTTCCAGCAGACAAGCTCCCAGAGCTTCTCCGTAGATGTGATGTGATGCCGGAGCTCAAAGCAAGCAAGCTGGGTTGGAAACTCACGCCATGCCCATAGGGAAACAGCCGATCACGCATTTGGTATAGAACGGCTTCAAGATGTACCGACTGACGAGGGAGTGGTCGATGCCTGCGTAGCGGTAGTTGCGCAGATTGGGGAGGTGGTGTTGGCGAATGTACACCATGCTTGATGATGTGGTGGTCTTGTCTCGACCTTGAGAGGGTATTCGGGGAGGCTGCGATTCTCGTCAAAGTTCGTGGTAGGTTGGTTGGTCTCTTTGTTTTGTTTTGTCCTTTTTTTTTTCTCAACGCATGGAGTGCTGGGGGTAGAGTGGAGACCGTTGCGGTTCGGCGGTGTCGACGCGCGTGAAGGGAGAGCGGCAACGTGGTGTTTTTGGGGATCGGGAGGGAGGATAGTAGGATTCGCGGCGGAGGACAAAGGGTCAAATAGTCGTTACTCGTGGAAAGGGTCAAGGCAGAGGAAAAGGAAAGGGTAAAACAAATTAAACGGGCCCCGCTGGGGAACGGCGCGAAGACCGGGTGGAAAAAGGGAAAAGAATGGGACCGCGAAGATCGGCGTGCTTCTTCAGTACTTGCCACTGGAGATGTTCTGTTGTTTCCTGGGCATAGGTAATGTATACCCTGTTGCCTAGTTCATCTCTATTTTATAGCTGTATGTTGCTTCTCAGATCTATCCCATCTACCCCGTACTCATATGTCCAAGGTTCAATAATGATAGAACTACAAGAGTACACTCTGTGACCTCAAGAGGGCTCTAACTTTCCCATTCATCAGTTCGCGGCCCACGTGCAGCATCGCCGTGTCGAGATGACCTCAGAGCGACGCCAATGAAATGCATCACAGGGAAGAGATCGGCCACGCAAGAAGTGGGGGAATACCCGAGGCCCCTCAAATCGGTTAGGTTCAGGAACAGTGAGTCCCGAAGCGCTGGTCATGATGCAAAAATGATTTGCAATTTGGGAACTAATAATGAGAATGGGAAATAGCATACGCCATGCTTAGATACATGATACAGAACTAATCGGCAGATCAGGATCCACCAGCCTAGCGTAAAAGTATACTTGGCCCTCCCTCTCTGGGGTAGGGCTGGGGGGTTCAGAATCCCTTCAACAGTCCACGCATCTCTGCGTGCAACACACGCCTCCTGCAGCCAGACTTATATGGAGTAGCCTCCTGCGGTGAAAGCGGGGCGGACTTGTGGGCTCCCGTCTGTCTCCTCCACCTCTCGATGTTTAACCGACAGGGCTCCACGGCATCGGAACGAGAATCCGGCTTTGCATCGACTGGATGAGGGGAACGGTTTTGTGGACGGTCTCAGCCCAACCCTCGACGCCCCACGACTGCTCGCGGCGAATCTTGCGCTCTTCCAAGTTGGCATATTGCCACAGGTGGTGTACTGTGTTGAGGTCACCGATCTGGACAAACCACGCACCCACGCCTTCCATCACCTCCCGACGCGCTGTGAGTCCTCGGCGCCAGTGGGTCTCCCATTCCAAAAGGTTGCCCGGGTGCAACGTGTACGATCGGAGCTCAAACAGTCCTCCCAACCGGCGTGGAGGGGTTGTCGGCCAGAACGAGAACTCCTGCATCAGTGACGTCTTTTTGCTCTTGATCAGGCTCTTGAGTTTGTGGTCAAATTCGGGGAATTCAGGGTGCTCCGAGATGTTGTGCAGAGACGCATGGTAACCTTCGTAGCGCTGGTACTCCCAAATGTGGACTATTGCAACCCCCGGAGTTAGTCACTGCCAAAACAAAACCCAACGCATCAAATCAAATCAAACCATATGAGGATGGGGCCAAGTGGTAGGAACTTACTAAAAGTGTCATTATCGCCGACCTGTGTTCGCCAGCTGCCCACCAAGTTGACCCTATTCTCCTCGGTGCCTGCCATGCGGGGATACCACTTGCCCACCAGCTCCACATACTCGTCGACCTTGTCGGGCTTGACATCGTGGAAGACAATCGAATGAACATACTTGCCACGGGCAAGTACCTGCGAGAAGGAGCGCTCGATATCCTTATCGAAGTGCTGACCTTCCTTGGTCCCGTAGATGAGCGAGGACAAAGGCCCACGTTTGTTGTTGGGGTCGGCCTGATGTTCATCTCCTAAATAACGATGCGTAGAAAGTGAGCCGAGTGCCTTGTTATCCAGAGCTTCGGCCGCATCAAAAGCAGGACGAATTCGATCATCGATACTACTCGCATTGCTCACACGCGGAGCAGTGGGAGCAGACTCACGGGGAGGGGAAGAACTAATAGAAGCTTCGGCAGACTGACTCTCTTGCTGCTCCTTTCTCTTGCGAGCCTCTTCGAGGTTCTCGCGGAACTCTTTCTGCCGCTTGTTAAACTCCTCGGCCGTGCTGGCCGTCACGTCTCGGATGGAAGGGGAGCGGAAGGCTACGGCGGACGAGCTGAAGGGCCGTGCCAGCGAGGTCGCCGAGCGGAGAAAACGGGGGGCCAACATTGTTGTGACTCAAGCTCGGATTGGGGGGGAGGGTTGTGGGTTGGGTATGTCAAATTTCACAAACAATCAAAACAAAGGATGGACACGTTGGAATCGTCCAGTGATAAAGGAAGGGATGAAGTGGCGATCACGGAGTGAAGGGGGAGGAAAGGACCGTGTCAAGTGGTGGTGATGGTGTGAGGAGGAAGAGGAAGAGTAGTAATGAAGAGAGAAGAGGTAGAAGTGGGAGATCAAGAGGAAATCAATTAAAGAGGGGAAGACAGGGATTAGCGGAGGTTAAGAAAGTGCGAGGCTAAGGTAGAAAGGGGACACGCGATGGGAGTTCCCCAGAGTGCGTGCTCCAAAGGGAATCGGGGGGTAGACCAGGTTACGAGCAGGTAAATTGATGCAAGTGGAGATGGAATTACGCTATCGCAGTGCGTCGTTGAAGAAGCTCCACTAAGGTAGGTGATGGGATTGACCTTCAGGGATTTGAGAGGTCTTGCGATGGCTGAGTGCGGGGAAGGTAAGCTTGACCAAAACCCGCGATGGAAGTATCCAATGATGAATGACGGATTGATGACTAGCAGTATTCAGCACGGAGTATGCATGTACTCTGGTATAGTACAAAGTGGTTATTGCCTAGACTCTTCTACTCTACGGCTTGTCCATTGCGATCCTCGGCGATTTACCGGTCCTCTGTACTCCGTCCTCGGATGATCATCGCAGGAGCAAGTCTTGCCATCATGACGATGCTTACGATGTACTTCTCCAGTTTTAAACTCCACTTGAGAAACCGCCGGAATCAGGCTAGTAACATTGGTCGGCTAGCTACGGTATTGTGGAGATCAACGAGGGCTCGAGCTGTAGCTATATGAGATGGTGAGTCTATACTTTTGTAAACAGAGCTTGATTATGGAGATGCTACAATAGATACTCCAGTAGATGTACACGATAACTTTATCGTAGGATGTGTATGTGATGCTGCTGTATGTGTATATGACGTCGATACCCGTGTCCAGACTCCCCTGACCGCCCGGCAGATCGATCGATCATCCCACGAACTCTTCCGTAGACCTCGGACAATAAGTAGACGACTCATTCAATCAATCCTGTTCACAATGGCCGACTCCCTCAATCCTCCCCTCTCCTATGAGGCCTCTGCCACCACTACTCATCGCCATGAGTCCGATTCCCTCCCTTCCGAGGTGGTTGTCTGCCTGAAGAACTCCCGCTTCGTACGCTCCCGAATTCCACCGCTACACATTACCCATCTATGGTGACCACAATATATCAGAAACTAATTCCACTCAGCTGCATCTGGCAACATGCGATAATCTGACCCCTCACATCTCCCTGATGTCCTATACCTATCTCCCCTCAACCCCCTACGACCCCTACCCAACAATCATCATGACCACGAACCCCGCATCGCGAAAGACGAACCACCTCCTCTCCAACCCACGCCTCTCCCTCCTCGTCCACGACTGGGTCTCTCACCGCCCACCAACTCGAGCTCCGAATCCCGACGGTCGTGAGGGCTCTCCGCCACCCGCAGCAAGCCGGTCGTCGCTCGCGAGTCTACTCCTCAATCTAAACACGAGCGCCTTGTCCAGCATCTCCACCACCATCTGTGGCGAAGCCCGCTTCTTGGAGCCAGGCTCGGACGAAGAGAAGTGGTGCAAGGAGAGACATCTTGAGAATAATACCTTTGAGGAGGAGGAGATTACCTTTGGCCAGCAGCAGCAGCGCACGGATCCGAGTCAGCGACGCCCGAGTATGTCGATTGATAGCGATGTGCGTGTTGTGACCGTGCAAGTTCGCGAGGGCCGCATTGCTGATTGGAAGGGTGGTGTGAGGGATTGGGTCTTGCTTCCTCGGGAACAGGACCAGGCTGGTCTCGTCAATGGCGTATAATTTGAATCGGGAATTATGGCTGTGCTATTCTGGACTTACTTTCAAGTTGATGGTAGATTTCAATTATATTATTAAATGCTCAGGATGAAAATCAATTTGATGGTTCAAGTTGTTCCATTTTGTTCCAACTCAAAATTTCGTATCAATTTGATGCCACTGATATCTACAACTAGTACTGGTATAGTACTACTAGTACTACTCAGCAGCCTGTAGCAGTACTAAGAACCTTCAAGTTGTAGAGTAGCACACCTGGGCAGCCTTTTAATTAGAGTATACAGACCATCAATTGAGATCCAAGAGTACCAAGTAACAAAGCATTTCTCAAAATTAAAGCATATTTAGCTTCACAGCTACCTTAAGGTAGCTATAAAACCCAATTGCCCGATCGTACCCGACCAAAATTATCTTATCGGGCGGAGCGCCGGAGCTCCCAGCTTCTCCGCAACCATTGACCTCATAACTCCTCGGAAAAGACCTCACACCACAAATTGAACTGCACAACCACCCATAACTAGCAACCACTCAATCGCATGGAATAAAACAAATCCCCCTCAACCGCCTCCAAACCAGCACAATGAGACTCGCCCACCTCCACCTCCCAAGCACAACGCCCTTCGCGCGAGTCTCCGCACTGCAACAAGCCCTCACAACGCGCTTCCTAACGCACAAAAAACTAGCCTCACCCGGCTCAATCTCCTCCCAAGAAACCACACACGCAAACGACCTCGCCAAAAAGGCAACCCCGCCACCGCCAGACCCAACAATCATCACATTCTCCCCAAACCCAGTCTACACAACCGGCCGCCGCGACCTCCCACCCTCAAACACGACATGCACCCAACCGCCCGATCTCAAAAACCTCTCCCTACCCAGCGCTCTCGAACCAATCCGCTCGATCCTCTCGCTCGGACCGGATGGTCAGCCTCCAAGAGCGGAGTATCACCCCCCCCTCCGCGGCGGACAGACTACATACCACGGCCCGGGCCAAATGGTCGCATACACAATTCTAGACCTAAAACGCCTCGGCCTAACACCAAGATGCCACATCCGCGTTCTAGAAAACAGTGTCATCGACCTACTCAAGAAATACGGCGTGGAGGGCTTCGTGACCGAAGACCCGGGCGTGTGGGTGAAAGACCGCAGCCGTAGCGACGCCGCTGCGAGAAAGATCACCGCCGTGGGCGTGCACTTACGGCGGAATATCAGCAGTTTTGGCGTTGGGTTGAACGTTACGCAGGAGCCGATGTGGTTCTTTCGGCAGATTGTTGCGTGTGGGTTGGAGGGCAAGGAAGCGACTAGTCTTGAGGGGGTGGGTGTTGCGGGCGTGAGTGTTGATGAGGTTGCGAGCGGGTTTGTGGAGGGGTTTGTTCGGAGGGTTAATGAGGATTTTGCTTGTGGGGAGGGGGCGTCTGGTGAGAAGATTGAGGAGGTTTATATGGTTAATGAGGAGGATCTTTTAAGGGAGGTTAATTTCTAGAGGGTACTAAATACTAGCAGATGTTTTAGATGTCCCGAGTTGCACCTGTAATACACATGATATTAAAAGTGTGTTTTTAACTTGAAGGGGATCCCATGGATAGTACTGGTACGTTATGTCTTACAGTTGATTTAATCATTTCATCATACTGAAAGACGATCTGGTTGAGGGTATTATTATTGGCTATATAAGAAAGAAGAGTAGAGCCAACCTCGCTGAAATGCTTCGACAAGAGGCGGAGCCATGCAAAAGACCGAATGGGGCGGGTGTGCCAAGCCATTCCCAGTCGGGTATAAGAAGTATGAGCGTGTCGCAAGTCAGAGAAATGTCAACATCGATGCAAAGGGGAATCAGGGAACATATGACATATAGAAGAGACAGGAGGAAGTGAGGGAACAGTCGACGAGATTGACCACCAAGGATCGAAGACAAAGCACATGCTCCATTCACGCGTCAAAGGAAATGAATAAAGGCAGGATAGGGTCTTCCATCTGAAGTTGTCATGGACGAGCGGGTATAACTTTGCCACGAGCTGCCAAGTGGGAATCAGGTGGACCCTCTGCCCATATCTTGCTGGACAGACTGGATTACACCGACTGGCGAACCCCGTGGAAGGTGGATGTCGATATAGGAAAGAAGGGAGATGGAGATGGAGCTAGATCAGAGGATCACGCAAGACGAACCGGAACCCTTAGACCCGGTAGGCTTGACATCCAGCGCAACCTTGGCGGCCTCATAGAAGCTTTCCCTGATGCCGCGGTTCTGAACAGCAGAGCATTCTATGATAAGGTATTAGCGACGCTCTGCGATTTTCATGGCCTCGATATAGTAGACTGAAACAGGGGAAACATACCCAAGTACTTCACCGCGCCAATCTCCTTGGCCTTCGCCAGACCCTGCTCGAAAGAAATCGCGACGGGATTATCGTTCTCTTCGTCGTCCTTGCGCAGATCGCACTTTAGGGCCGTAAGAACTACCCGGACGCCGGGACAGTTCTCATTGATTTCCGCGATCCACTTGGACCCGACGTTCTCGAACGAGTCAGGGCTGTCGACCTGCACCCACTTGTCAGTATCCTATCCTAACGGCCGCAGTGCAATCGCAATCGCAATCCACCGGTCACTAGTACTCACACTGAAGCAGAGCATCAAAACATGCGTGTCCTCGTATGACAACGCGCGCAAACGGTCGAATTCCTCCTGACCGGCGGTATCCCAAAGCGAAAGTTCCATATGTACATTGTCGACGAAGATATCTGGGAGCCGCATTAGTCCGATGTCCGCGGGGAGCGCGCTGGTAAACCGAGGGTCATACCGTGAACGTAGTTTTCTAGATTGAATCCATTAGCGACATGTGGCTTTCTTTCAATGTTCGGGCAAGCGCGTACCAAAGACGGTCGGTTCACTGTAGCACAGGCGCTGGTGTCAGTAACTCGTGACCATAGTGGATTAGTTGATCGGGTAGTCCTTACTAGACCGTCGGGAAGAATCTATATGTTGAAGCGGAGTCAGCAGTGGTTCATTCATTACACCCGTACCGCACCTCCACCTCCACCTGTAAACTCCGGAGGGGAAGCTCGGGGAGGGGCCTGAGGGGCTTGAGGGGGTTGAGGGGGCTGGGAGATGGGAGATGGGGAGTTGCGCACCCTCTTGTGAACACGTTCAGGGCCGAAGTCTTGCCGCAGGCACCGTCGCCACTATAAAGAAAGTAGGTTAGAGGACCGAGTCGGAGGTGAGGGTGGTGGCCAGGGTGGTTCCAACTGACAGCAGCACCATCTTGCGCTGGACGACCTTTTGACGACCGCATAGCTCCATTGCGAAATAAAGGGTAAAGGTACGGGGCGGGGAATTGAAAAGTCGAAGGAGAGGAAGGTTAGATCAACAATCCACAAGACAGACGATTGTTTCTTTGAGTCCAAGCAACAGGGGAGTCAGGAATGCGGTTGTAGTAGGTGATCGGGGGAGGATTCCAGCACTGCCCAAGTCGATGACATCGCACCCTGAAAGCGAAAGGGGATCGGCGAATAAGCTACCTTTTCCCCCTGGTCCACTCGGCTCGGCTGCAAAGCCCTCTACAAACTGACCTGCTCCTTCTAGACGTCGCGCCTGATGCCTAGAATGGTATAGGCAGTGCTATTCTCAGAGGAGTGTTCATACATTCGAGATGGTGGCTGCAGTTGCGCTCATTGTTCTGCAGCTGGACAATGGGACTCACTGGTTGTATTTGCAACTTACTGCCGTGTCAGGAGACGAGGGGAGAAGGGAGGGAAAGATCTATTGTATTCCTAGAAGATGTCAATGATGGATAAGTTTGTAGAAATGTAATATATCCCGTAGATCCCATTGGGGGGACAGCCATGCGTTGTTTACCTACATGAGTACATACTGTAGTTACTAGGTAGGCACTGGCAGGGCAGCGGGGGAAGGCGCGGAGCCTCGCAGCTCAAAGCTTCTCCAACTTCCACAACCCCCGCGACTTACCAACCCAACCCACACACACCACCTCTCCTGCTCCCACTCCTTGATACACATACCTTAAACCTCTTCCATACGATCCACTAGCCTCTACCTTATTACTTACCAAATATGTCCGACGACGACGACTTCATGCAGGATTCCGGGGACGAAGAGTGAGACCCCTTCGCCCCGATCTCCTGGCGCAACTGACACTTCTCCCCTCCCTCCAGTTATGACTTTGAATACGAGGACGACGATGACGACGAGGCGGGAGATATCGGAATCGAAAACAAATACTACAATGCGAAACAACTCAAGGTTGATAACCCCGAAGAGGCGGTGGATGAGTTCTTAGGTGTACCGGCATTAGAACAAGACAAAAGCGACTGGTCCGTGGGGAATCTTTTCGAGTGACAACATCAGGTCTGTACTGACATATCTCACAGGGGGTTCAAAGGTTTGAAACAGGCCATTAAGTTGGAATTCAAACTAGGACGATACAGCGATGCAGTTGAACACTACCGGGAACTCCTCACCTACGTCAAGTCCGCCGTCACCCGCAATTACTCCGAGAAATCCATCAATAATATGCTCGACTATATCGAAAAGGGATCCGATGATGCACAGGCATACCAGTGCATGGAGGAGTTCTACTCCTTGACCCTCGATTCCTTCCAGAATACCAACAATGAACGACTGTGGCTCAAGACGAACATTAAACTCGCTCGATTATGGCTGGAACGCAAAGAATTCTCACAACTGAGCAAGAAGGTGCGAGATCTGCATCGGGCGTGCCAGCGTGAGGATGGATCAGATGATACAAGCAAAGGCACATACTTGCTCGAGCTCTTTGCACTCGAGATTCAAATGTACGCCGAGATGAAGAATAATAAACGTCTCAAGGCCCTATACCAACGGGCGCTGCGAGTGCGGTCGGCGGTACCTCACCCAAAGATCATGGGTATCATCCGAGAATGTGGAGGCAAGATGCATATGAGTGAAGAGAACTGGGAGGAAGCGCAAAGTGACTTCTTCGAATCATTCCGGAACTACGACGAGGCAGGGTCCATGCAACGGATCCAGGTCCTGAAATACCTAGTGCTCACAACGATGCTGATGAAGTCTGACATCAACCCGTTCGATTCGCAAGAGACCAAGCCCTACAAGAATGATCCTCGTATATCGGCCATGACCGACCTGGTGGACGCCTTTCAACGCGATGATATCCATGCATACGAAGCTGTTCTGAGTCAGCATCCCGACGTGCTGGCCGATCCCTTCATTGCCGAGAACATCGACGAGGTCAGCCGGAACATGCGGACCAAGGCCGTGCTCAAGCTCATTGCCCCGTACACCCGCTTCTCTCTCCAATTTATCTCCAAGCACATCAAGATCGCCGTACCAGAGGTGCTGGAGATCCTAAGCTTCCTCATCCTGGACAAGAAGCTCGACGCAAAGATCGACCAGGAGAACGGAATCGTGACCGTGGCTAGTTCCACCGATACTGAGCGTCTCCGTGCGCTGGAAGAATGGAGCTCTTCGATCCGAAGCCTCTGGCAAACCACCCTCAACGGCGAGGGTCTTCGACCCGACGACACCTCCCATGGCGGTGGCGGTGGCCCCATGTTTCAAGGGTTTGGTGACGAGGCCGCCCACCGCGCATTGAGCGCACGCCAACGGAAGGATCGAAAGGGATTTGGTGGCAAATTGGCCGTGGCATAAAGTTGCGGTCGAAAGCTACCTGTCAGATTTTCCACACGTGGTAGGATCGTCCTGGACTAGGTCTAGATGTCCGGTCCAGGACCCAATGATATATGTCCCCCTTTGAACACCGAACGAACGGACCGCGGTACCCTGGTACCTGCGGATGTGTATACTTGAGCCGCCTGGCGCCGGGTGAGATCCACGTGGGGGAAGGGGGTAGCGATAGCATTGTCACACCGAGTTTTCGCTGCAGCGGCCACAGCAACGGGTCCTGACAGTGGAAGTGGAGCGGTCTAAAGGACGGGGGGAATGAGGCATAGGAAGCAATTCGACGAAGCCCCGCAATTTAGAGTTGCTGTGACATAAGACGCTAAAATTTGATGATAAGATGAATTGGATGAGCTTTTTCACTCAGTAGGACGGTGTATTTATGGTATTCCTGTGGTTTTTGTGGCAATTGTCCAAGGGTGTTTCTCCTAACCGGTTACTACCTAGTGGACCCGGTACGGAGTACATATTGTATACATCTACTCCGTACACTAGGCATTAGTAGGTCCACTGGCGGATGATAGATGTACATAAGTACACGTAACTTATACCAGTACTAGTTAGTACTTGTAACCTCGGGAACCAACCGAGAGGGACTGGACTTGGGTACGAAGTACAAAGTACGGAGTAACTCCTGGGGAAACGGGATAGGAAGCCCCAATATTTCTAGAATCCTCCATCAAAAGGTCCCACCATGTGGCATTGGCATTCCTTTGGTACTTCTGATACTCGATACTGCATCCTCCATCATCCATCCTTCGTACTTCGGGGTAACCTCGAATCCAGGACCCAACAACCGGGTCAACACGAGACCCAATCCGCTGTGGCTTGGATGCGGCCGTTTATCCGACCAGCTAGCTCTCCGAGGTCGAGGTCGAGGTCGAGGCAGATTGGATTGGATTGGATTGGAACCTTAGCGATACCGGCTATGGGTCTGCGAGCACCATGCGTTGCATGGCATCACATCGCATCATGCATTGTGTATCGCGCATCGTGCCCCAAAGAGCCCACCAGAAGACCCGGCATGTGAACGGCTTATCGACAGCACACACAGACACCCACCGAGGAAGGACATGGAGCCAGCTAGGAGCCAGGAGCTCGGAGCCAGAGCCGAAGCTAGGCTAGGTACTACTATTACTAGCCCTGGAGCCCGATGATACCATCCAGCGGGGGCTGACGACGGATCCGCACGTACCTTGCACTCCGGCCTTTGTACTTGTGTATTTTCAAGTGCGATTTCATGATATCACGATTCCTCCAAATCCCATCCCATCCATCCCATCACAGGTTCATGGGATAGGGGTCTACATGCAATATGATGTGATTCGGGCTCTGGTTTGAACGGGAATGTCAAACACCGAGCACATGAGGGGGAAGGACTCCTCGCGCTGGCGATCAGTGCGCTAGACAGGCTTCAAGGGCCCAGATCGCAGAACCCATGATCTTAATGGTGGGCGAATAACCAAACCATCCCATCCAAAGCAACATTCCAGCAATCACTCAGCTGGTGCTTATGCTAATGCCAATGCCAGTGCCCCTGCTGCTTCCCTGTCCATGGTCCATGGTCCATGGCCCATAGCCCCCGGTGCCTGTGCTTCTGCTTCTGCTTCTGCTTGTGCTTGTGCTTGTGCTTGCGCTGCTGGGGCCAAACCGGCCGCACGTCCCCAGGCGGGATTACGATCCCCAAATCCTCAATCCCCAATTCCCGATCCAATTCCCAACTCGAGACTTCTCGGCCTATCATTGGCCGCAGCGGAGTCGGGTGACGGGGAAACCCAACGAGAAGTCTATTGAGCCTGGGGAGAACTGGTATGATTCATGTTAATGGCGATAGGCTCGGTTTTTCCTATTTTTCCGGGGTCACCAGTTCAGCCCTGAATCTGACGCTGCGCTTCCTGTTGCTTGTTAGTGGCTGGGTTTCAGCTTGGGAAGGAGATGGAAAAAGCAAAGAAAATTAGAAACGGAGATCTGGGTAAGCCATCGGTACTGGTGGAAGTACAGTGTGTGCAGGGCAACAGTGGACAAGGGAAAAGACAAATGGGAAAGATCGTGGACCAGTCGGTTGCAGGGCGGACCCATCGAATCAGGCGATCAAACATGAGTGCCCAGGTGTTTACCAGTACGGGGTACTATACCTAGGTACAGTATGGACCTCAGATAGTTCGTACCTAGGTATACGGGAGATATGGATGTATACAGATGCCATTGGGAGCTTCAACTCTGGAACCCCCCGCTTTTCCGGCTAAATCCCGAGCTGTCATGAAATAGTACCTAAGGACGGAGTAGTTGGAGATGAGAAGAGAGAATGATCGCGCTTGACTAGACGCGACCTGGAGTACTTCTGTCGAAGCACAGTACAGTATACCTAGGTACTAATATACATACAGCCCTGAAGTGTAATGTAATTACTCAGTGTTTGCTCTCTCTGCTCTGCGCTGGCACTCGATCCGCATCTTCACACATCGGTGGGTTTTCCTGCATTTTCCCCTCTTGAGGAGCTTATCGTCTTAACACTTTTTCCTTTTTCCTTTCCTTTTTTTTCCCTTTTCTTTTTTTTATAAGATTGTAATTCTGGGGGGAGGCTTGCCCTTTTTTTTCTCTCGGAAATTCAAGATTGAAGGGTGGATTTGACCATTAATCATTTCTTCCCCCCCTCTCTTCCCTCTTCCGTTTAAGAACAACCTTTCTCTTTCCTCTCCTTCTCTCTCCACTCCACTCGTGGGACCGTTAATTCTACCTCTAACCTCTAACCTCTACCATCTATCATCAGCATCCCTGCCATTCTCTCTATCCCCCTCCTCTCTCCATGATTATATCATCCACGTGTGGATGATCGTGTCGCAAACACACCTCCAACCAGTTGTAGGTCTGATCCTTCCCCCCTCCTTCTGCTTCCCCCCCACCTCCCTCCTTTTTTCGCCCAGTCGCTTTCCCTTTTCGTACCTCCTTGCTGCCTCCTGCTGGCAGTGTCACTGTCGCTGTCGCTGTTGCTGCCTGAGAAACTGCCTTGGGATGATCCGGAGCTTTTTTCCGTCCTCGCGGCAATCCCATCGGCCTTCTTCTGAGAATCCTTGTACCCCCGGAGTGGACCCCCCCCCCATATTGCCTAGGCTCTTCTGCTGTGGTTCCTGCTGTGGTTAGCCCGCCCTTAAAGCGAGGTTGAACGTGGATGGTTGATATTCCCGCCTCCACTCATCCAACTATATCCCCCTCCCTCCCCCCCCCTCCTCACACAAACCCCCCCCCTCTCCACCCCATCGGTCGATCTGAGAGCCGCGGAAATGATTTGAGGCCACCACTCAGAACGCTATCAAGGTGCAGGTGGCCACTATGTCAGTGCTGCCCTCCAGAGCCCTGCGCTGACATCATACGTGTACTCTTTTGTCTACGTGATGCTTCAGCCCTGAAACCGTGTCTGCCATTTCTCCCCCCGTGGCGTCTGGATTTCTCATCACAAAACCCTCTTTAATCATGACTCCGGCCCAATCGGGATCTTTCTGCCCAGTTCCTTGGAGAGGCGTGCACACCATCTTCCCTATCTTCTGGATGCATGGACGCCGCACCGGTGCTCCGCCCAGACCCGCCTAGCTTCCTTGATTCTCGTCAGCTTGAGGTTCATGCACTCTTGGAATTTACATGCGATATGACACTATACCATTCTTGAACATTTTTGTGCGTCTGATCTTCCATGCTGAGACGATGATCATTTAGTTCCACCCAAATTGCTGGGCTCTCTGCAGAATCGCAGGGTAGTACAACGCCCCTCAAAAACACGCACAGCCGTGCAGCCCCAAAGGAAACAAATCCTCCTAGGGAGATGTCATTTCCCTTTGAGTGCGTCCCTATCTCTATTTCTATCCGGAATTCACCGTTTTTTCATCCTTTTTCCGTTCTTTTTTTCATCTCATTCTTCTTCATCTGAGTAGTCTGTTCTAATCTACCCTCCACAGATAAAAGTTGAACTGGCATAAACCGGACCCGTCTCCCTGGACATCGGCAAAGAAACAAGCCAAAAGGACTTCTCTTTTTTACCGTTTACCTCCAAAAAAAGGCAACCTTTTCTTTATCTTCTCTCTGTCGTATGCGATGTCCTTATCCAAACCCTGGAGTCATTTCGGTCCTCACCATCCTTTCCCGGACAAACAGCGGTTTCACACTTATTACCGGGACGCGCCTTCTTTTCTACCTCCTTTAGGATTCTCAATATCAGCCGCCTTGACCCCTTGTGTCCCTTCCAACATGAGTACCTCTACCAACATGAATGCTCTATCTCAATCCGAGATGGAACGTTTCCAGAAGCTCTCGAATGAGTTTGAACCAGATGTTCAAGTAAGGCTCCGACTACCCTAATTCGAAGAGATGGAGGGATTGACTGATTAATCTTCTCCCCCATAGGGACCCTTGGTTACGACCAAGCAATCTAGTCATACTATTGCATTGGACTATGCCAATGCGGATCCAACCCTCGCAGCAAAGACCAATGTAGGTTTTTTTTATTGCCAACTCTTATCATGGGCAGCCTCTTCATTCCATTCAATACTAACAACTGAATCAGGATCTTGCAGTCACACATCCCACCACCCGCATCATGAAGGGTGACGGAAATTGTGGCTGGCGAGGTATGTACTCCTATTTATCTAGAGAGAAGACAAGATTCTGATCATTTCTCAGCGGTGGCATTTGGGTATTTTGAAACCATGTTTAATAACCGTGACCCAATCCGTCTGCAAGAGGAACTCATTCGATTCAAAACACTCAACTGCTACCTGAACGAGGTTGGCCACCAAGAACACCTGTACGAAATCTTTTCCGATGCTACCGAGGAGATTTTCGCGCAAACTGCCCAGGCGATCCAAAATGGAGACCGGGACGAGACTTTCCTGGTCAATGCATTCAACGAGGAATACAGCTCAAACGCAGTCATCACCCACTTCCGAGTATGTTTGTCCCAGCAGTGAAGTGATATTGTCATTAGAAGCTAATTTCCCTTAGCTCTTGACCAGTGCCTGGATGAAACTTAACCCCAACCGATACCAAGCGTACCTGACCATGCCGCTTGATCAATATTGTGGTACACGTATTGAACCAGTGCGAAGCGAGATCGACGAGGTTGGTCTGCAAGCTCTGGTCGATGGTGTTATCAACCCGTCCCAGTTTGGTGTTGAGATCCTATATCTCGACAGAAGTGAAGGCGAACATGTGACGCCACACCAAATTTCTGACAAGTGTCCTATTCATGCAACCATCCGCCTGCTGTATCGACCGTGAGTATCTCGCCCGCCTTCCCTACCTTTATGAGACCCCCCTTCCCTGACAGCGATAGTGGCCACTATGACCTCCTCTACCGAGCCGAACCCACTGTGAATATGACCCCCATGGTCAACCTCCAATACGATATGACTTCTAACCTCGAAGCCTGGGATCAAGGAGCTCTCAACTTCGACGTCAGCTCCCACCTGATGTCCATCCCAAATCTGATGGCGGATCCGGGCTTCGGCATGGGCACGCCAATGTCACCCATGGCACCGTCGGTTTCTCCAACCCCAGCCAGCCCCTTCCGAATGTCTCCACCTCAGGAGATATACCAGTCGCCCATGCAAAGTCATGTGCCCAGTCATGCACAGAGCCACGCACAAATTCCTTCTATACCTGTTGCTTCGCCCCCGCCTGTTATGCCATCTGCTGCACCTCCACCTATGACGACCCTACCCAGCCGCTCATCGGATGGTCCACAAATTCGCTTGAACCCGCTCGTCATGAAGCCAAATTTGAGCCGTTCGCTTCCAGTTACAACTCCGTTTAAGAAGTGAGTTTTTTTCTCCCCGCGCTTATACTTGCGCTTTCGCCTCCCATCTATACGGCACCATGTTCATTAATTGACTAGCCACAGTTCACCGTACAACCAAGCACACTTCCAAAATCAAGACTTCGAGCCTATCCATTGGGAACCGAGCGATTCTCGCAGATCCTAAAATGTCGAATGTCCAAGTCCCGCTATTTCTGAATCCCATGGTCTCTCTTCGTACGTGCTGCTAGTGGAATATGTGCGTCTGAAGAAACTGTGATTTAGCGAATTTCATTTTGCCTTTTTTCCCGCCCGATCCTACTATTCTTTATAAGCATCGTCTTCTGCGCGCGCTCTCCCTTTCCCACTTTTCCAGCCTCTCTCTCTTTCATCCTAATTTCCGGATATTTCTCCTCCACCCTTCTCGTCGGGACGAGGTTTCGGGGTTCGCGCGGTTCCTGGCTAATGAAAAAAAATGAAACCATATGATCTGAACTCTCTCTGGTGCTCATATTATCTTTTCTTTCCTCCCATTCCTACCCCTTGCCTTGGATTTGGATATGGATTTGTTTACCTAGCGTGGGTGCAGCGCGTTGCATGCATGGACTGAGCGTTTGTTCTGCACTTTTCTGCAAATTGTCCCCCCTTCGCCTTTATCGAATTATCTTCACCTTTTTTTATTTTTAACTTTTTGCCCACCCCTTTTACCCTATTACTTCTTTTCTTAGGTGTGGATTTAGGTCAGGTTAGGTCAGGAAGGTCAGGTCATCTTAGGCTAGGACAGGCTTTATTTTCATCTCATCAACTTCAAGTTCTTTCCACTTTTACTATTATACACCTAGGTACACCTACGGTTCTACTATACTATAAGACCCATCCAATCTTCAAAGCCCCAATCAACCCTCTAGTCCAAGTTCTAATTATATCAACAAGTCCAATCCTGATAATACAAGATCTCAAAGTCCATACTAGTATACAAGTCATAATCCACAGCATCATACATACACCCTGCAACTTGAAACCCCCCAGCCTTCGGTCAAGAAGTCTCCTCATCCCTAGCCTCCAACACAACATCAACCATCTCATCCAACGCCCGATCCCGATCCCCCGCACCCAGGTACCCAGCTCGAACAAGCCGTCCCAACGCATCACCCACCCAATTTTGACTATTCCAATCCATTTCTTCCGGGATGTCGATTGGGATAGGCGTTTCGGATGTGATGAGGCGGAGGGCGGGCGGGGGTGCGTTTTGTATTGAGGAGACGCGGATTACGCGGGCTAGATCTGATGGAGGAGATTAGGTTTGTTGGAGAGAGTGTGTGTGTGGTATGTTCACGTACTGCTGGAGGTGGGGATGTCGGTGTTTACGCTTTCGGCGAAGCAGAAGAATCCTGGTGATCCGGTGATTTCCATTATGGATGATTTTATTTCGGGGGAGGGTGGCGAGTCTGCGTTTGTATCTGCGTGTTGGTCTCGATCTCGATCCCGATCTTCTGCATTGGGCTGGAGCTTGGTTTCGGTCTGAGTCTGAGTCTGAGTCTCGGTCCCGATCCCGATCCCACTCCCGGTTCCATTTTTATGCGATGCGGTGAGATCGGGGGCTGCTGGTTGGTTCTTAGCTAGCTGTTGCGTTTGCGTATGCGATTGCGATTGCGCAAAGTCGAAGAACAGAGCTGTGTGCCGGTATCGGGCGTAGTCGAGTGGCCTGGCGACGAAGACGAGGATTGAGAGGTCGGTGGGCATTTGGATTTTTGTATGGCGCTGTTTCAGATGGGTGAGTGAAGGAAAGGTAAGTAGGTGCTTATGCTTTCAGAGTGGGAGGTGAATGTCATGGCCAAGGACAAGATCATGATTATGACCATGAAAATAGTCATGATCATAGGGTCGTAGTAGTCAGTCACAGGCTTGCGGGATGACGTCGGTCGTGGCTTCTGGAAACTTTGGAAATTGTGGGGGCATCACTCATGCAAGGAACGGAATTGGGAAAGGGTCTTAAAAATGAATAGCGAGAAATAGAATGTATTCAAATCTTTTTATTTATGCATTTAATCTATACTAAAGCTTGTCTGGGTTTAAGATGTGGTGGTGATAGTGAATAGTATGGTGGAAACAACTACCTTGCCAGTGGTGGGAAGGGAAGAGCCTCAACGAATAGTATAACATCTCCACATATGACTACCAGCACAAGCAGAGCCAATCTTTATTTTCAATCACGTAGATCTGATATCGATAAAAATAGCTGCCTAGTATGGCCCCAACAGCATTGATATTGATTGGGTTCTGGTTTTTGGCCCCCGGACTAGTTAGTGTTTGGGGCGGTGTTCACGGTTCAGTTCATTTCGTCCCTAAACCAAGTCAATCCCCTCTAGCAGAATCAAGCCATTATTCAAAGTCCTTCAACTTCTTCGTAACCACACGCAACACAATATGATTATGGGTATGTATAATGTGCTCTATTGCCGCCATACAGTCTCAACTAGTATAATGCTAATGCATGGTCCGAAGAATACCTACGCCCAGGACCCCTTGCCATCTATACAGCGACACGCGTGGGCACTCAAATCTACGGCCAGAGATTCTCTCCAATGACGGGAAACACTTGGATGATCACGTGTTATATGATGGAATCTGTGCTCATAGCGCTGTCGTTTCCCCCTACCCCGACGGAGAGAAAAGTTAAACAGGGCAGTACATTGAGATGTGTCGAGGACCTGGAGCAGGAAAATACATTGAGATGTGTCGAAGAGCAGGACAATGCAATCTGTTGTGAGAGTGGTCCATCAAACCCAAGGAGCATGGTCCACATATCGGTGATCTTGGGTATCGTGTTGGTATGGCTTCTCGCTATTGGTGTCGTGGTTTACTTTTTTCATTATCGCCATCCCCCCCCAGTACGAGGCTGTGGTCGAGAGATCGCCGGCAATTCTATATCACGGTCACGCCCTACTTTGCTGTTCCCAGCTTCATGTACTCTATGAGTCTATTTTATCCCTACCTGGAGAGCGGTGCTGCGTGGTTTGGACTTGATATCTCCAACAAGTACTTTTATATTGTTGCTCGTTCCGCTTATCCGGTCTATATCGCGTTGGCAGCCTGGGCAGCCTGGTTTTTGACGTCTCATATGGAAGTGCCAGGGCCAGCGACGGAAGACGAACGCCCGGTTGATCGGGAAGACGGGGCAGTCAAGAAGAGTGTTTCTGGTGTGTGAAACCAGATTTGTGTTACTGTCATTGTGCTACTAGAAGAGATTTCCTCATGCATCATCGGTCGCGATACTTCTTGATGAGTCACGAAATGGTGAGATGAGACTTGGCTAAATGCAATTAAAGACAGTCCCCAGCCTCCTGGAATATCATACTCAGCTGAGCCGCTCGTCTTGCCCGTAGATCCCTGAAATGCCGTTCTAGCCCTGGAGGGTGCACATGCGAAGAACATAACGCGGCACGGACCGCATAATTTGCCACAAGAAAAAGGCATTATCAATAGCAGGAGCAGTTGGGTATTCAATACTGCGAGGGACAATATCTGCAGCCCCGAGAATCACATTTACTAGGGGGGGGTAGGGTAATTTTGGCGCAGATATTCCGCCATCAGGTCATGGCCGTTGGTGATTCCACCTACCCTATAGTCAGCCATGCTGTGTCACGAAGTATATAAACAGACAACATACCGCAAGACCAGATATTTCCGTCACGCACGATTCGCATGGAATCATCCCAGAGCTTCGTATCTGGGAACTCCTTTTGTAGACGCGGGATCAGGAATCGAGGCGCGGTAGCAACTCTTCCTTTGGTGATGCCGGAATATGCAATTACCAATGCAGCGGTACAGACTGACATGATCTCGGCCCCGGCCTTGAAATGCTCCCGTAGGAACTCTAGGTAGTCATCGCCGCATGGCATGTTGTCAGGAGGAGGACCAGGAATGAAAAGCACGTCGAGTTGTCCGGGTCTGACGGCGGGGCTGGTAAGAGAGTCGGTCAAAGAGAGCTCCATGTTGGCAGTCACAGGCGAGTGCTCCTTGGCTCCGCCACGGCCGATATAATGGACCTGACAGGTTCTACCAAGCTCTTGCATCGGCTTTGGCATGCCGATAGCCTTGATGTACTCAGGGTCCGTCATGAAGAGAAGGTCGACGGCGGCAATGTCCAAAAGCTGAACGGCGTCGACGAGGAGAACCCCGACCCGCAGGGGATTAGGATTTGGCATCTTGCTCGAGATTATTGCTTGAGAGTTAGGAGAAGAGTTGTGAGCTTTGCGTTGTGGAATATAGAAAGAGCTCAGAACTTACTCAGAGGGGCGACGAGATAGTGTGATTACGGTAGATGAAGTAATATGCGAGCCTGCAAGAGACCAAGAAGAAGAAAGGAGGTAGATCAATCCCTCGGAGGTGATTGAAGGAGGGTCGAGGCTTAGTTAGACCCAAGAGAAAAGACCTAAGTGAGAGCAAACAATAAAATAAGTTGAAGTTGGCAATTTTCAGATTGACACATAATTTGTCAGGGATTAATATGTTCATGCTGCAGAACTTGAAGGCTGACATACTTGCAATCAAGAGAGCTCAAGGCATCAGGATTTCTGATATATTAGAGACTCGGTGGTGAAACACGTTATAATACAATACATACTACTAGTATATTTATGGCAAATGAGACGTAAATTTGAGGCTTTATTAGGAGACTTGACTCGATCCGTACTAGTATTTTTGGAATGCTCCATTCACTAGCACAGTACTGTCAGCGCTCGTGGTTTAATTTGCTCAATATGCCGCGTGCTGAGTAAAATTTTCAATCTCTCAAAAGGCCGCTGCACTATCGTATGGACGGAATGGTGATGATTCGGTAGTGTTGTCACACAAGGGCTGTATCTGTAGGCAAGCTTCATGCACAACAGGCCATTTTCATGCTGACAGCAGACAGCAGATTTAGGAGAGGTGCTGAAAGCCCAAAATTAAAATAAGTAGATCCATGATTCTTAGCGATAAGATGCGGCATGCGATGAGTTTATGAAATTATTTGACTTGCGGTCAGGGAGCTGGTGAATTGCGTTTGGAAGTTGACAATGTCCTTCGGATATCGCATGATACTGCGGATTTGTGCGGCACTCCATAGTGGCAACCGACTTGGTAAGTCTATCATGGCAATTTGGGCTGGCCATCTCAGCGGCTGTTTCTACCTGTAGGCTTCTATGGTTTGGATATTCCAATGAGTGTAGGTATAATGCGCAGATAATATGGATTGCCAAGATAGTATTGTATACGCTAGTAAACGCGTGATCTGTCGCAACACTTGCCTTAGGGAGTTAGCGGGGTTCGATTTTCCAAAATAATCTTTTTCTCCATGCCAATCTCAGAGGTAGCAAAAAGGATGCCCGCGGGAGTACCACTCCCTTGGAAATTTCACCATGAAAATTGGGTGAAGCGATGGGAGTCCCAGTCTGGGGACTTTCCACCGCACGAGACTGAGCTCGAACATGGACAGAGACGACGTTTCCTGAAGGGCAATCACTGGTTCAGAAGACCTCACTCGAACGGGATAGCCAGTGAGCTTTTGAACGCGGAAATTGAGCGTTGGCCATGGGGATATACGATATATCGTACTGTTTTTACTCCGGAATCCGATGTTCACTGGGAAGCTGCCGTGGATGCAATACGAGAAAATATCTTTGCTTCACTAGAAAGTGAGCTACGACATGGATCGAATGAGAACGAGGATGCACATCGAATAATACGCGACGGATACCGTAGCCTCGTGTTTCAAGATCAAGCTTGCCTCGACGGAGCGACTATCGATCAAGTTCGGGAGAAATTCAAAGATTTTGTTACAAATGAATTCTTTCCTGCGGGTGTTCGATTCCGCTGGTGTCTGGTCATCGATGCAGAGGCTATCCAGTCATTTATACGCTGCCCTCAACCCGCTGAATTTTCTGATTCATCGGAAACTGGTACAATTGAAGGGAATGGTGCCTGGGTGACAGTCGTGGACCCTGAATATGTGCCGGGCTCTACTTCCAAGGGCAAAGGTCGCTCAAGATTATACCGGGGATATATGCGGTGCCATCTCAACAGACTGCAATCTCTTGCGTGGGTAGGGACTATGAAACACATATCCAAAATGATTCGCCGGGATGCAGGTGGTATTCCATGGTACATAGAAAACATTTAAGAGAGGGTCTAGAATGCCTGGGAGAAGGATAGGGAAGCGAAAGGTCGACCAGGACAAGCTTGTCACCTACGAAAGTCATAAAATTGTTTGTTTCATTGTCCAGAAGGTACCTACTACTAGTACTTAATAGGCTGATGTATAAGTGGTAACCTTGCAACTTGAAGGACTCGGAATGCTTTCCAAGGTTATCCACGCCTCCGCCCGTTACCGCAATAGTTACAAATAGTATCTAACCACTACTAGAACTTAAATACTGGGTAGTTACTAATTGAATATTCTAGTAGAACCAGACTAATGGCCCCTCTAACTAAATTCTTTGATGATGGACTAGGCTCACTCAGATCTGGCCTGACCGGAGCATGACCGACGGTGCACACTGGCCCGGCCGGGTGTTGGTGCTCCGTCATCCCCGCCCCCAACTTTTACCTCTCTCCACATACTCGGCAGATTCCCGATATCGCAATACCAAACGCCGTACTTGAGGGTCAATTTATTGATGGGACAAAGAAGGGAGATTTGGCAGGAACCACGCACCTATATCTTATCGTCAGCCTCGGAAGCCCTTGTACCACCTTAAGTTGACTCGCTGCTGGTCGCTATAATTCCTCCTGAGTTTAGGGGCGTCCGTGGTTCGGGGTTTCCCCGCATTGGGGATCACACCTTAAATTGAGTCGGCCCATCCATGAAGGAACCGGGTCCCGAAAATCACCCCCTTTGTACCGTCATTGGACGGAGTACTGCAGTCCGGCCCGAGCTCACGAAGCTATCGCCGGTCTATGACCTCGCTCGGACTTGACATACGGAGTACTGTCGTCCACTCGACATAGAGGGTGCTCCAAAACGGTTGCATTCTCGGGTTCTGCTCGGCGAAATCTTCAAGGCTGGACCGCATATATAGAGCTCATCTCTCCAGTTTGGATCTTTCCCACTATCGTGTGTGCGAAGATTGCGACGATCTGATCAAGATGGGCTCGGTTATTGATACTCCGCCGAAGGGCGGCTTCAAGCTGGTCTTACAAAATCCATATCTATGTGGTGTAGCATCGGCAAGTTCCAATTACCCATGGCAGAATGATCATAAATGCTAATTTTTGCGTAGTTCTCAACACTCGGTGGCCTGTAGGTGCCTACTCCAGTCCCAGTCAGCTATATGTTTCACTAATTGGATCAAAACAAAGGTTGTTTGGCTATGACCAAGGTGTCATTAGTGGCGTGATAACTATGGAATCATTTGGAGCCCGATTTCCACGCGTCTTCACCGATAGTGGATTCAAAGGCTGGTTTGTGTCGACGCTGCTACTCGGTAAGCTCTCCACAGACGTTCAATGATTTAAGTATAGTTGAATTTACGAATCTATAGCTGCTTGGTTCGGATCTTTGATCAACGGGCCCATCGCGGATCGTGTTGGGCGAAAGCTTTCTATCAACCTCGCGGTGGTGATATTCGTCATTGGATCTGCTATTCAGTGCGCAGCTGTGAACATCCCAATGCTTTTCGCTGGTAAGTTAAGTACGTTCTAAGCCGTTAGATTATGGCTAACTCCCCTAGGTCGAGCTATTGCTGGTTTGGCCGTTGGAATGATGACCATGGTCGTGCCATTATACATCTCCGAGGTGACATCTGACTCCACGAAAGTATTGACTGAATGGTAAGCTAACGACGTGACAGGTCTCTATTCCTGAGATTCGTGGAGGTCTGGTAGTCACTCAGCAATGTTTGTTTTATACCCCTTGAGATCAAGAATTTTTAAACTAATGTGCTTCTAGTATCCGTCACTATTGGAATTCTCGTCAGCTATTGGATTGACTACGGCACCAACTACATTGGCGGTACTCGCTGCGCTCCTGACATGTCCTACACTGGTGGGACGTCTGCAAAGCCTACTTTCGACCCATACAATGATATTCCGGCGGCGGGCTGCAACGGGCAATCGGAAGCTTCGTGGCGTATTCCACTGGCAATTCAAATTGTCCCGGCAGTAATCTTGGGGGTTGGAATGCTGTTCTTCCCAGAGTCGCCTCGATGGTTGCTTATGAAGGAGCGTGATGATGAAGCGCTTGTCTCTCTCTCGAGACTGCGCAGGAAGGATCGCGATTGCACTTCTCTGCAGGGTGAATACTTGGAAATCAGAGCGTCTATCATGTTGGAGAACTCCTTCGCTCGACAGAACTTCCCCAACCTTTCAGGTGTGAGGCTGCATGCCGCTCAGGTTCGTGCATCGTTTGCATCTCTTCTGCTCTAAACTGACATGCTTCTTTCTCACAGTACATGTCTTTGTTCACGAAATGGGCACGCTTTAAGCGGCTTTTCATTGGCTGTGCGGTGATGTTTTTCCAGCAATTTATCGGCTGCAACGCCATAATCTATTACGCGCCGACGATTTTTGGCCAGCTTGGAATGAATGGCAACACCACTTCGCTACTCGCAACTGGAGTATATGGCATTGTTAACTGCCTGTCTACTCTTCCAGCATTATTTCTGATTGACAAATTTGGACGTCGAGCTCTTCTGATGGCTGGAGCTGCCGGTACTTGTATCTCACTGGTGATCGTTGGTGGAATCCTAGGAGCCTATGGAGCCGATTTGATGAGCCACAAGTCCGCTGGTTGGGCAGGTATTGCGTTCATCTATATCTATGATATTAACTTCTCCTATTCATTTGGTAATTATTCCCAGGCCTTGATCAAATACTTGAGGTCAATCACTAATCATCATCTCAGGCCCTATTGGTTGGGTGCTTCCCTCGGAGATTTTCAATCTTTCGATCCGGTCTAAGGCCATTTCCATCACCACATCTGCCACATGGATGTGCAACTTGTACGTTGAAATCACACAAGCTCCGTTATCCTATCAGTTCTAACGTTTTTCTCAGCATAATTGGCCTGGTCACTCCTGACATGCTTGACAACATTACCTGGGGCACATACATCTTCTTTGCGGCATTCGCTTTGATTGCGTTTATCTTTACATTCTTCTGTATCCCAGAAACACGTGGAAAGGTACATAAATCCCCGACCTTTACTATCTTAAATAGGAAAACAGCACTGACTTTGATGCAATCTAGACTCTAGAGGATATGGATCTCATTTTCGGAGATACCTCGGCACACGAAGAAAAAGAACGTATCAAGCATATTGAGGCTGATTTGCGTGGGACCCCTCTCGATGATGCGGAAGACTTGAAGCCAACAGATCAGCACAAAGAGCTCATTGATTCTGTTTGATCATCTGATTATTCTTATGACCTCAACCGAATACATACAGTGGTATGGTTGTCCATATAAAAAAGCCTTTCCGCAATAAGAGAATCTGTGCATATGAAGTTCTACGTGTAGTCCATGTCTTCGCCTGCATCAAGTCTACAATTCTACAGATCCAGGACTCCAAAACTACCGTAGAACCGTAGGTTGGGTCTCGTGTTTTATTGTGCATATCACAGGCGTTCCAAGGTTATTCAAGTATTTAGCGGTTTCAACTTTGGAATGAATATTTCAGAGCTATGATCTGATAATACTATAACATAAATTTCCATATCACCAAGGCCCGAAAGATCCCGCTTATTAAGCGGTAAAAAAGATGAGCAATCAAATAAATGGTCGCAATATGCCCAGGTGTTGACGTGGCGCAGGCGGCTCCAGTCAGACGGCGTAGGGCTGCAATAGAAAGACGGATCGGGATCGGTGTCAAACCCCTCCGATGCCGATATCTCCTTTATTTGTGGCTGAGCGGAGCCGCCGCCAATTCCTTGGCTGCCACTCGGAGCAGTGGTTAGTGGGCCAATTGGTAATTGGTCAGATCTTGGCCCGGGTGTCGCCGATGCCTTGTTCGGAATCGCATGGATTACTGCATAAATCGATATGCATGAGGTTCAGCTTGAGCATAGTGCGAAGATTGGGTTGCTGACAGCGTCAGTCAACCCAGCCCTGCCACGATGGGGTCATCTGTGCAAGCCGATAGCTTCTCTCATGTCTGGGTCGTAAGAAACGAGAAAAGGCGTTTCTTCGGTAGCCATCTGTGGAGCGAGATACTTTTCCCTCAATTGTGTTTATTTGCCGACTATTTTAACTATGTGGGATCAAGATCGTCCAAGACCACTCGTTTTAGTGCCAACGCTCGCACCCACTGCCGACCAAGGCAATCCATCTGCCACGAGGATCAAAGGTATGTAGAAGAAGTCCCCGGAGAGATCGCCGTGACGGGCCCCAAGGAAAGCCCTAATATTCAATATGTAAATGAATAGTGGGGTTGTTTCGAATTGTACATTGAAACTAGCTGGCCAGGACAAAATTCCAACGTTCGTGGGAAAAAGTGCAACGTATACCTAGGTACATAGACCGTCACCTTTCGCCTTGTGTAGTAGCATCTTACAGTACATAATGGTGACATCATGACTGCAGCCCTCTTGGCAATGATAGCCAGGACTTTGAGGCCTTTGTTCAACTGGGTACTTAGGTTGTGATGATATGAAACCACGACAATGAAACCGCTTGGTGATAGAAGAAAAGAACTGCCCAGAACCCTATGGACTATGAAATCCAGTTTTATTCAATGTAATGTAATCAACCAGAACATCCTCGGATCCCGGATAGCACTGAGTCAGCGGAGGGGGACAAGGGGCCTCCCTTCCGAGAAGGGGGCTTGCGAATGATCGACGCCGATTTCTGACCCACCACCGGATTTAGCCCCATCCGAGACCAATCACATCGCAGCTTTCACATTTTCTTTCGCGGCCGGGCTATGTGTACGGAGTAGTCGCAGACCCGGCCCTCACTCTTCAACCGACTCCGAGACCCACTACATCGATAGCTCGACCGAAAACATCGGAGCAGTTAGACCTCAGCCGTACCTAGCGAACGTTATATCTAATTCCAGCTCGTGGGGAGCCTAAATCGAATTTTCACCCGTTCCAGATTGTAAACTCTGTTTGACTTCCCCCTCCTGTCCATTTAAATACATCCGGGGCTGCCGCCTGTACATCCCCTTAGTTCCTGATTTCTCTATTGTCATCAGACACCTGGGCATTCTTATTCCCCCATTCCATTCTTCCCCGGATCGGAGGCCGTCTCCTCCTATCTTTTAACCATGTCTTCCTCTTCAGAACATACCCATGATGAGGATCATTGGTCGAAGGATGAATCAACACCAACATACGAGCCACTCAACTATATCGAACAACATGACGTGGAGACGCTCACGCGGATTGCTACTCAGCAGTCTCGCCGACAGTCAACCATACCTGCTCATCGTCTTGCATCAGTGGCCCAACACGATGCCTCATTGAATCCTCAATCGAAGGAATTTGACCTACGAAAATGGCTCGGCATGGCCATGAGCGACGCCCAGCGCGATGGAACCCATCGCGGCCAGAACTTGGGAATTGTTTTCAAGAACCTCAATGTCTACGGATCAGGGGCAGCTTTGCAATTCCAGGATACTGTCGACTCCATGTTGACTGCCCCTCTTCGAATTCCCCAGATGATTCGTGAATCCCACGCCCCTAAACGGCGAATCCTGAAGGACTTCAATGGTCTGGTGAAGAAGGGTGAATTGCTTCTGGTCCTGGGTCGTCCTGGTTCTGGTTGCAGTACCATGCTAAAAACACTTTCTGGCGAATTGCATGGTTTGGAGCTCGATAAAGAAAGCTCAGTTCACTATAACGGTATGAAATTATCTCCAATATTCCAGTCGGATATCTTGCTAACTCGATATGGTAGGCATCCCCCAATCTCGCATGATTAAGGAGTACAAGGGCGAAGTGGTATACAACCAAGAGGTGAGACTCTCATATCTATTTTATCTTGAACAGCTTCCTGACAATGCTATCCTGCTAGGTCGATCGCCATTTCCCTCACTTGACAGTCGGACAAACGCTCGAATTCGCCAGTGCGACACGAACCCCATCCCATCGCTTCGATGGCATGTCTCGCTCAGAGTTTTCCAAGTATATGGCACAAGTTGTGATGGCAGTCTTTGGTCTCAGTCACACCTATAACACACGGGTCGGAGATGACTTCATTCGTGGTGTCTCCGGTGGTGAAAGAAAGCGTGTTAGTATTGCCGAGATGGCTGTGGCAGCAGCCCCCCCCTAGGAGCTTGGGATAATTCTACTCGAGGTCTCGATTCGGCAACTGCCTTGAAGTTTGTCGAATCCTTGCGCCTTCTTTCGGATCTCGCCGGCTCCTCTCACCTCGTCGCTGCCTACCAGGCCAGCCAAAACATCTATGACATCTTCGATAAAGTTGTTGTTCTTTATGAAGGTCGCCAGGTCTTCTTTGGGCAAGCCAAGGTTGCAAAGGAATTTTTTGAGCGGCAAGGATGGGTTTGCCCTCCTCGCCAGACGACTGGAGACTTCCTCACCTCAGTGACGAATCCTGATGAGCGTCAGGCTCAACCGGGCATGGAAAACCGTGTTCCTCGCACCCCTGAGGACTTTGAGAAATTCTGGCTCAACTCTCCCGAGTACACACAACTTCAAAAGGAAATTACCGACTACGAGAAGGAATATCCATTGGAGGCAGACTCCTCGGCTGCCATTGAGCTCCAAGAAAAGAAGCGTGGCAAACAAGCCAAGCATACCCGCCCCAAGTCGCCATATATTATCAGCGTGCCCATGCAGATTAAGCTGAACACAGTTCGTGCCTATCAACGTCTCTGGAATGATGCAGCTGCGACAGTCTCTACCGTCGTTAGTAACATCATCATGGCACTGATTATTGGATCCGTGTTCTATAATTCCCCCGCCATGACTTCCGGCTTCCAAGCTCGTGGAGCCACTCTTTTCTTTGCCGTCCTGCTCAACGCTCTTACTGCGATGAGTGAAATCAACAGTCTTTATTCCCAACGCCCAATTGTCGAGAAGCATAATTCATATGCATTCTATCATCCGTTTACAGAGGCAGTGGCTGGTATAGCAGCAGATATACCAGTCAAATTTGCCCTCGCCGTCGCCTTCAACATCATCCTTTACTTCCTTTCTGGACTTAAGCGAGAAGCCGGACATTTCTTCTTGTACTTCCTAGTTACCTTCCTGATTATGTTTGTTATGAGTGCAGTGTTCCGAACTTTGGCCGCTGTCACGAAGACAATCTCTCAGGCCATGGGTCTGGCTGGTGTTATGATTCTCGCTCTTGTCGTTTATACAGGTTTCGTCTTACCGGTGCCATCCATGCATCCCTGGTTTGAGTGGATTCATTATCTGAATCCTATCTACTATGCCTTCGAAATCCTGGTTGCCAACGAATTCCATGGAAGAGATTTCCCTTGCTCGCAATTCGTTCCCTCTTATGCTGATCTGGCTGGAACCGCATTTTCCTGCTCCGTCATTGGCTCCGTGGCTGGCGAACAAACTGTCAACGGTGACAGGTACATCTGGTTGAATTACAAGTACACCTATGCTCATGTCTGGCGTAACCTTGGAATCCTGTTTGCGTTCCTGGTCGGCTTCATGGCTATCTACTTCATTGCCTGCGAGTTGAACTCCTCCACCACCAGCACTGCCGAGGCTCTTGTCTTCCGTCGTGGCCATGAGCCCGCTTACATGCGCCGTGGTCAAGAGAAATCTGGTGACGATGTTGAAAATACCACCGGAGCTCCAGTGAAACAGTCCTCCTCTGACGGAGAAGATGGCCAGGGAATGTCTGCCATTCAGCCTCAGACTGATGTCTTCACTTGGCGCGATGTCTCTTACGATATTGAGATCAAGGGTGAGCCCCGACGACTTTTGGATCATGTTTCTGGATGGGTCAAGCCAGGTACTCTCACTGCACTTATGGGTGTTAGCGGTGCTGGTAAAACTACTCTTCTTGATGTTTTGGCCCATCGAACCTCCATGGGTGTTATCACTGGCGATATGTTTGTCAATGGAAAGGGGCTTGATGCTAGCTTCCAGCGGAAGACCGGTTACGTTCAGCAACAGGATCTCCATCTCGAAACTGCTACGGTTCGCGAGAGTCTACGATTCAGTGCTCTTTTGCGTCAGCCTGCCAGTGTCTCGCTTAAGGAAAAGTATGACTATGTTGAGCAGGTCATTGGCATGCTTCGGATGGAGGATTTTGCGGAAGCAATCGTTGGAGTTCCCGGCGAAGGTCTCAATGTCGAGCAGCGCAAGCTGTTGACTATCGGTGTTGAATTGGCTGCGAAGCCTAAACTTCTTCTCTTTTTGGACGAGCCAACCAGGTATGTTTCAATCCCTGAATTCTTCTACCTCCTCAGCCCTCCAGTACTAACTAAGTCTTAGTGGTCTCGACTCCCAAAGTTCTTGGGCTATTTGCTCCTTCTTGCGCAAGCTAGCCGAGCATGGTCAAGCAGTTCTTTGCACCATTCACCAGCCTAGTGCTATTCTCTTCCAGCAATTCGACCAGCTTCTATTCTTAGCCCGAGGTGGTAAGACCGTTTACTTTGGCCCTGTCGGCGAACAATCTAGAACCCTCCTGGACTACTTTGAGGCTCACGGCGCCCGAAAATGCGATGACAGCGAGAACCCTGCCGAGTTCATGCTCGATGTGGTTAATGCTGGCACGAACCCCCAGGGCCAAGATTGGTTTGATGTCTGGAAGCAAAGCAAGGAATCCGTCGCCGTCCAGGCCGAGATCGACCGCATCCACAAGGAAAAGCAAGGTCAACAGACTGAGGCCGAAGATGCCTCTGCCACTGCCGAGTTTGCTATGCCATTCTGGTTCCAGCTGTACCAAGTCACCTACCGTGTTTTCCAACAGTACTGGCGTATGCCCTCGTACGTTGTCTCCAAGTGGGGACTGGGTATTGCAGCTGGTCTCTTCATCGGGTTCTCATTCTACCAAGCCAAGACTTCGCTTCAAGGAATGCAGACAATCATCTACTCGGTCTTCATGCTTTGCACAATCTTCACATCCCTGGTACAACAATTGATGCCTTTGTTCGTTACCCAACGCTCTCTTTATGAGGTTCGCGAGAGGCCCTCCAAGGCCTATTCCTGGAAGGCATTCCTCATCGCCAACGTCATTGTCGAAATTCCCTACATGGTTATCACCGGTATTCTCATCTTTGCTTGTTATTTCTACGCCGTCGTGGGAATCCCCAGCTCTCTCAGCCAGGGTACTGTCCTTCTTTTCTGCATGCAATTCTTCATCTACGCCAGTACCTTTGCCCAAATGTGCATTGCCGCTTTGCCCGATGCCCAGACTGCCAGTGCGGTCGTTGTCCTTCTCTTCGCTATGTCTCTCACTTTCAACGGTGTGATGCAGCCCCCATCTGCTCTCCCAGGATTCTGGATCTTCATGTACCGCGTCTCTCCCTTCACATACTGGGTCGGAGGCATGGTTTCAACCCAGGTTCACGATCGAGCCATTGTATGTTCTCAGTCTGAACTCTCCATCTTTGACCCGCCATCTGGCCAAACCTGCTGGCAGTATCTTGAGAAGTACGCAACATTGGCCGGTGGTCAAGTGCTTAACAAGGACGCCACTTCTAGCTGCGAGTACTGCTCTTTGCAGGTTGCTGATCAGTTCACAGCGCAATCGGAGATCTACTACTCCGACCGCTGGAGAAACTTTGGCATCGTGTGGGCCTTCATCATCTTCAATATCTTCATGGCTACCGTTCTCTACTACACTTTCCGTGTCAAGAAATGGAGTCTTGATGGTATCAAGCAGAAGCTTGGAAGCATCATCCCGTCGAAGAAATCCAAGGCTACTCAATAAATTGACTGCTTACCTCTCCCTCTCTCTCTCTCTCTCTCTCTCCCTTTCTTTCTTTCTTTCTCACTCCCTCACACTCTCTGCCTTTTCATTCTATGTACATCTTTGCACCCGTTTATACTTTTCTCCTTTTACTTGATTTCTGGATTATATAGACCTGGCGTCGTTGGCCAAATAGGCTATAATACAATTGAAGCTTGAAATATTCGAAATTAACCGCGAAGATCTATCGTACTAAGTAGTATACTGTCATGAAAAACCATCTGAGCTACTAGCAACAAGTATGAACACGGGTACATACTCCTATTCGGTGACTCGCAGCTTGACGCTCAGCACATGGGAAGGGAAACTGCCGAGGTACCACATGGCAAAGAAGAAAAGGAGGTCATAATTTATCTAGAGCGAATAATTCTAGACTATTGGTGGGCCCTTGGCAATTCGCCAAGAGTAACAGAAATAAAGCGAAGAAAAAGAAGTTAAAATTTTAGCGTTTTTATCCGGCTTTGCCAAACAAAGCTAAGCCATGAGTGTTACACTGTCGCCTTATAGTCCCCACAGCTGGATCGGGATTCGGAGCATGGAAACCCGTTGCCCTTTTACCTGCAGATCGGGATGCCGACCCGTCGGGGGTTTGTTATGTGCCGGTGGCCAATCGGCTCTTGATTTTGAAAGGTGTCAATTGAATATATGCAACTATATGCAGTAAAAAATGTCTGACAGGTGGGGTTTGCCTAATTAGTCACCGCCGCTTTTTCAAGGAAGCTCAGTGCAAGTTGTAGTCACTAAAGTAGCTACTAGTACTAGTAGTAACTATTATGATCACATCCTGCGCCTGATCAAACAAAGCTCATAAATCACATGATATAGGATATTAGTGAGCGCTCACAGAGCCATTTATCTTGTGCTACTAGTATAGAGTGGTAGTCTCAACAGGATTTTCCCTCATTGTTTTGCCGGTCGGCCCTCAGTTATTTGAATTACAAAGGGGGGGGGGGAAGAAAAGCTCCCCATCTCTTGAGTCATAAGATATAGCCATGTACTTGCAAATTCTCGGCTGTTTTGTATATTATGTCCAGGGCTTATATAATCTAAAGATATCCTCCGAGGTCTATGAATTGAATTCAATGTTAGCTACCTATGAGATATGCATAGATTGATCTACTACTGCATTTTGGATCTCTCACTTGGAGGGTAAACTTAACATCTCATCCTGACGCAACTACAGCCACTAGTGCAGATAATCTGCTTTGTATAGAGTACTCCGTAAATATATGGGAGTTCAATAACCTAAACCAATTTGATGCAGCGAAGATCTAGTACTATAGTTTGTAGTGGCAAATATGGGGGTGAAATGTGTATCCCAAGCCAGCTGTTGGCCAACCGCCTGGAGGGGTTGAGAATTGTTATTTTGTGATAACCGGTATTGTCATGAGATATAACTGAAAATTAAAAAAAATAGGCTTCAGGCATAGAATATAACCGGAGTATTCTCAATAATACCTTGAAGTTGACACCCTCAACTCCGTATACTACCTAGCAGTGCTTTCCCGAAGCGGCGATAGTGCCGGCCAGCTCCAACTCCGCACCTCCACCTCCGCCTCCGGCCACCTCAACTTCAAGCCTTCACCCATCAAGGTCAACCCAACCTCCAAAATGGACCCAGACGCAAGCATCCCGGATTCGGAACCCTCACCCTTCAACTACATTCTCTCCTTCCTCCTCGTCGGCGTAGCATGGGGCTTCACAACCCCCTTTATCCGTCGCGCAGCAGCGGACTTCAACGCGCGACAAGAGAAACAGCAACAACAGTCCAGCACAGACCCAGCCACGGAACCCCGCGGCCGATCGCAGACTCAATCGTCAAGCCCAGACTTCCGCGATGAACCGGCCGAGGAGCAGGAGCTTCTTGTGCGGGATGAAGCGGGTGCGGATGTCGAGGGTGATGGGGTGAGGAGGCGTAGTGCTAGTCAGCAGCGACAAGAGCAGCAGGCTGGCGCAGGACAAGAGGGCGAAGTAGACAACACCCCAGCACCAGCCTGGATGCAATCGCAGCAGAAAAAGTCCTGGCTGCGAACGAAGATCGTGTCTGTGTTCTGGACTGTTGTCAATATGCTCCGTACGCCGGCGTACTCGATTCCGCTGGTTATCAATTTGACCGGCAGTATTTGGTTTTTCTTGCTTGTTGGGAAGCATGGTATGTCCCGTCCCTGGTCACTCGTATCCCGTGGGCCTTGTCTTGTCTTCTGATTCGATGCAAAATTCTATTGCGGTCTTGCTGGATTGTTGCTGATTGCGGGATCTGATAGAACTCTCTTTGACGGTGCCGCTGGCGAATTCGAGTGCGTTTTTGTTTACGGTTTTGGGCGAGTGGTATGTTGATCGGAAGGTCATTGCGAAGGAGACCTGGTTGGGATTGGTATTGGTGTTGGGCGGTATTGCGTTGTGTGTGCATTCGAAGAATCAGACTGGTTGATTGAGATATTTTAACTTGGAAATACTATAGATCTACTTACTATTACGCACAACTCGAATCTGCGCTCAAACCTCAGACTGTTAGGGCCGCACGGCGTTCAAAGTACTTGCAAAGTTTAGATGATGAGCAAATAATGTAGAAAAAGTACTGGTATCGCTTTAGAAACTTTATAATCATTGACGAGTTCAATTCATCTATACCATCACCATCAACCCGCCATGTGGACATTAACAAGAATCATACCCACAACTCATATCTACACATACAAAAAACATTTCATCCGTCAAGCGGCCTGTCAGCCAACACATGGTGCATCCGTATCTTCGGAAGCAGGCGGGAATGAACAAAGAAAACAAAAAAGAAGAGACGAAATAAGAGAGAAAAACAAACACCAACGTATACCATGCATCACATCGTGCAACGAAATACAGCTGCCGGAGCGGGACAAAAGCGCGAATTCATCACACACATAACACGATTCTCCGGCTCCAAAAGGTAAACCAAACCATCGTTACCCATACCAGACCGGACCGGACCTGCCGTGGTATCAACGCATTGTGGGGATATATTGAAAACACAAGATCGAAATAAGGCTGAGCATACACAATCATGCTCGAAAATATAGAACCCTAAACACCTCGGAACTGTGACAAATGAAGTTAGCTGATTGATTCATTTGTAGAATGTCAATTAAGAAAGGGAAGGGAGGAAGAACTAACCATCCGAACCACCAAGTACCACATCGCACCAAAGAACTTGAACATCGATAGACCAGCCACAGACCACAGGACGACCTCCATGTAGATGAGTGACTTCTTGGTCTGGGTAGTATCCTCGCTGTCGCTGCTGCTGGTCGTATCATCGAAAGTTTCCAGACCAGCTGCGCTCAGCACAACGGCACCCAGGGCGAAGTTGCAGAACACCCATGCCAACACGACGGCACTTCGGAATCCCTTGTAGTAATCGGCCTGCTTCTCTTCCTCGCTAATAGTTTGTACCTCCTTGGGCGGCTTGGTGGCAAATTTCGTCAATTCGGCTTCATACTGCGCGTTCAGATCGCCGTCGTCCTGGGGAATGTTGACATCAACCTTGCCGCCAGGCTTCAGGTTTGCGGATGGCAGTTTCTCGGCCTTGTCGTCACCCTTCGTACCCCAGGTAATGTCGTGGGTATTACAAAAGGCATAGATGTTGAGGACGTTGATGTAGGTCGGGGTCAGCAGGATGTATTGGATAAACGAGGTGAACATGTGCCAGGGGTCCATAAAGATGAAGGACGCGACAAACCACATCACATAGGTCGAACCAAGTGACACGATGATGGAGAAGAAGGTCTTGTTTGTGAACAAATCGCTGACCGTGAACCCATCGGTTTGTACTTCCGTCTGAATGGATTTCACAGTAACGAAGATGGCCGCGAATGACAAGTATATCATGATGAAGATCCAGAAATAGACCATAGTCATGTAGAACTTGTTAGATCCACCGGGTCTGTTACCGAGAGCAAGGACGAAACAAGTGACCAGAGTTGCAAGATAAAGCCATTCAAAGACGATGCCCAATATTTTTCCAGCCGTGCCTAGAAGCTCATCGCTACCAAGGTACGTTGTCAGAATGTGGAAGACCAGGAAGAAATTACCGATACCGAACCACGCGAAGATCATCGCGATCGTTTGGTAGATAAATTCGATCATGAGAGCGAACTTGCGCAGGAAACTATGATCACTGCGGAAGATCTGGTAGAAGTGGGTAATGGCGTAAACGGCGGCGAAGAAACTACCGTTCAACCAACGACGACGTTGGAGAATGAACTCGGCCATTTGGTCGGGAACATCGGTCTCGCCGGTGGATGACTTGACATATTGCAGTAACCAGCGGCACTTTCGCTTCGAGACAATCTCGAAACAAAGAATACGATCCTCAGCCAGATACATGTTAGCTGTGAAGATGCCAGCATTTGCACCATGCATCTTCTCGCCCAGGAAGTATCGTTCGAGAGGACCTTGACCGTTTTTGTCGTTTTGTAACGCAACGTAACGATAGGCCGAGAAGGCGCCAGGCAAGACGGAGATGAAACCAAATGCAGACTCCAAGGGCTTATCCAAAATGTTGCTAAGCTTGTACTCGAAGTTTTGACCGGCGACCAGGGGGGTTCAGAAGCTTTTTACCGTGTGACAGCATAACCTTGATCTCTCCACAGGCACCACCGCACATAGGCTCAATGTCGAAGGCCTTCCATAGGTGGTAGATAGAATCCCTACCGGGCTTAGTACCGGCATCGAGGAGAACGCAGATATTAGGGTCTAGGACCCGACCGAATGCCTGAAAGAACCACCGATGAGAGTTAATCTTCTTCTGATTCTTTTCCTTTAGACAGAATATCAACTGCACAGGTGGCCCGGAGCGTGGCTTCATATGAACTTGAGTACCCTTAACTTCCAAGCCAATCTGGGTCGTGTATTCGTAAATGTGGGCCGTGACATCTTTACCATTGACCTGCTGCTTGGCAATTCCGTCCTGGTAGACACCCAAAGCAGCCAACACAGCGCGAGTACGGGGGTTGATCTTAGCACGACCATCGCTGATAATGCAGACCACGATCTTCTTCCACGCATCCTTGCCCCATGTCTTGCTGCTGGTACGCGACACCATGTGATCGATGTTCTTAAAAACACCAGACATGGTACGTGCGAAAAGGAAGTCATCCTCATTGTACATAGTGACCGCGATGAAAAGCTCGGTGTGACGGGGCTTAGCGAAGAGCTTCTGGCGCAATGTGAATCGCTCGTCAAAGAAGTCTGCAGGGTCGCAAGTAGCAGCCGAATAACGCATGTGAGTGAACTCATCCCGGCCGGGGGGGCTCTGCGTGAGGCACCTGGCTCAAAAGTTTTGGCGCGATCGGACAGTCGAGGACGAGATTGCCGTTGAACAATTGGACTTCCTTGACAGTCTTCCAGCGTCGAATAGGAGCGGGACTAGGCGTTGGGCGCGGCTCATCTTCAAATTCCTCCGTATGCGGGTCCGGCCCGAAAGGATTCTCATGCTCCAACATGGGAGCACCAGCGTGTTCATCATATGGGGAAGGGCCTTCAGGATGCTGGCCGAGGTCATAGTCATACTCGTCGTGATAGGCCTGAGGCGGATGCGACACATACTCGCCAGGGAGGTAGGCGTCATGATGAGCATTGGGATCAAATGCATAGTCTTCATGGCGATCGGGATGGGTGGGGTCTGCGTAAGGATTTTGGTAGCCAGAGTGTGGCACATTCTCGACGGAGTACTAAATAGTTGAACACAAATTAGCCCTGTTCCCGTCAAGTTGCGACGTGCGCGCCGTCACGATTGATGTCAATTTCCACTCACGGTTGGTTGAGAGGCAAGCTGATCAGCCGAGGGCATATGCAAACGATCGCCGTATGGGTTGTGTGAGTGTTGCGCGTAAGGGTTGTCCTCCAGCTGATAGGCCTGTCCTGGGGATGGAGTTCGGGCGTTGTAGCTGTTCATGTGCTGAGGATTGGGATTCAAAGGCGAACGATTCTCGTCCCCGAAGGGGTCTGGCGTGCGCATCTTGTTAGTATTTGCTGTTTCCACGAGTCCTCTAGATCACAATGGTCCAGTCGCCTATATAGATAGAGTGGAGGAGGGTATTGTCAAAGGAGCCACGCAGTGACCGTGCACCGTCAATGTCCAGCACCACGGCGCAAAATTCAGACGGACAGATGAGGTATATGCGCAAAGAGATATTGGGACAGCGAGGTATGCAGATACGCAGGGCTGAAAGACAAGAAAAGGAGAGGAACTAACCGATGCGATTATAGGACATAGCGTCAAGCCAGGCTTGAAACTTAGCTTAAAGCAATAATGCCACCTCAAAGGACAAGGGCAGAGGGGGGATCGTTGCTTGGAGATTGCGCCAGGAGCCAAGTGGAATCGACAGGCTCCGTGGTGTGGAGGTATCACTAGTCCGAACGACGGACCCAAACTCTCGGCGGGTGTTTCAGACACAGCGAAGGCGGCAGGCGAGATGATGAGAGGAGGAGCAAATATGAGGGGGAGGGTCCGTGTCGCACGATTGGAGGAGTGTTAAAGGGCAGGATAGCAGAGATAAATTCCGGACCCCTGGGTGTTTACGAGGCCTTGACGATCACTGTGATGACGGTGGAGATGAAGGAAGGCAGACGAATAGGCGCTTGAGCGGCTGACCCGCAATAACAGTGGATGATGTGATGCTATGCGAAGCGATGCTAAGGCGATGTCAAGCCTTGTATTTCGAGTGCGAAGAAGAGATGCAAGAAGTCATGTGTGAAAGACGGAACTGAAAAAAAGAGATCGAAAACCACTCTGATTGGAAAGTGAGCAAGCCAATAATTCCCCGGAGTGAAACGAGCGATCCACGGGTTAGAGGCGATGCAGCGAGATGAAGGTGGAGACAACCAGAGGTCACTTGTGGTCACTGGGCCAACGCGAGGCACGCTGTGGGTGGTGCAGCCACGGGACGGGCGTGGCAAGTGCGAGCAGGACTGTACCTGTGGCTGAGGCTGAGGCTGACTCAAATCTATGGTTATTTTTAGCTGCTGACAACTTGGTTGCCTACACCCCGCACATATCATAGGGTAGTATGTATCTCGATGTCTTGCAGATGCATATGTCATATCTCAGAATAGATATCATGTATTGCTACTGCTCAATATTGAACAATATAGTCATTACCCTAGGGTGCGCTAACCATACCAACTACTTGTTACTGCCACTGCCACAGCCACTGCCGAGGTCACGGGAGATTAGATAAACGGCTCCGCTTATCGCTATTCGGCAGGAACAGAGCCCTATTGACGTAACCGCCAGAGACATTTACTGTACAGCGACATTTACTATACTTTCGCACTTCTTCCATATTCGCATGGAAGACGTCGTTCCAACTTAACTACCTCCACCCCCATCATGACTTCCCCCGTCAGCGTCTTATTTGTCTGCCTGGGCAACATCTGTCAGCCACCCCACCACCCTCACTCCGCCCCGCTAAGCCTTGCTACCACTGTGCCTGTCTAATGCCCACCAGGTCGGTCGCCCATGGCCGAAGGCGTCTTCCGCAATGTCACCGAATCCAATCCTATCATCGGCGAGATCGACTCAGCCGGTACCGGTGCCTATCACACCGATGAGCCCCCCCGACTCACGGACCATGTCCACCCTCCGCCGACATGGCATCACCAGCTACCACCACGCCGCGCGAAAAGTCAACAAGAGCGACTTTCTAAAATTTGACTACGTGCTCGCCATGGACAAATCCAATCTGCGCGATCTCCTGGATACCCGCGAGTCCGTCATCAATTCATTGAACCGAAAGGCCGATCCCAAGTCTTCTGCCAAGAGCACCCGAGCCGCGCGGGACGCTGCGCTGGGCGCTGCTGGTGAGGACGCCAAGGTCGCCGAGGTTCGCTTGTTCGGTGACTTTGGTCGTGGTGGAAAATTACATGATCGTGTGGGTGGTGGGGAGGTTGTGCAGGATCCCTATTACGGTGGCGCCAACGGTTTCGAAGAGGTCTATCAACAAGTCGTGAGGTTCTCGCAGGGCTTTGTGGATTATCTGGAGAGCGATGAGTAAATCAATCGCTTCCTCGCGACATGACATATGAACTGAAAGATGCAAGTTAGAATAATGGGATCAGTCCCATTTTCATAGACGTGTATGTTAGAATATACTGGATACCAGACACACTATGGTAGCACCTGGTAGATGATCCTCGTGCTATATATAGTCCGGGAATGAGAGTAAAGCTAGGTCTTTTAGACTACGCAGATAGACAGCTTGAACCACCTGACCAGCTTGAAGTGATGTGATAGTACCTAGGTAGTTTCTAGTACTAGGACCTCGGGATCCATGGATTCAAGTTGATTCCATGATGCTCCCGAGGTCTGCCACCTGGGTACCTACATAACATTTTGGAGGAACGAGCGAAATATTTCCGAGGCGATTTCTAGCTCCTACCTAGGTACAGTCTACTAGTGGAGCTTGATGGAATGGCGTTACAGAAATATTGCTCGCTTTGGTACATGATTATTTGTTATACAAGGTGTTGGACGGAATATAATATGACACAGGTAGACACCACAACACAATTGGCCCTTAATCAGACCTTCTCACTTATCTTGATAGCAGTCCTGCACCCAAGGCGAATCACATCCACCAGTGGATCGTATGGCCTAGCCTCCTTAGAATCGTTGGCGACCGCATGGTCCAGGTGCTCCAATTCCTCATCACGAATTCGTCGGAATGTGCTCAGCATCTCCTTGAGTTCATCATCGAGTTCCTCCCCCTTTCGTTCGGCATCTGCCTCCCAGGATAGGATCTCCCTCACTTGGTCGTTGTAGTGTGAACCGATCTCTGTCTCCACCGCCTCGGTACATGCCATGGCAGCTTCCCGACCCAGCGCAGCGGTGGACCATCCTAGGAAAGTAGCTGCAGCCTCCCAGAGCGGGTACATCGCTGTTGGACGGATCTCATGTTTCGCGACAAGTTGGTTGAATGTCTTCAGGTGGCCTGCCTCCTGGTCGTACATGTGCTTCATTAAGGGTCGGAGGTGTGGATGGGATCGGACAATTTGAGGGGTTTGTGCGGTGTAGATGAGGGTTGCGGCAAGTTCGCCTGCTTGGTTGACCCGCAGAGCGCTCTCCATGAATTCGCGCTGTTTCTTGCTCAGAACATATCGAGGCTTAGAGGTACCGTCTGTTCCGGTCGTGGAGGCGTATCCGTGCTGAGATCGGACCGCAGTTGGGGCAAGGAAGTCGAGGAAGATTGGTGACACTCGTCGAGTTGGGCGTCGGCATTGCGCTAGCAAGCACCCACGAAGTGTAGGGATAGACTCCATTGTGCGTATTCTCAGGATTGAAGCTTGCTGCTGTTGCTGTCGAGTCCTGGAGGTCGGTAAAAGGGCCTTGCCGCTGCCGCGCGCTTGAGTCTTGGCGCGCCGAACGTCATGAACCGACGGCAAAGGCCAACTTGCGACAGACAACCACGTCCTTCCGGTAATACCCTCACCTTTCACGCCACCCGCCGTCTGTACAGAGCCTTCAATTTTGGTGGGGGAGTTTCTCCGAGATCGAAACTGCGCCTTGACTCCATAGCCTGACTCGAGGCAGACCTTTGTTGAATATTTGCGCCTCCTAGCCAGGAGTCTCTTTGAGTTAGAGACAAGGGTTAGAAAGACATAGGGAGAGGCAGGAAGCCTATCAATATACACGTCCTTTGACATTACGTCTTAATACCGGTCCAAATACCGGGTGGATTCAGTCAGGATGGCGGACGCTTTGGATGAGGAGCTGCTCGCTCTGGCAGGCGACTCTGACGAGGAGCAATCACCACCCCCCCAGCAAAAAAGATGAATCACCGGCACCCTCCCGCTCATCTCATTCACCAGACCGTGATTTCTCACCTGAACCCACAAGTCGCAAAAGTTCAACCAAACATTCGAGGAAGTCAGTAAAAGACGAGGAGGACGGCGAAATGTGAGTTATGCCTTGATATGGTTGCCCAGTCTCATTTACTAATGTGTGTTTTTGCTGTACCCAGGTCTGACGCCGAGTCACACCACTCTCTTCAGTCAGCCCCCATGTCGGAATCCGACTCTGAGGGAGGAGGTTCCGATGCTGAAGATCGCCCGATCTTCCCATACGACAAGCTGTACTATTCAGCGAAAGAAAAAGATGAAATCATGGCTATGCCCGAAATCCAGCGTGAGGAGATGCTCTCCGAGCGTGCCCAGCAAGTCGACCGTCACAACCAGGATCTTGCTCTTCGTCGCCTTCTCGCCTCCAGAGAGCGCGAAGAGGCGCGCGCCGCCAAGCAGGCCAAGCGCAAAGCCGGCTCGGCTGGTCTCGATGAAACTCAGCGTAAGAGTTCCCGACAGAAGACAACGCTTGGTGGCCGAAAGGTCGGAGAGACCTCCGCAGCAATCGATGCCTACAAGCGCCAGCGCGAGCAGAAGGGCAAGCGTGATCAGAATCGTGCCCGCGACACTACACAGACACGCCGCCGATCCTCCGTCTCAAGTGAATCCCAAGCCTCGGATGATGATGCCGATGCTGACAGCGACATTGATCTGGATGATCGTGTTGGAAGCTCTAAAGTGGTCCCTAAAGATGATCCTCCCGCCGAACTACGCGATATTCAACGTGCCCGTATCGGCCGGAGCAACTTTGCTCAAGTCTGCTTCTACCCCGGGTTCCACGAGCGCATCACTGGCTGCTACGCCCGTGCCATTATTGGCCCCAACAAAGAGACGGGCCTCAATGAATACCGTCTCTGCTTGATCACCGGTAAGAGATTCCTCTCATAATAAATCTAGCTATTTTACGCCTGTCACTAACGTCCTTATAGGATTTACCACAGGAAAGCCCTATGCTATGGAGGGAGCCAATGGCCGGTCATTTGTCGTGGATCAGTATGCTAAATTAGCCCACGGAAAAGCCATTCGAGATTTCCCCTTCATCGCCTGCTCCGATTCTCCTTTTAGTGACGTGCGTTGCATACCCCAACATACACTTGAGGATAATTTCACTAATTAGTCTATAGAGCGAATACGCTCGTTACCGCAAGACCATGGCGGTCGAAGATTGCAAGATGGCGACGCAGAGCAAATTGGCCGCAAAGGTTGTCGATATCAACAAGCTCATCAACCACCAGTTCACCAAGGAGGAACTCAGCGAAAAGCTCCGCAGACAAGGCGCACTCGACGAAAAGAGGAACGTCCTTCGCGAAAACGATATTCAAAAAGATCTACAAGTTGCACGAGCCAACGGCAACGACGACGAAGCCGAGCGTCTGCAAAAGGAGCTCAATGAGCTCCGCAACCCCAACCTCTCATGGGGAACATCCCTCGCTGCCAAACCAGCCGGGGAAACCAAACTCTCTGAAGCTGAGCGCGTTCACCAGATCAATTTGCGAAACCAGAAGCTCAACCACGAGAACGTGCGTCGAGCCCAACTTGAGGAGCGCAAAGCTGCTCGCCTAGCTGCCGCTGCCGTGGCTCGGGGTGAGGCAACTGTCAATCCTTTCATGCGTGTTCGAACCATTGCGAAGACCCACCACGACGTCAACACGAAGCCCACGGACGCACTGAAACCCGCTGATTCTACCCCCACCGATACCCCGAAGGAATCTGCCAAGTCGAGCGCCGATGGTACCCCAGATGCGCTCAAGCCTAGCCTGACGCCGAAGAAGAAGAGTGGTTTCATGATTAGTTACCGCAACAATGACGATGAGAACATCGCGGCTTTGGATATGGACATTGATATCGATATTTGAGACTGTCGCATATCCGATGGGTTTATTCTCTCTGTCCAAATTCTGTCGACTCGGATGTGGTTTATGTCACTAAGCTAAGGATCTAGCAGTGGACCAAATTTCTTTTTAATAACCTTAAAAATCCTGTATACAATAACTATCGGCCAATGCTGAGATAGTGCTTTCTTTCTTTCTTTCTTCTTGCTTCTTTTTTCACTTGGATTAACATCCACGATCATGCGGCATCCAGCAAAAGGAAATCCTATGAGAACACCTGTATCATGAGCACAATTCGAATGGAGCACGACTATTTTCCAAGCAGCTTGGACGGCATGCGTAACAATATTTATGCCCTATAGGCTATGAGTAGTTAAACAGTGAGCGAACCAGGAATTTATCGCACTTGGATGTATCCTATTCACCAGACCTAGAATTGGAGAGACTCACATTAGTAGGATTACATACACCTCAATACGTTGCCAATTCCAATGATGGGACTGCTTTATTGGGTTTATAGTGGCGCGCGTTGATAGAGTCACGTGTATGGCCCAGCAACGCGAAGCACGCGCGCATCGCGTTTCCACCTCCCCAGGTATGCCACCCTTGGGGACCCGCATTGTCGACTCTTCAAACCCCCTCACTACAATCAATTAATCCCACAATGATCTGTGCCACTCTATAATTGCTCCGGATTATCATTTGAAACCACACACATCCACAATGTCCTCCGCATCTACACCGCGCTCGACGCGTTCCGCGTCGCCAGCGGATAATTCGCCCAACATGCTTACTCCCGGCCAAAAAATCAAGGCTATGATGGCGGAATTCGACACTGATAGTGAGAGTGACTCCCAAGCCACGAAAAAGAAAACTACAATCCCGAAGCTGGACTTCGGTCGCAATAACACATCGACTACTACTGAAACGCGCCCACCTCAATCTAATAACGACAGCTCCGACGACTCGGACGATACGGATGATATTGTTCGACCCAAGGGTCGGATGGCTGCTCGAATGCAAGGTGCCGCTGACGAGAGCACTGAACAAGGGTCTGCCTTTTCCCGCCTGTCGAATGCACTCCGATCCGAGAAGGAACAAGCTCAGAGGACACGCGAGAAAAGTCCCGCACCAGCCCACGATTCAAGCGATGACGACCTACCAGTGAACGTGGCCAAGAGGAGGAATCATGCGCAGGTTCAGCGCTCTCCTACCCCCGCAGACTCACCTGCTAATAGCCGTGCCGACTCGCCGTTGTTTGTTTCATCGCCTGCAACTACCAGGCCGCAATCCGAAGCTCTCAGCGACAAAGTATCCGGAAGTGACAATGAAGGACCTAGTAAGGCAAAGAATGCCAGATTCCTTGAACTTATCGCTCAAAAACGTAAAGAGCGTGAAGAGCGGGAACGTGTCGAGGCCGAAGAAAAGGCCGCCAGACGAGCGAAAATGGAGCACTTTAGCTCTAATATCCTATCTGGTGAAGAGAGTGAAGCTGATGATCCAGGTTCCGCGCATAAGTTGTCTCAGAAGGCTCGTCAGCCACGCAAGGCTAGCAAGAAGGCATTGGAAGAAATGAGCAGAGAGACTCAGCGGATGAGCCGAAATATGCAGCTTGCTCACCAAGCGCAGACCAAGAAAAAAATTACCAAGGAAAGCCTATTTGCTCGATTCAACTTTATGCAACCCGATCCTCCCCCAGCCGAACCCGCGGCGGCCAACTCGTCTTCCGCAGCCAACTCACAAAACTCCTCCGATATCGAGGGACAGAAAAATGAGACCCCTCGCACTTCGCCTGTCCTTGGCCCTGCCGATACAGGGAAGTCCACCACTACCAACGTGTCGGCGGAAGGCCAGACAGAAACAGTTGAAGAACAGGCCGACATCGAGATGACCGATCTACCCACCCTCGAGGAGGCTATTGCCGACACCCCAGTTGAACCGAAAGCAACAGACGCCCTCGTTGCGCCTGGGTCTGAAGTTACCGCGAAGTCACCCAGAAGTACCGTTCAGCCCAAGCAATCCATCCGAAGAATCACCCCATCCTCTGTTCGTGTCCTCATGTCCCGACAAGAAGTTGCGCAGCATCAGCAAGATGGCTCAGACAGTGATGAATTGGAGGTCATTACATCTCCGGCCAAAGCTCGTCGCATCGCTGCTTTCGAGAATCTGCCCTGCCGCCAGATGCAGGAATCTGCCTCCATGACTAGGCTCAAAGCCCTGGCCCATCTCACTTCTCCCAACCGTAAGATGAGCTCGATGAGCTCCGCCGAACTCTCTGCCAGTCTTCTTTACAAGGCACGTCAACAGGCCGCTAAAGACAGACGCGAGCGTATTGAAGAGCTAAGGGCAAAGGGCGTCGTAATTGAGACTGCCGAGGAGCGTGCTGCCATGGAAGATAATGTTGAAGATCTGGTTGAGAAAGCCCGCCAAGAGGCCGACGACATCGCTCGCGAGGAGCGTGCGGCCAGGAGGAAGGCGAAGGGTCTTGATGCTGATGACGATGAGGAGGACGATGATGACTACGCATTTTCTGGATCTGATGACGATGCATCCGGCGAAGACGAAGATGAGGACGAGGAGAAGAGTGTCAGGGGCGAAACGAGCATGTTCGAACAAGAGGCAGATGAAGCAGATGAATCTTCCGGAGATGAATCGGAGGCGGCCGCCTCAGAGCCTGAAATCGAAACCTCCGGATCCAGGAGAAGACGCCGCACCCGCGTCGTTAGTGACGACGAGGATGAGGATGAAAACGAACAGCAGATCCCCTCTACGCCTGTCCGGCCTCCATCTCATGTTCCACAGTCTGCTGAACGACCTAATTTTCCCGGAATGGGGACCCCGAACATGTCTATGGGCCTCACTCAAGCCTTTGCTGGCACTCTTGCCGATGAGAACGCCAGCCAGCCGGGCTCTGGCACTATTCCTTTCTCTCTCCCTGATCCTGGCCGACCAGTTCCTCGACTTCGTGCTGAGGAATCTGAGATCCTTGTTAAGGACAGCCAGGAGCAAAATAATGAGACTGATTTCATGCCTGCCTACAATGCAAATGTCAACAGGGTATCGGAATCTCCCGCGGGACATGGTTTCTCTAATTACTCGCAAATTCCGGATCCGACGCAGGATGAGGGCTTTGTCTTCTCACCATTCGATCCTTCCAAGCGCTTCAGAGGAACGCCGCCTGTTTCAACGATTGACACCGTGATTGTTGGCCAAAGCCAGTCACCTGTCGTCGAACGCAAAGGAAGAAAAATTCGACGAGGACGTGCGGCCAATTTGTCTGCTGTCGAGGAGCAAAATGAAGACGAGGCTGAATTTGAGATCAATGCCAATGCTTTCAACGTCATGAAGAAGGCGACTAAGAAGACAACAACGCCGTACGACAAGAAGAACAGCAAAGCAAAAGGTGTTGTTGACGAAGCTGCTGAAGAATCCGAAGATGAATATGCTGGCATTGGAGGTGCTAGTGATGACAGCGATGGTGAAGAAGATGTTCGCGATCTGAACATGATCAACGACAACAGTGGCGAGGTCGTGGATGAAAAGGAGCTTGCCGCTCTTAATGCGTATGTGTGGAATTGTCCTTTGATCTCGTTCTTATTTACTAACATGCTTTAGTTCCCATCAACGAAACCGTGACGAGAAAGATGTCGCTAAGTTGCTCAAGGATATTACCACAGGAGCTCTGCGTCGTCGTCGTGGCGGTGACGACGACCTTGATCTCGATGACTCGGATGACGAGCGTGTTGCACGTCGACGCGAAAAGCAGCGCGAATTCGCAAAGATGCGCAGAGCTCTTCTTGCTGACGACAAAGTTGGAGCTCTCGCGGAGAATCCCAAGAAGGCTGCCTTTTTTAAAGCCATTGAGGATCGCGAAGACCAGGACGACTTTGAGCTGGAGTTTTTGGAAGAGAAGGAGGGTGCATCACAAGGCGAATCCTCGCAAGATGTAGCCGCCGATAAACAAACTGAAGCTGGAGACGATAGCAAGAAGCGCAAACGACCCCTTGAGACGGCTACTGAAGATGCCACCAACCGACCTCCTCCTCATCTTCGCCGAACAGCTGCTAGCGCGATGTCGAAGAAGCCCGCTACCCTGGCCGAAGTCCGCGAGACTTTGTCCTTCCTCACCGAAACTCATGAATATGACTCCTTCCATGAGGATGCCTCTATCGACGGAGATGACGATGACCAGGAAGAGGCCGACACAAACACATCCGGCAACGACGAAGCCTACTCCGAAGACGCCCAATCCCAGCCCAAGGAAACCTTTGCCAAACCCAGTCACCCGCGCCGCACTCGTGGAACAGTCATCGACCGACTCGCTCTCTTGCGCCAAGCATCTTCCAACTCCGCAACGACAACTGGCTCCGCAAACAACAAAATGGCATTCCACAGCGGTGGAAACTCAGACGGAGCCATTGGATTCCGACCTCCCCAACTTCTGCGCCGTGTCACTTCCGGCTCTTCCTCGAGCAACTCATCTGCGTCCAGCTCATCGAGCAAAATTCCCACCGCTGCATCGGGACCTAAGAAGGGTGGTGCAGTCAACTCGTACACTGCTGCGCGTGAGCAAGAGCGCGAGAGACAATTGCGTTCCAAGCAACGTAATGGCGGATCTAATATCGCCAAGCTGCTGAGCAAGCATGCTGGTGGTGGACTAGGTTCGTTGGCTGGCAAGGGTCAATGGGATTGAGCTGGCACTCAACTTCAATTTTGTCATGAGAATCACATTACGCATGTCGATTACTAGTAGCTACTACCATATGTTTGGCGTTTGGGATCGGGTTTTTGCAGGGGCAACATTGGACATTTCAGAATGATACAAACAGCACATTATTCTTTAGTCATTTTAGCGAGATTCCAAATGACAGTTTTGGGTCTCCATGCCTAACAACCCCTTTCAACTTCAACTCCAATCTCCCCGGGCAAATCGGTGCCAGTCCACATATACTTGCTCATACCCATTCGGGTTAGCGGATCCACCAAGAACGTGGATGCCACGTGATATTATACCTACCGCCGCTGACTAACTAAATGAAGTAATTTGTAACTATAGCGAACTCTTGTTTTTGGATCTGCAGTAGTATCTTAGGTACAGGCAGAGCTCGGAGATAAATACCCAAAATGCTTCCACCAACTGTACTCCATCAAGCCCCACTATCAAACATTCACACCAACGGGAGGCAGCACCAATAAATGCCCCGCCGAGCTCGGAGGAGATGAGATGGTGGCTAGCGCTGGCGTGATGACGCGTCTCTATCATCCGAGATCAGAAATCACCATCAGATAATGCAGCTGCTTTGTCTCGGAAAATTGAAAACCATCCGTTTGCCAAATCGACAGCTGCTGGCAAGATGTGGTCGTTTTCCAAACTTGCGATTCGCTCTCTTGTGAGCTTATCGATCTGCTCCTACGCTACGGCATCTACATCTACTGCCGATCCCATCATCCAAAATGCAAACCACATTTTCAACGTGATTCACGACTCCATGCGCCAATGGGGCTCCTCGCTTCATCACAATGGTGTCTCTTTCTTCCTCGCGACTGTCCCAGCTGGCACTCAGTTGTATCACGGCACCTCGAACCCGGGCACGGTGACCGGCATGGAATGGCTCGCGTTTGAACCAGAGCATGCGATGGTCTTTGCTCGACCTCACCGAGGCCCTCCTCCCCCTCCACCAGGTGATAATGACAACAACGACGGAAGTGACGAGGAGCTAGAGAACCGACACCACGAAGAACTACGTCGTCGCTATGGTCAAGGACTGCCGCCTCCTGGAGACTCCGACGAGAACGACTCGGGATATCTTCACACATATGCTGCCGCCAAGGATCTAAGACTCGTTTATATCGACGGTATGTCGGCTGGCAAAACGAACAAGGGAACGCTCGACTCGCAAGATTACGTCTTGTTCAACGGTACTATCGAGGAATTCTCGCAGGATAAGAAGCCACGCCGCGGCCCTGGCGGTCCCCCAGGAGAGAAAGACCGCGCGGTCAAGGCGTGCGAAATGGCTCAAAATGAGTGGGAAGGCAAAATCGATGGCGTTCTTCGCATGGAAGCTGGTTTCGAAATTATTCTTTGTTCGTTCGAGCGTGACTTGACGCCTGTTCGGACCACACAGGTGAAAAAGGATACAAGAGAGGGCGGCAAGCGCAAAGATTTCCCCAAACCCCATGGTCCTCCCGGTGGCCCTCCTGGTGGTGACAAGAAGAGAAAAGGCCCTGGCCCTGGTGGACCGGGACCGGACTCTTCGCGCTGGATGCGCGCAGTGACGGCTCGGTATGATAGCATTGGCGGAAACCGAGTGTCGTTGAACTATGATCATTTCATTACGGCGTACTCACACGATTTCGATCTGTTCGCCAATGACTCCGTCTTGCCTCGTCTGGCATATCTTTCATCCACGGACCGAACGGCAATCCGCGACGAATTGACCAGCCTTATCCTGAACAACGACCCCAAGGAATCCTCATGGAACTGGCAAGCTACTGCTGACATGATCGTTACGCGCTACTCCGATGAACTGTCCTATCTTGCATCTGACAAGTTTGCGGAGATCAAGGCATTCCGCGATCACATTGAAATGCTTCTATCACCTTTCATCGATTACAGCGAGCGAGATATCTCCGAAGAGGCCGAGAGGTGTGCCGCACAGCTCTTGCCGCTTCAAACCCAAAAGGAACAGACTTTGCCGGCCCGCGCTGTGCACTATGTTGCGCACAGTGTTTGCTTGGCGTTGCTTGAGGCTGGGAATGAGGAGAAGCTTAGTCTTGCGCAAAACAGAGTCCGTGTCTTGATCAATCATCTGGACTGGACGACTTGGAAAGAGTGCCGCGGTTGTCAAGATAATGAGATATGCGTCATCCCGATCTGGCCTATGGGTACCGTATCTGATTACAACAGCCCCAAGTGCAGAGATGCGTCCAAACCCTACGAGGGAGATGATGGGGAGGGTTATTGGGGTGGGATGCATGGGTGATTCGGAAGCGTTCAATCGAGTTATTACTAGTAATATTGTGTCTTTTATGCAGGACTTGTGAATAAGTTTCAGAGGTATCCAATTGAACTTTCAACATTTGCAATTGAATATTGACCCTCTGGCGTGGTGAATAGGTACAGGTGAATTTATAATGAAATAGTATGTAGACGGGAACTCCTCATGTGCAATCGTTTTGGCGTGCGTTAGCTCGAAAGCTTCAACTCTTGCACCCTCGAAACATATCAACGGAGGACCCAAAGAAGCGAATGTTCAAATCCCTTCAAGGGTATCAAGGGTGGATATATAGATGAACTTTATTTACAAAAGACCGGTGACGGAGGTGACAGAGCCGATGGGGCTCAGGAGGGAGGTGAGGCCCAGGGAGCCAAGGAGACCGGTGGCAGTGCCCTCGAGCTTAACGAGCATGGCGGAGGTGCCGTCCTGGCCCAGAACACCGACCAGCTGAGTGGGGTCAGCGGCCATGGACATAGCCTTGGAGGGAAGGTCGGAGACGGAGGGAACCATAGCAACAACGGAGCCGATGGGGCCCTGGACGGAGGACAGGTCAAGACCGCTCAGAAGGCCGAGGACGTTGGAGCCAAGAGCAACGGGCAGGATATCACCGTTCAGGTCGGTGATGTGCATGACAGTGTCGGTGACGGAGCTAGTGGCATCACGCTTCATGCCGGTGGGGACAAGGTTCTCGAGAGTGCCAACCAGGCTGCCAACAAGGGAGCCAACCTCGGGGAGGCCGAGACCAGAGAAAAGACCCTCAACAGTGGAGGTGAGCTTGACAAGAGCAACGGAACCCTCCTGGGTGACGACGGTCATGAAGCCGGAGCCAAGACCCTGCAGGTTCAGACCGTCCACAGATGAGGCAGTCTGAACGATGTTGCCAACGGGCTCGCTGAGAGGCAGGTTAAGGCCAGTCAGCAAGTTGGCAACGGTGGGGGTAAGCTGGACAAGGATGTTCTTGGACTGCTCGTTGGTGACGGTCATCACGCTGTTGACATTGTTGGAAGCGATGCCGCTGGGGGTAGCACTGGGAGTGGCGCTGGGGGCACCAGTGCACATCGGGATGCCGGAGGGAATGGGGACTCCGGAGGGGATAACACCCGATGGGATGCAGCTAGGGACGCCCGAGGGAGCGGTGCCGCTGGGGATGATGTTGGTAGGCAGAGCCATGGCAGTGGAGGCCAGGATGGCCGCGATGGTGAAGGACTTCATATTGAGTTGGTTGAGAGAGTGACTGGTGCTGATAAGCAGTAATGAATGGACGGTATAGAACCGGAAAAAGGAATGACTGGACTAAAAGACGGAGGGAAAACGAGATGCTTCTTGGGATGGAGAAGATATCAAAGTCAAATGGCATGGCGATGCTCTTTTATACACTCTCCCACCAGCCCTTGATTTTCAGGGGCCGCAACCCAAATGCGAGTTGCATGCAACCGTGAATTCCCTCCTGCCATTTCTGACGTCGACAAGGAGAAGATGCTCCACATTCGAGATGTTACAAGGCCACTGGGCACACTGCTGGATCCACGCCGCTTGCCAATAGTCCAATCCCATGAGATGAATACTCACCGCGGGACAGGGCATCATTTCACGTCAAAGGGACTGGATCCACAAGTTGAAGCCCAATAGAGGAAAGTCGATGAGCCGGCATACGGGGATTGGGTCCGGAGGTGAGTCTTGATCCTCTCATAAGCTTCATTGCGGGTTCATCCTCATTAGCCACTCCGCAGATCGGCCTCCTCCACCTCCGCCCCATGTTGGAGGTTGAAGCCCATTGCCGAGCTTTCAAGAGGGGCTCCGCAGTCCATAACGGCATATCGGCAGATTGTGTTTCAGAAAAGATGTCGTCGTCCCTTTACGTGAGCTGTAGGACGTAGACGTTGAGGGAAGAAGCAAATTGGGAGTAGTGTAGATAGAGAATACGCCGAAAAAAGGAAATATTCGCCACATGGTTCGCACGCGCCTGCAATGGCCGGGATCATGTTCCCTGCAGGGTTAAGTGAGCGTCAAAACACACTTCTTTGAAGAGCCCCCGAGAAAGCTTTCTTGGGCCCAGGATCGTCATTAATCCCGCCCCAAATCCATCACAAGCGCCAATAGGAGTAGGCCTAAGGGCTCGGGTCCTCAACGATCTGCAGTGCTGGCCCGCCTCAAAACACGTTTAACAAGAGCGTTAGTCTCCGCTGGAGCAGATTGCAATGGAAGTACTATCAGAGTTCGGTGCTAAACATGCGCTAAAGTTAAATAGCGTCGCCGGTGGACCCTGCAGCTTCCCCGAAGCTTGGTGGAGTTGTTGTTCCTAGTCAGGGGCGAAGGAGTGTTATGACCGCAGGATTGACTGGGGCTTGGCCTGACATCATAGAATGAGTCGTTCTATGCAATCAGCATCGAATCTTTATATTCTCTTCTGTGGGCAAAAAAAAAATCCTTCCGATATTACTCCGTATCGTCGCTGATCTATCTATCATTGAGCGACGAACTTCGATCTCAGAAATGCTGAAACATAACCTCTCCACCAGCGAGAGGGGCGAACGATATCCCCCTGAAGATCCACAAAATTTACGGGGTCAAACCGTTGTTCATTTGGAGAAACCTCAGAAACTTCTGTCAACCCAGAGAGTTCCACTAACGGGTTTTACGTGCGCGGGGGAAAAACTCAAATTGTCTAATCTCGCCAGGACTTTCTATTCAACTTGCCTCGGGACTTTTGAAAGTAACTCATGCCAGGGCCCCGGGGATCGCTGTTTACAAAGGGCATACCGATATTCTACTCTGTACTCTGTATATATCTCTCCTTCGAAAGAACTCATAGTCTGAGATTTTCCACTCATACGCCAAGCACACAAAAGAACAACAAGATCAGCCCTAGGGAAAGAGAGAAATTCGTGACTATCCACTAACCCCATCGAATGCACTACTAATCCCCATCCAACACCGTGGGCCATGGATAAAATGCTCATTTACTGTTAGAGCCGGATTTCTTACCGGAGGCCGTTGTGTCTCCTTTTCAGTTAACCATGCCACCCACCTCCCTAATAAAGTCAAGTCTGCCCGGAACTCCTATTTTTGCTTCTCAATGGGGAAGGTTCACAGAAGGATTGGCTTCAGTTTCACGCCAGCAGCGGCTTACATTTGCAATTCAAGATGCCGAACAGGACTTTTACTCTCTCTTGGCCTGATGTCTAATACGACCCTCGAGAGCAGGCTGAGACGAGCTTAGTGTGGTGAAAGCATCAACCCATTTCCCCCGATCATAAGCGCTAGGCAGACTCTGAGTCTGCTTTCGTGCTTGCTAACAAAGAGCCATTTTCGCTTCGGGACTTCTTTGTATCAAAATCAATTACCTAATGCTGAGATAGTAATTTGTGGAATCGGTCAATACAAAAAGCATACAAGGTAAAGAAGTAGATAAAACAAACGATTCCTTTGTCTATCGTGATTTTCTTGGAGAAAACCCCTGCAAATAATAGATGATGTCTTCCAATCCTGTGGATAGATTGGAAAACCATATAGCGGCAATGAAAGACTGTTAAATCACGTAAGGTAATTTGATAGATCATTCCTTGTCACTCGAAGCATAGCTTCATCGTATAAAAGGTACAGGAGGATTAAATCGTCTTTGTCTGTGTACTTAGGACAATGCATTTCCAAGGTTATTTGATAGGTATCCAGTGAATGGAGTGGCATTGTTTCCGAGTCTATGTTCTTTTCGAGTCTACGAGTATATACGCATGTCGACCTCGGGAGTTGACACTATTTAAGTCAGGTTCATATCCTAGATTATCTCACCATTTGATTACAATTCATCAGCTTATCACCAGGTAAAGGAATCGATTGCACTACCTAAATTATCCGCTTCGTGTTAAGACTACCCATATTATTTCTACTATCCATCTCGCGCTAGTGTTCAGTTTTCATTCAAGCAATTCCATGCTTTCAAGACTCTACCAGTAAGTTTCTGACCAAACAAATTCTGAAACTATTGCTAACCCTTTTCAATCTAGTGATTTTCTCAGCCAGTTCCACTCCTGCGGACCAGAACAAGTGTCATTTTTGCGGTAAGAATTTTTCGGGTGCTGCTGACTCGTGCAAATGCGATGCGCGTCATTGCAAATTTGTTCCTCGTGACCAGTGTCAGTTCTCCACGGATGCGGACGAGGAAGATGAAGGGTCAAGCGTAAGAAGGCGTGAAACCTCCTGATCATTCTGCTTCTCCAAGGGGATCAGCACTAGCTAACAGTGTTTTGCTTTTTAGTAATCTATTTACACTGAATCTGAGTTAATGCAAGAAATCTGTACTCTTTCTGAGCTCAAAGAACAAATATTGTGAATTCCCACGTAATGCCAAGAATCTCTTTCAAGCAAATAATATCGAGTGTGATCCAGTCCAATAAATTGGCATTTCCTTTGAACCCAAAAAAAAAGGATCGCAAGTTTCAGGTTTCTCATGTAATGCTAATAATGCTCTTCTTTGTTGTAATATTCCATATGTCGTAAATCCCTGTCGCCTACTACAACCTCGAGGAAACTTGAAGATACTACTAGTAATATTTATTCTTTGTGCTATCTCACTCATGGAACGGCATATGAAGACAAAATGGGTCGATTCCCGAGAGTTTGGAGTTCAAATTTCAAATTATCTATCTCCTTCTGAAATGTTCAGTATCCTTCAAACTCACAGTATGCGGCCTACTAAGCGTCAACAGATACCTGTTGTGCCGGATGAGAACATTCTCTCTAGGATATTCCCGGGTGTGGAGCCAGGAAGTACTGACTAGAAATAATGAAAAGTAATGAGTATGGCTGCACCTTTGATATTCATTTTGAAGCCCGTTTGGATCCAGGATACCCGAAGGATCTCAGAGTTGAACTTACCATTTGTAATTCTCTGAAATCAAGTAAGCTCGAGGCCAAAACAAGAGCAGCTATTTACAATCTGGCGAACTCTCAACTTGATGGTCTGGCTCCAAAGGTACTTGAGTATGGTTTTGGTATTCCTACTGCTAAAGTGGATGGGGAATTGGATTACGTGGTGATGGAGTTCATTACGGAAGCTACGTGTCTCGACACATTCTGGGAAGATCACCATCAGGATAATCAACGAGAATTGGTAGACTCGATTGCCCGCGTCGTGGAGAAACTTCAAAAGTTAGACCCACAAACCCTCATCGAAAGTCTAGCAGGAACTTATTTTGTTTCCCCCGAATAAGTCTGCAAGTCTCGCGGCGTGGCTTTTATGTCACCATACTTTTGGCTCCAGTTGAGTATCAGGGCGCTATTGATGGATCTACACGAAACACATAACGAATCATCCCAATCCAAGAGTAGAGGTTGTAAGCCACGCACTGAAGCACTGTTTTTGGACGATATGGTTATTATAAGGTCCGAGTAGGATGATCTAGACGATGTTGAACTGTCGAATTCGGAGCTGGAGAAGCTAGAATCTCATGTCGTGTTCTATCACTTGGGCTTTCAGCCACGCAATATTCTTGTGAAAAAGAATTCATCTGGTAAATATGAGCTGGCCAGCATTATCAACGGGGATTATGCAGGTTTTTTCCGCTTTGCATACGAGTATGGCCGCAAGAATGTGTGTCTAGGTTGGGAAGATTTCAATTGGGATGACCTATCTTACAGCTGGTATCTCTTGTTCAAACCCCAGCTGGCGCATCTCCTACCGGAATCGGAACCCCACACAAAGTTCATCAAGGCCCTCCGGAACATCATGAAATCCGAACAACGGGCAGCGGAAATTTCTTTGGAGTTGGAGATTCATGAGAAGTAAATGGGGGTGGTAAAAATGGACGAGTCGCCCGATTCTCGTAAGGGTTACGTTCGCAAGGCCGGCACAGAACTTGAGCCACTTCCTCGGGCTCTAACGAAAGAGGAAACAGAAAACCTTGTGGAATATGTGCGGAAGGCTTGGGGATATGTTTGGCGCAATGACCAATGGGAGCTGGAGGTTGCTTCACCAGATAGTACGTGGTACATCAGACTTCTCCAATGGTAGTTTGGGCTAATGATGATGATGATGATGATGATGATGATGATTTTAGCCCATACACTGGCAGATAAGTAGGTGGAAAACTCAAAGGACATTCAGACTGACGCCTTTTCCCATACTATTCTTGGAATACAAACTCTCCTTTTCTTCTATGTGCCCATTGATAGGCAGGCTTAGGATGGTTTTGCGACAGTCTTCTTCAATATAACTCCTTCTTACATCAACTTGGTCACGGTGTGATCATGACCTCTCACTACTAGTAGCAGTTCTACCTGGGTACTAAATAACTTGAACAAAATGGTGAAAACTTGAAAGACTCGAACTATAATTAGCTATGACCCCAATACTGCACCACCACCTGGTGAGCATTTGACAGTTTCCTCTGCCCACGAATCAATTTCGGTCAAAGTCTTCTGAATATCACCCTTGATTAAAGGGATCGTTTCGGCTCCCAGTAATAGTCGCATAGGCAGCTGGCGCTCGTTCTGCGCAATGACAGTATCGAAAATCAGACGGGCGCAGATATTAGGATCGCTCCATGTTGCTTGAGAATCGGGATTTGTGATATAATCCAAAATCTGGTTAAACACAGTGTTTGGCGTATTGTATGCAGGGTGTCGGGCGGCGATGTTCATGTTGGGCCCGGCGAAATTTGTACGAATTCCCCCGGGGGCAACAATCATAAGCTTGATGTTCCATTCTGGATTCATTTCCTGGGCGACCGATTCAGTGAAGCCTTCCAGAGCGAATTTGCTATTAATATTTTAGCATAAATGTAATTTGAGGGTTTGGAGAGTTTTGGATCTTACCTAGCATGATAGTATGAGTGACCCGGGGCAGTCCACCATCCGCCCATCGAAGATATTTGAAGGACTGTGCCTCCTTGACCTTGGGGGTTGATTTCGCGAAATACTCGTAGTGCTTCTTTCGTGACATGAACCGGTCCCCAGAAAAGAGTTTCAAGTTGAAGTCTGGCGTCGGATTCGGAGATTGCTTCAGTATCCCCGACTAAGCTATAACCAGCATTGTTGATAAAAACGTCAATATGGTTCCATGTTTGTACAACACTGTTGATAACGACAGCGATTGATTCTTGCGAAGTCACATCAAGTGAAAATTTAAGCACTCTCGCCTCATCTGGTAGATATGATAGCGATTTGACGTTGCGGGCGGTGGCCACGATATAATGACCAGAATTATAGATCGTGGTTGCAAGAGCCTTGCCGAGGCCAGATGAACAACCAGTCACTATTTTAATAGTAGAGGGTGAGTTGGAGTTGAAAATACATAGGTATGGGTCATATTTCATCAAACCAACGGACTTACCAAACCAAACAGTATCATTGCTCAATTTTGTCGAAGTAGATGCCATATTTTAGTAAAGATTCAAACCTTCCAAGGTTAGAACCTTGGAAACGAAGGGGACTAGAGTAAAAAAGAAATAAACCTGGGATTCCGCCTTGTTCTCTCCCCCTTCCTCCCTTCCTCATATACTAGCATCAATATTTTTAAGTCCGTCTTGTATCCGATCATATCCGAAGATGTAGATATAGAATGAGGCTTGTTCTATTAGGCAAGGCACACTTAGATGGATCTAACTCTATTAGGAACATGCACTAGTCCGAATATTATCATGTTGGTGGGTCGGGCTGAACAGCTGCTGTCAGATTCGCCGCAACATTGCCACCGGTTTCAATTTGAGCTCGTGTCTAAAGTGACCCCTCTTTTCCATCCATATTGTACACCCTGCCGGCACAATTTCTCCATTCGGACCAGAATTTCCAGGCCTCCCAGGGGCTCCCGTGATGGCTCCAGCGAAAGGTGGATCCGCCTTTATCGTGATCACTGAAGACCCGCAGCAAGATCGCGGCAAGCGCCTGAGCCAAGTGCGATCGCATCTCGCCAAAGAGCGCCATCGGTCTCGTCGGGGGAATGATCGACTCACAGTGCATAGCAATGGCAGCAGCGATAGCCAGGATTTCAGGACACCGACCCCGGAGAGTGGTGCCCTGAGCCTCATACCGGAGATCCCAGTCAGGCACAAGTCCCCGCCACTCGCCTCTTCGGCAACTGGGTACCGACGGATGCAGAAATGTGAGTACTCAGCAGTGATCGGCAATACGGGATCGTCTCCATGAGAGCTTTATGTACTGACTTGGGTAGTTATGCACCAATACGTACTCTACGGTCAACAGGCCCACCCGTTCTTCTCCCACGTCATATACGCAGCGACTTCACATACGGCTCTTATGAGTACAAAGATCCTCAATGCATCGGCATGGGATGATTTAAATACCGAGGGACAAATTGGTAGCCTGACCTTACAACAATGTGCGATAACTCGCAAATTGCTGGGTGAGGTACTTGAGGACCGGGAGCTAGCATGCAGTGAGCCCACTTTTGCAGCTCTAGTGGCAACGTTGCTCTTTGATGTAAGATCCACCTGGTGGGTTTTCCGGTGAAAATTACTAAAAAGACGAAACAGATGGTAAATGACCAAAGAGATGTTTTCATATATGACTTGAAAGTTACGCATCACTTAATAGGTTTGCGAGGGGGCATAGACAACTTGGGGTTTGAAGGACATATCAAAGGCAGTTTACTTGTGTAAGAATCTCTTCGCCAATAGATAAGACTTGTCCTGTTACCTTTTAGCTAACCTTTCAAATAGAATCGAGCAACTACAAAGGGTTGTCGAAATCCCCCCCATACGGAACCTTTACCTCACAGTTTAGCCCCGGTGCACAACTTGAATTACCCCCTTCTGCGTCTATAGACGTGGCCCTTTTTACTCTTGGGATGGAGCCCAGGTCACCCGGGGAGTGGAACGAACTAAGTCGATTGATTCCAGTTTTGAGCAGCTTCTACGAATCAGTAATTGCATCTACCCAGAAAGGTCATTATGCGACCGGTACCGGCCTGGGCTGCCGACTTGCCGGGCAAAATTCAATACCCTTTCTAGGAAGCACACTGCCCAGCGACCAACTACAGCATGATGATAATCGAATACCCGTCTTACTACAGGCAACTATGATCATGGAACGATCCCATCATGCGATATCAGATGCAGAGGTGGCTGGGCTATCTGATGCTATCGCATATTTAAAAGACCTCCTCCAGCCAACAGACCTCGATAACTGTTGGGCTCCCATGTCAGGTGCCTTGATTTGGTGTTTGGCCATCGGGGCTCGCCGGTCTTTACCAAGTGCTATCCGGAAGTGGTTTGTGATGCAAACCGCGCGGGTTAGTTGTGCTATTGCAATGAACCGACCTCAGGCTGTAGTGAGATGTCTTCGCGTTGTACTGGAAGGGCTAGATGGAGCGGATGTCTGCCGACGGCAAGACTTTTCTTTGGATGATTTACTGTGAAGTGAAATGGGAAAACAGTTCTCCTGTCGATATGAGAGCACCGAGAACCAGGTGGATCCTAATAATGCTTACGATTATGATGACCGAGTAGATAGGCGTGATGGGATTTGTTTTTCTATAACTTATAACCCGTTTAGGTTTAAAGTTGGACATCGTAGTTACAGTAGGCCATTTCTCTTGTATCTCCACGCAGCGAACTGTATTAACCAATGGTGTGAGCTACAATTAAACCCGAGATCATGTGGCAAAATATCGGCAGTTTCGTATCGCCGAGCCCAAAGATATCCGACTCCGACGATGTGGGGAAGTCGGGGAGCGGGGCTTCCCCAGCTGCTGGACGGTCTGGTCCCTAAAGATGATGTGGAGAGAAATAGAAGAATGATTCGGTTTTTGAGTGATTCCCGTGTGTAAATCATGATTGAAATGGGTATTTGTTTTTACTGATAGTAGGGATAGTGAGTGTGCCCGCATTGTATCAGTATGGCATCACTGTATCGGATTGGTATTCTAATCCATGGATGTTATTCTGAGGCTGTGATTGGATGGATCTATAAACCAAAGGCATGCGCATCACCAAGTTTCTGATTGCTAATAATTTCTCCATCCTCTAATAGCTGCTTGTTCTTTAGAGCATTGGCGGGTAAATTTTCAGAACCCAAAAAGAAAGGAATCCAATGATGGCTGCTCTGCCCCAAGGTCGATCCACGGTGGAAATGTGTAAATGTGGGGAGGTTGTGGGAGCGGCAATGATTTTTCCCGGCCTCGTCATATCGAAGCAGCTCCGCTAAATGCGACGGCACAAGAGCTCGAGGGTTCCAAAATTTAAAGATTCACTCTTCGCCCCTACATCCTGACGCTTTCAGATCTTCTCTTCCTTTTTTAACCTCCTCATCACCCCCGAACCTTCCCCTTCCCCTCACCACCTTACCTCCGCACATATCCGACACAATGGCATCCTCACCCCAAGATTTGAGAGTCGCCATCCTGGGCGCGGGAATGGGTGGCTTGACCACTGCTCTTGCTTTGGCTCAGCGTGGTTTCAAGAATATTGATGTATATGAAAACGCGCACGATCTTGGCTTCGTTGGTGCCGGCATCCAGCTCGCCCCGAACATGGCGCGAGTCTTGGACAATCTTGGTGTATGGAAGCCCATTGAGGCTGAAGCTGTGAATATCTCTGAGACTTCCGTCCGAGGTGAGCATTATCAATTGCAAAATAAAAAAAACAATACCAATATACCATTGGTAAACAAGAAACAACGGGTCTAATCAAATATTACAGAGGGCGCAACTGACAACGAGCTCGCACATGTGGATTTGAATTATATCGAAGAGACCTACGGCTACAAGCATATGGTCGGTCACCGCGCATCGCTGGCCGATGGGCTGTATCAGGGTTGCTTGAAGCAGTCTGCCATTAAGTTTCACTTCGCTGTTACTGCAGAGAGTGTCGACTCGTTCGGCCCCAAGCCTTCGTTCACCGCGGTGCCCCGCGATGAGACTCAAAAGCCGTATAAGGTCGAGTGTGATGTCCTCCTTTCTGCAGATGGTATTAAGAGTCAAACCCGCGTGGAGATTCTCAAGCGCTTAAACGTCGATGTCGGCGTCAAGGATACCAACCAAGCCGCCTACCGAATCATGATCCACAAGGACCAGATCAAGGACGACCCTGAGCTTCTTGCTCTGATTAATAACACCCGCGTGACTCGCTGGATTGGCGAGAAGCGTCATATCATCGCCTACGCCGTTTCAAACAACACCATCTACAACCTGTCCACCACCCAACCCGACACCAACTTTGCTGCTGCAACCAACGCCACCTATACCACCAAGGGTGACAAGGGTGCAATGCTGGGAGTCTTCTCCGACTTCTGCCCAATGGTGCAACGTATGCTGAACTACGTCCCCGAGGGAGAGGTTTGCGAGTGGAAGCTACGCGTCCACGACCCCCCTCCCTACCTGGGTCCATGAGCAGGTTGCCTTGGTTGGCGACGCGTGCCACCCAACTCTGCCTCATCTTGCCCAGGGTGCCGCCCAGGCCATTGAGGACGGTGCTGTTCTGGCCGTTGTTCTCGCTCGTCTGCCCGATACCACCCCGGAGTCTATCAACAAGGCCCTCCGTGTCTATGAGAAGGTCCGTAAGGGCCGCGCTGAGGCTCTGGTCGATATGGCTTCCGCCTCCGGTCGTGCTCTGCACTTGGGTGATGGTGCCGCAAAGGCTGAGCGTGATCGTCAATTCGCTGCTCTTCGTTCTGGAGGTGGAAAGGGTCCTGTCCCTGATAAGTGGGCCGATGCTGATGTCCAGCGTGAGATTTATGGCTTCGACTGCACCAAGGTTGCTGAGGACAACTTCGAGGAGTACTTTTCGCAGCTGTAAGCGCTTCCTTTTTTTATTTTCTTTGAGGCATTTTTGGGACGTCTTTGGCTTTACACTTTTCGATTCTTTTTGAATTATACACTCTTCATGTATATCTACGACATTTGCACAAAACAAAACATCATGACTGTTCATTCAAGTTTCATATCATTCGGACTGATTCGGACTGAGATATCCAATTTACTAAAATGTATTGAATTTAGGAATAACACTGATAGTACTCAGGCACGACTATAGCCTAAGTGAGGAATCAGGAAGATACTATACGATTGTTATGAGAGGGATATCTACTCCTATTTCTACTGAAGATAAAGATTTTGAGTAGCGGTTTTTGTGATTTTGTAAATAATTAACTGGAAAATATTCTGCATTTTTTACTTCTATGCAAAACTCTCAATTATTGTAAGGATTATCCAAGTATTTACCAACTATGTACTGCCATGTAGTTAGTTGCTACCGCGGGATCGATGGCCCCCGCCGTTCTCCAACTTTCCCCAACATCAACCCTTCTTCCTCTCTCCATCTCCACCCACAAGCTGCCTCGGTCTCTGCCTTCAAGGCGCAAGGCAATGCTACAGAGCCTAGCCTCAACTGCATTTGGATAGATGCCGTTCCCGGGAGTAAGTCGATTTCGTCCTATTTTGCTTTACAGGGCTAACGGCCTTCATTAGACCCCGTCTCCATTTCGCCTATCGCGCCGCCAACCATCGACGCGTAGGGGCGCCGGCCCTCAATTCTCCAACTCCCCTCGGTTTCTCCTTTCCCAGTCGACTCCGAAGAAATATAATGAGCTCGAAATTGACGACGAAGACGACAATGATGCCCCGCCTTCAACTGCCAGAGCTTCCCGAACCCCGGCTCCGTCGCATACCTCTCTTCCCCACCTCATCGACAGCGAGAGGTGATTGAAGACTCCGATAATGACGATGTATACACAGAAGAAGGAAACCTCCAATATGAACGCGACAGGGAAGAACCGGCCGGTGATGCTATCAATAGCACGCCTCCAGGTGAACCCGTTACGCCCGGACTCTTCGATGCGGAATTCGACGCAATCTTTGCGCCAGAAAGGGTTGGCAAGAAACGACGCCGGCTGGAGACAAGTGAAAGGCTTTCACTAGGTCAAAAATCAAGACAGCAAGACCCATTGCCTCCGCCATCACCGGAACCGTGTCAGCGACCGCCGATTTCGCTCGACTCGCCTGCTCCCCAACCAACAGTTAGTGCAATGCCCCGAGAAATCGCCTTACAAGGGACGCCCGCTGCTCGCAGCAAATTCATCGGCCCGGGGACATCGACGCCTAGTACGATGAACACACCATTTCGCAGCAAGCCCCGGTTTATGCTCTCGATGAAGAAACCACCGAACACGCAGCCTACATTCCGAGGCGAGACACCATTCGCTTCTCAGCCCGCCTCGCCGCCAGAAAGACGTAAACCAACTTTCATCCTTCCCCGCTCTCCATCGCCTTCTGCTGCAGCGCAAGATATACCGGCCCCTTTCTCTCCTTCCTCACGCGCACTGCGTCGTCGCGGTCGACCTCGCGCGGGTGCTGAGGTTTATGCACCGGGTGGAATGGCCGCGGAAGTTCGCAGCTGGATTCTAGAAATGGGTTCGAAGCGTGATGCAATTTTGAATCCAGCCCTGCAACCGAATCAGAACCGCGACATAAAGCGGTACCTGCTAGCTGTCCGTGTCATACATGCCAATCAGGCAGTTCTCAGTAGTTCTGGCCCGTTGGCCTTCATCCAAGCCGAGAAGATAGTCGATGGATCCCAGTCGGAAGGAGGTGGAGGTGAAATTATCCATATTATGACAATGGGACTGCCGCGATCCAAGCCACCGTCGCGTGAAACTGACTCGCGTTCTGATACCGTTCAGGCTGTCACCATACAGACAGGTGATCTACTGGGTATACATCAGGGCCTTGCTTGGAATCTCGAGCTTCATGGGTTCCAGCAATTGAGCTCTTTGTCGTGTCCAGTCGAAGTACCTGGGTCACTTTCCCTTGAAGATGGCGAAGGCAGCTCTTCCAAAAAGGAATGGCTTATCGCTATGGAGTGGGATATTCTCGAAGCCTAATGCTGGCCATATTCAAGTTCGGATCATTCCTTTTCTGGCAATAAATATCAATTATGTATAACAAAGTTATCAACCCCGATATTCTTTAGAAGATTTCAGGGAATACAAGTATTTCTATGGCTGTCGCGTGCTTGACATGTGATATTATCCTATCGCAGAGCACTGGTACTACCAAGTACTACCAAGGACACCTGGGCAGAGCCTTGGATTCCGTGATAATGCAGGTAGCACATGCATTGTCTCCGTTGTCAGACACGTCACCCCGCCACTAACAACCCAGCATGGAACAGCGATCCTTTCTCTAAGTTCCACTGGTCTAAAGGTAAAACATCTCCCCGAAAAGCGAACGAACAACTATACAACCCGCAAAGGACAAAGCTAAAATGCTGAATATCAAACACGAAGTACTAGAGAAGCGAAGCATTCGCATTCTCGCCGTGCCGCCCATTTCACCGACCCTCCTTGGCCTCCCAGCTGAACTCCAGCTGCATATTATCTCACATCTCGACTACCCCTCATCGCTAGCTTTATCGCAAACGAATAAACAGCTCCGTTGCATAGTCCCAGTGCAATCGCCCCGAACGTCGGCGCAAAAAATGGCATTTTTGAATGCGGTGGAAACATGGCAGAAGTATTTCAAGTTCCAAAGGACTCGGACTCTAACCACGTCCACGCTCACTAGCTGCGTTCCGAGTCATTGACTAATATTTTTATTTTTCAAAACCATCGCAGAAACAATACCAAATTCGGCTGCAAATACTGTCTAAAGCTCCGACCAGGCCACACCTTCGCCGACAACCAACTGAACGGCAAACGTGGCAAAAGAGGTCTAGAATGTGATCGCCGTGTCTGTCTCGATTGCGGCTTTCGCAAAAGAATTTATCAACCAGGACAGCCAATCGTTGTAAATGGCCGGGAACAGATTCTGTGTTCGCTCTGTGAGGAGAGACGACGGTATGGATTATACTGTATGCTCTGCTGGCGGTGCGAGAACTGCTTTGTCAAGTATAACATGCCGAAGATCCCATTTCATACGAGTATGGAGCAGTATATCAGACAACATGGGTGCCCGCGCTGTTCGCATCATTTGGAAGACTTGGGTGGCCCGGATTTGGAATCGAGGGTTTCGTTTGAAGAGGTTTTGTTGAGAATGAGGATGGCGAGGGAGGAGGGGGATTTAATTGAAGAGGTGCCTACTCCTTCAAGTTGGTATGAGGATTATCGCTGAGAGGCCTCGGGAATTTAGCAAAGGACGGCGTTCAGAACTTGAACTTCAAATTGAATCTGAGCCTTGGAAAGGAACGTTCAAAGGACGCTGCCAGTGTCTAGGTGCATGGCATTAATCAGGTACTAATTAGTACTATACCAACTCCAACGGACGTTGGAAGATTGCAAAGGACTTTGATAACTTGAATGGGACATGTTCAACTTTTTGATTATGTGCATAATCTGGGTATATTCTAGATGCAGATAAATAATACAGGTTAAGATACCTCTCCGATGCAACCATTAATCCTTGATGGCCTTCAATGCGTCCACAGCGACATTGCATCCCCAGCGGATCAGCTTCTCTTCTTTCTCAATCACAAGATCGCTCTTGGCGACAACCTTGCGGATGAAGAAGATGAGACCCTTGGCGATCTGAGGTGTATCTTGAGCACGCAGGAAGATCTGCATCAATGACTCCTCGTCTCTGGTCGACTCCTCCGAGGCGTCCTTGTTGGCCTTCTTCTTCTTATTGGCCTTCTTGGTCTTTTGCGATTGTTGCATGACACTGATGAGCAAAACCTCGACAAATGTTTTTGTCTTAGGTTGCAGATAGGCGAAGTTGAGATTCTTGAGAACGCCCAGCATCAGGCTCCCATCGGCAATAAGCATACCGAACATCTTAGCCAAGTTGACGACAGACTTCATACTGACACCATTCTCCTGATCATCGGGGTCAAAGTTGTCCTCATCTTCATCATCTCCTCGCTCACCCATCCGCTTGAAGACGTTCCATAACGCAAACATGAAGGACATCTTGATACGTCGACCCATATCTCCACAGAGCCGGCGGGAAATAAGGGTGTAGTAAGGGTTATGTACCTCCTCTTCCATGGCGCAGTGAATTAGTACCCGGGAAATCTCGAATTCTTGTGCACGCTTCAAGCGGAGCTTCATTAGACGAACATGCGCATCTTGGAAGTCGTTTGCAGACATGATGGCCACGAAGATCGATCGGCGAACATCAGTATTCATGCGGTGTGCTTTGGCGAGATCTCCAAGGTCAGGCTCAGCTTCGCTGTCGTCATCATCTACCGCAGTGTCGTTTCGTGTTTGGACACCAGCCAGTTCCTGTCGCGCTGACACCAGCGGGTCTTCTCTCCAGCTTGCGCCAACCAACCACCATTTGCCCTTTTTGGAAGAATCGTGAATGTCGGAACGGGTAATATTGATAGGCTCGGACGCGCGGATCACGCGAGAGTTGTTCATTGAACCCAAGATCTTGCGCATTTTGGTGATATGTTCGGACGTAATGCTGGCTCCGATACCAGATTTGACGCGGTTGTTCTTCAGATCGGTAATCGTCTCGATCATGAACTTTGTTCGCACAGACAAACTCGACTCGCCAGCCTTTGCAACTGCCGGCTGAATGAGCAAGACAATGTCCTTTAGAGCAGACGGGTCGTCTTGTCGAAGCTGGGGACCACAATCTGAGGATGTATTAGTAAAGAAAATATTGGATGCCTGTTCAAGAAGAAATACTTACTGCGAATGACCTTGAGCAGTAGTTCGGTGTTGCTCTCTGTGATCTCTGCTAGGAAGAGACGAATGTAGTCGAAGATCAATGGGCTTCCGATAACGTGGAAGTTGTAGAGTTGGGCAAGAAGAGAGACGAGGTTCATGCCCTCTTTGCCTTCGAAGCCTCTCCCCTCGTCGCCTTCGGCATCCAATGTCTCGACAACCCTTTGCACGATTTCCGCACCAAAATCCATACCCATGATTTTGTACAGAGCAGCAATGAAACCGGCATGAAGAACAAGGAAGGTGTCCTGGAGCACCGACCTCTCGCAGATCAAGCCCATCAGCAAATCAATGATCGTTGAGGTGACATGCTGACGTGGATAATCACGGTAGAGCTTCTCGAATTCGGCGAGAATAGAGATCAAGTTGGCTTCGGAGAGCTTGTTCAGGTGTCCTTGCGCCTGTCGCTTGAGCCTCGTGAGGGATTCGGTTTCAGGGTCCTGGCGCGCACGCAGTGAAGGTGGAATGTACTTCTGGCCTGGTGTGACGTCTTTCTTGGTTGGAGGCGCAATGTATGGGTTTTCGCGCTGTTTGGGAGGGGCGTTTTCCTCGGGGTCGAAACCGTCGAATTCACTGTCGTCGTCTGAGCCAAACACCTCATCATCGAGATCCACCTCCATGTCACTGTCACTTTCGTCTCCCCCTTCGTCGATTTGAATAGCTGCCGCTTGACGCTCTTGAGCCTTTTGTCTTTTGCTTTGCAACCAATCGTCTGCTTCACGTTTGCGCTTCTTGCTATCGTCCTCGGAATCCTCCGCCAAGTTACCCATCAAATCCTCCAATCCGTCCTCTGCGAATGACTTCGGCAATTTTTTACCCTTTTTGAGACCCAGCTTCTTTTCCAAAGCTGCGATTTCCGCATCGTCCTCATCTAGCTTGGATTGGACCTTTGATGAAACATGTCCACGGTCGTGGATATCATCGTCAGAATCACTTTCAAATTCTTCCTGGGCGTTATCGGATTCTTCTTCGTCTGTATCCTCATCAAGGTAGTTTGGTTCGCTATCGTCGGATTCTGTGTCTTCCATCTTATCCAATTTGGCCGCTGACTTTTGTTTGATCCCGGATGCCTTGGAGGCAGGCTTGGATTTGCCTTTCGGTGCATCCTCAACCAGGTCGAATGCGTCCCCACTATCCTTTTTGTTGTCTTCCTTCTGGGGACGCTGATTTTGGCTTCGAGCCGGCGGGGCTGGTGGTCTCCTCGACTTCTTCTCCGTTCGCTCGGCTTGTCTGCGTTCTTTTCGTGAGGTGGGACCATTCTGTTTTCGCTTCTTTTCGCCGTAAGTGTCCCTGATTCCCAGCTCCGATCGCAGATCGCGAGGGAGCGAGGTAGTATTGTGCATTGGGCGAGGCATGATTGTGGAGGTTGTCCGAATGGTCTTTCCTTCAAGTCTTGAAGTCTTTCCATTCCAAAGTCCATCGGGCGGTGGCAGATCCACTTTTTCTGCCAGGCGGTGACCCACCCCCACGAGACTTGGGTCCATCGTGACTGCGAGTGGCCTCAAGCTAACCAACTTCCTTTCTATCCAGCACTTCTGCACATTGATCTCGTTATGGCACCTCACCTTCAAGCCGATGAGGTAAATTTCCCTTCCTACTTTCGAGATTTCCTATCGCCGGAGAATTCGGTTTCACACCGCAATTCCTCATCACAACCGGACACAAGACTATCGCACCGCTTCCATTAATCATGTATCGCTAACATTGGATATGTCTAGTTCTTCTCATCCCTCACCGATCTTCTCGCAAAGACCACACAAAAATCGCGAGGCTCTGTCACTCTATCCCAGAAACCTCTCATCGATAATATCACAACCACCCAGCCCTCCATCCTTATCCGTGCCACCGATGGAAACACAAGCGCCCCGCGAACCATGAAAGATGGCAAAGTTGTCAAGACCAAGGCCTCAAAGGCTACCAAAGTCAAGTTCTCCACAGTCGTTCCCGCAGACCAACTCGAAGCTTTCTACACCCGGTACGCAGAGATCTGCAAGACAGGCATGACCGGCCTGAAGAAGCGGGATCGCAAGCGTAAGGCGAAAGGCAAGAGCGGTGCGAAGGCTGCAAAGGCTTAGGTTCTTCTGCATTGATACCCCCTTTTCCTCTTTACGATGGCGCCCAACGGCGGTTTGTTTTTGTACTTGACCTAGTCTAACATTCCGGCGGTGGCTTTCGCTCTTTCTTGCATTTACTCGGCGTTCTAATGGTGGCTCTTATTCAAAAGAAAAAGCCCTTTGATCTGATGTGGTTCCCTATGACCTTGTTTTCAAGGTGTACATACTTTTCTATGCACCAATGTACCTAACGATTCATTTGAAGCTGGTTTCTTTTGATTCATTCATAATTCGTTCATTTCTGTATGGTGTAGTTACACTGGCTACATCATTGGAAAGCGACGATAGTCTTTCCTCGCGGAAGGTGAAGATGGACTATCCCACATTAAGTGAAAACTGACCCTGACCTGCCTCGAAATGGAACAGCCACTTGGTTCCTTCATACTCCTCCCGTACCTTTACGTTGACAGGGAAATCGCCGTTCACGGGACTCATGCTGGAAGCAATGGCCATCGTATTGATTGGGGGAACTTTCCAGACACTGCCAGCAGGATCGATATCATACCGCAACGCCATCATGGCCGCAACGCCCAGGATCTCCGTGCTGGCAAAATGGCGTCCGGGGCAGATAACAGGCGCCATGCCGAATGCCGTAAATCCGCCGGTACGCCGAGGCTCTTTCGAGGCAGCGTTTGAAGGGTCGGCCTGCAGGAATCGTCGCGGATCGAACACCGTTGCGCTACCGCCCCAAACATTGGGGCGTTTGCCGATGGCACTAGCTGGAATTGAGGCTAAAGCCCCCTTTTTGAGAAGGTACCTATCACCGAGCAGCGTGTCCTCGATGATGTAGCGCAGCGTGATTGTAGTTGTACGCCAACGAAGTACTTCTTGTAGAAAGGACAGGGCAAGTGGGCAGTGGTCCCTGATGGCTGTGATATCGATTGTATGCGTGCCGTCCTCTGAGATAGAAAGTGCGTTGAGCTTGATCTCAGACCGGAAATCAGCCAGAAGCTGCGGGTTTGAAAACAGCTCGAAAAGTGCCCAGAATACTGCTGGCACGGTGCTTGATACGAAGGCCAATAGCGCAGGTGCTTCTAGCTTCGTGAAATCTCCCAAGCTCATGCCCTGTTTCATTGACTTTTCGTATCGCATTTTAGTCAATGAAGATGCTTCTTTGATGCCGTGCTTCATGTAATAAGCATAGAAAGCGCGAGCCACTTTTCTGCGCCCCTTCCAGGCCTTGCGTGCTGTCAGCCATTGTAGGAAGTTGGGAAGTAGGGTGTGCAAGTTGTTCTCGAAATCCCTGTCAAAGTCCAAGTTGTTAGCATGGCACTTCTTCTTTGGAAGATGGGATATTCACCCTCATCACCCGGACACATACCAGAAGGCCTCGACGACTTCGGCGTCATTGTAAGGGTTGTTGAATGGACCATATGTTGCTCGAGTGCTCGCAACGGTGATCATGTTTCGGACCCATCGATATAGATCCAGGTTGGGAGTATCTCGAAGTTCATCAAGATATGTCTTCACATTTTGCATCATGATCGAGTTCATTTTGTCCAGCGCGTCTCCAATTAGATTCGGGGCCATAGCGTGCATCATTTCAGCGCCCAGTCCGAAACCACCCTCGTGTTTATTACAGATGAGGCGCACCGTTTCCTCATTGTCAATACCGCTGAATGCATTGATACTGAATCTGTTGACAGGGTCGAAGGTGAGAGTCTTCTGATTGCGTTGCATCTGACGAATGACTTCTGTCGAAGAAACGAGATAGACTTTTGTGAACAGCAAGTTCAAGGTGAAGATTTCATACGTCGGATTCTCGTTGCTGTGAAGGTAGACAGTCAGTCAGTCAATCCATTCATCTTGCCCCGAGGGGTCAGCTTCGAAACTTGAACGAATCACGTACGCAGTTTTATGCCAGTAAGGAAGACCTTGAAACATCATCCCGAGAAGATGACCGATCACTGGGATTTTGCTCGGTAGAAACGGTGGTTCACGGGAGTCATGCTGCAGCTTGAGACTCTGGAATACTATGAGACCCAGTACCGCAACAGCCCCCAGAATGAGGACATGGGTCGTTTCAAGCATGATGTTTGCTTCGACCGAGTGTGGGATCCAACGGCCTTGAAATCACAGGTTTCGTGAGAGATGTGCTTTGAAACTGTTGTGAAGAAACACTCACTATGAGGGCACACCGAAAAAGGGCGAAACCGGAGAAGAGAATTGCGACGAGAAAAGACTAAGTGAGGCTATCCCGAAGTAAATCTAGTGGTATACTACTTCTGCATACAACGACTGGCTATCCACTTGTGGGCCATCAGAAGCGCTGATTGGTAGATCGGAGTTACAGTGGAGAGAGCCCGCTACGGGAGAGCACGGAGAGACCGGGGGATTGTCTACGAGAGTGCCTAGTATTTACATAAGGTATGTACCTAGGACCTAGTATGGGATCCGTGCCACCTCGCTTATCTGCTCTAATGCAGAGACCCTGGATTTTCTCGTCCAAGGTTACTTCCATTATTGATTGCATTTTGTGTGGCTTTGGCGGATGTTCTTGTGTGCTTCGGTTTCGTTTCGTTGGGCTTTTTTTTAATAGTACATTAATTATTCTTTTCAAGCCTGAGTCTTGTGTTTAAAGGAGTAATTTGTTTAAAGTGATGATTCCATGCGTCGGATTTTCGACGCTGTGAGAATAAACCGTTAGTAAATCTGTCCAACTGGGCAGATTGCTCTGAGAAATGAGTTTGAAAAATCAGAAGAAACACGTACGCAGATTTACGCAAAGAAGAAAGACCATGAAATATGGTTTCAAGCAGATGGCCAATGAGTGGGGTCTTGCTTGGCAAGAGTGGCTGCTCACGAGGGTTATGCTGCAGTCTGGCATGCATCAACATGAGTCACAGAGCTACAGCAATTACCCAAAATGAAGACAGGAGTATTTTCAAACACTGTGATCGAAGCTCACTCGGTGAGGGCTCCACGGCTTTGGAATGCCTGGTTTCGGATAGATACAATATGGAACTATAATAGCCTTGATGGGCTACCAAAGGACGGGGTCCTGCTGATAAGACGACACCCAAAAGTAAGAAACCAAATAAAAGGGCCTTGTCAAAGAAGCAGAGAAGGGGTTTGTGAGAAGGACAAAGTAAGACTGTTTTGCGGTATACTTCAACCATACAAACGGACAGCATCGGGGAGCGCTGGTTGGCCGGTTGGAATCGAAGTCGAGGTCCTGGAATGGCATTGACATTCCAATGTTGGTGGATTTCACAATTTAGAATAGCATTGAGATTGGGAAAGTGCCCAGAATACTCCCGGAAATCCGTTGGAAATATTGAAGTAGTTTTCAAAGTCCTTGACGAGGAACCAGTGATACCATGCTGCAAATGCTACTAGTAGTTGGAGGATGGAAGATCTACTGTGATAATAACATGCCGGAATATGTCGACGACTTCAAAGTCGTTGAAAAAGTTCCTCAGTAGGCCATATGTTGCCCTTGGGAGTACGTTTCCATCATGGACATGCGTCATGAACAAGGTCGGGTGAACAAAGGCGGGTGCTCGAAGCGACTATACCTCAACGGCGTCTCTGAAGCGCTGAAATGTTCCGGGTCTGTAGAAAACACAATTGAAAACCAAGTGACATGACTGAAAAGGTGAGCTTGGTCATTTGTGGAACATATGCCCTTCCATGGCAGGCAATAGTTCTGCACCCAGTACCAAAACCCCCTCAATCTTACTACCAATAAGAAACAGGAGTACTGTGAAGTTTTCTATGACAACAGAAGGGTCTTACTTCTCAGCGAGCGAAAAAAAGAGGAGTTGGAAATGATTCCACGAAGGGATTTTGGAAGTGTGTCCATCCAGAGACCCGGCCTAGAGATCGAGATTAGCATGGGCTTCCAAGAACTAAAGAAGCTCGGGGCAAACTTACTCTTCGGTTGGGGGAAATAGAGATTCCCTCCAGCATGTCCGCAGTGAAAGCTCCATGAAAATGGGGGGGGAGTATCCCCCCTGGCTAGGGATTGACATTAGCATGGGCTTCATGGAATAAGGAACCCAGGGCTTACTCTTTGGCGAGGGAAAGTCAAGGCCCCTTCAGCATGCCCGAGTCACCTCAACCCTCTCTTGAAAGAGTTTGGAAGATGTGAAATTGCCTTGATCACATTTCTCACCCCCTCCCCCCGGAGTCGTAACCACTTCTTCCTTTGCTGCGAGTGAACCATCAGGAATACGTAGGAAGTATCCCACCAGCGAAGCGTAGGGCAATATCCTGGTCACCAGACGGACGGGATATGAAGAACGATGTAGGTGTGTGTAGTGCCGATCCAATACGTTGTGGTTTCATCGCTGGGAAGATGAACGGCCAGTCAGGCTGTCCAGAGTGGCCAGGGGATTGAATTTGGAAACTTGAAGAAAACACGCACGCATATTGATGGAAGTAAGGAAGACCATAGAATAGGAACTGTACTAGCCCTGATAAGTTAACAAAGGAGTTGACGAGGTACTGCGGGAGGGAAAACACTGAAAAGGGCGAAACAGATAAAACGGCGTTGATGAGGAAGCAGAGAAGAGGGCTGTGAGGAAGGAAGACAAAGTAATTGGATTGAGGAGGAGAAGGAGGAGACAAGAAGAAGTAGAGATGGAAGAAACTAGGATCTTCAAGCTGCCTGGATGGCTTGGGAGAGTTTGAATATCAGGTTTATTCTGAATAGCAATGTATTGTTTTGGCCTAGCCAAATCTTTCATTGATTCATATGTCATGCTCGGGCGAGTAGTATAGAGCCTAGTGGTACTAGTAAATCTCCCCTTGGGTAGTCAGTCATTATACTACTAGTAGTAGTAGCGTCAAACCTACTACCTAGGTACCAAAATCCACGACACAAGATAATCTGAGGATACTAAGTACATGCCTAGGCGTGGATGCCTAAGTTAATGCCATCTGGCGGAAGACTAAGGCATCAGCGTAATAGTAATAACCATCGGGTTCATTACGCAACACTAAGGCCAGGCTTCTATTTTATCTTGTCCGGTTATCCCGATGTCAAATTAGATTGGAGAGGAACAAACTACAAAGTATCTGCCAGATCCAGCTGTGATGATAATCGGAGAGTCTTGAAACCACACAGAAGAAGCGTTGTATAAGAGGAATAGTTGTTTCCATTTCAATACTGTAATTCAACAAAAGCTATGGGGTGGCCGAAGTAATTCCGAGTGATAATTAAATGCGACGCTAGAATACAGAATCATCCTGGGAATCCGCACATTCCCATCATTTCACGCGTCACGGTCCGAGATGCAAGGGTTGGGGTAAGAGGCATAGGGCAGAGTAAATAAAGTCATAAAGATAAAGCATATTGTCACATGAAAATGGCTAAGAGGTGGGCATTAAAAGGAGGAATATGATCAAGAATTAAAACAGGGGAATAAAAAGAAAGAATGATTATACAGGGTGGGGGTGAATAGGAGGGCTAGTCCAGATCCCAAGGATCCAGCTTCCTGTTGATTCGCGCGTCCTCGTATTCAGAAGAGGATTCACGATCAAGTGGAAAGCTGAAATCATCCTCGGTGACGGTATGTTTACCGGATGATGTTGATCCTCGTCTGGATTCGCCTAGAGTCGCGTTCAGAGCGGGATTAATCACAATTCGTGCAGCCACGTGCAGTAGGACGATGAAAAGAGCGACAGGAGGTACCAGCACAAGGGTCAAGGCTTTTGAAATGAAAGATGAAGCCTCGTCTCCTGCCTTTGGCTGGTAGAGGGCGGACGAGGGGGGCATCGGGGAGACATCACGCTCTCGGGTTGCCTTTGCTCGACGACGGAACTCGTTGCTCATGTGATTGAAGTCGGTGGGGGGTGACGCCTTTAAAGCGAATGCAGACGCGGATTTTGTGGTGGAGGGAACGGCCAGAGAAGATTTCGGCGGGTCGTTACGTGGAGAAGATATTGTAGCCAGGGGACCCGGCTTCAGAACGAGAGTATCGGCGGCAGGAGGGGAATTTCTGCTTGAAGAGCCATCGACCTGTGGTGCAAAGCCATGTGTGACTGGATTGGACAGCGTCCCCTTGTGATGTGTGAGGGTGTCATTTTCCTGCTTGCGATGATGAATTTCCGGCAATTGCATGTCCATCGAGGGCGTATGCGTTGAAACAGAATCAGATGGTGACTCTGGGTCTGCTGAATGGAAAGACTCCGGTGTTGATGAGAATGAGCTGTCATGATCGGGGTCGGTGTCTATTTCTGGCTCTTGTTCGAAAATGGGTATGGATATTGGCTCAGCATTTGCAACAGTCCTAGGTACACACGCGGGCGTAGTGTCGTGTTCTGGTACAATTTCCGTTCCAAGAACCTGCATGGGCTCTTTTTCGGTTGTTTCTCCAGGCGTCATTATAGGAGCAGTCATAGACGTATGCGCAGTATCAGGTTCTAAAGGCGATTTGGATATGCTCTGCTTCCCATCGAAGCCAAGGGCGACAGGCGACATTTTAGGAGTCTCCCTCTCAAGCAGAGTGGGTGCTGCAACGGTCGTAGGGGCTTCATCGTGCTTTGGGTCGGCACTAAGAGCTTCGGGTTGCTCCAGCGCAGGAGCCGATACCTCGGTGTGATTTACTTCTAGTTCGGGCTCATCTTTGGCTGTTGTCTGAATTCCGGCCTCCTTCTTGACCTCAGGCTCCTCTTTGGCCTCGGGTTCCGAGGCAGCCGTAGGCGTTGCCTGAGGTTCTGGTACGGCGCTATGCGGCAGCTCAGTAGTGGCAGTGCTTGCAGTGAGTTCCAACTGTGCAATAGATTCTGCCACACTTTGTGTTTCAGGCGCAGAAATGAATGCTTGTTTAGCCGCACCTGTGTTAAGCTGAGAATCGATGGCGGGCTGAGGAGCGAGCTCAACCTTAACCTCTGGGATGGAAGTAGGCCCAGTCTGACCCACGGTGTCTGCCTTCTCGTGTCCCATGGGCGTGGCTTCCGAAGTTTCACATTCCTCGAGAACCGGAGCAGCGTCGAATTTGGCGAGAAGGGTGGTGAACGTCTGGGGAGTTTCGGTAGCCGATCGTCTTAGAGGCTTCGGTGGGGACGGAAATTCGATGCTGTCGAGGGGTGACGGCGGCTGGTCAGTGATCGGAACAGCATCCGATGTCGAGCTGTTACTTTTCTGGGGGACTAAAGCACAGTCGTCCGTTGCGCCTCCATCCGTATCCTCTCCGGTACTAGCGGAGTCTAGCCATTCCGATCGGGTTTCGGAGGGCGAGCCCCCCCTGACTGCTCCCTGAGGCAGGATACAGACTATCATTTCGTTCTTTTGGTCGCCAGGCCCTTTTGCGCCGCGGTGCCATCGCATCCTCGGGTAGTTCCACGGTGAAAGCGCGCTTGAAAGGACAGGGCGTTACTTCATACCGAAGAACGGTTGGTAGCGCGATTTTCAAATCCCCAACTAACCCCTTATCCTCTTCTGTCTCGTGTGGTATTTCGATGCGATAGTAGGTGAGAGGGCGAATGCGCAACACGAACTTGGACACGCCGTCGACACACCAACACTGGGAGTTCTTCAAGATCGCGTGCACGACATTCCCACACTTCAAGAACGCGGTCAAGCCATGAACGCGTTCGAGGCGAAGCGGTGCTGTTGCGACCGTTCGTTCAGTCGCCGAGCGCCATGGCAGTGATTCAATAGTATCAACGGGGTAGTCGAAATCGGAGGGGGCGGAACTGGAGGGAATCGGGGCGAGGGCTCTGGGCGCAAAATGAACGATCTTCGCGGAGGGATGATAGAAGATGACGTTTTCCGATAGTTTTGTTGGCGGCGCCGAACCACGTTGCGACAGTGGGTTTAACTTCGTTGGGAGAGTGAAAGACCGGCGGATGGTTGGCGTTTGACCCACGGGATCGCGCAGAGACTCGGACATCATCGCCAGCAGGTTTTGGCGGGTTATTTATAGGGGCATGAGGATTGAAAATCACTTGCGATGCATGGCGCGCCGTTGTGATTTGAGGATGCAGCAGCAGGGGGCAAGTTGAAGTTGAGGCTGCGGCTGCGACTGCGACAGCTTATCGCAAGTGGCCCCCCCCAGGTTCGTTCCCCAATGGAAATGCTTTTGCTGCAAGCCTGCGGGGAACATGTGATTTAGAACATGTGATTGGTGATTGCGATTTCTCCCTCAGGCCGACATTGACAGTCATGTGACTTTGCAGATTCCCAGGTCACATGATGATGTTTTCAATGGCGCCTGAAACAAGGAAAGAAGTCACGCTGTTCGCTCTTAGTTAACATTATCCATACAATACAGTTCTTGCGTTGCCCAGATTTAATCATACTGTAGGGAACCTGGGCCACTGTCACAATCCGATCCCAAAGGAAATAAGTCTGGCGATGTCCAACTTTGAACCCAATGCCGTCATCCGGGGTTTCCAGCTCGTGGTGGTTGGAAGTATGTTTTTCTTTCTTTCCTGTTGCTGGTTGGCTATTTCAGAGTCTGACCGATTTCTACTACAGCTGTTCGAGCTTTGACGAATCCGGAACTTTTCAAATATGATCACTTCCGCCAAGCTGCCCTTGCTGTGGCTGTTGGAGTGGCCATCCAGGCCATCGTTCAAATCCCAGTATCACGCGGCCCTGTTCCTCTATCCCAGCTTTACATTACTGATGTGAGATTTCTAGATCCTCACCGTCAAATTTTCCGTCTACATGGTCTCTTTTCTAGTTGACCTTAACCAAGCAACGTGGGACAACAGTCTCTTAAACGCTCTAGAATTCATTTCAAAGTCTGTTCTTCAAGTGCCTTTCCTGTTGATGACTCTGATGGGATACCTGACCCCAACTCTTGATGAAATGTAAGCTATCCTTGCCAATTTGACCCGGTCATTCAGTACTAACAGACCTGAAGCTTCATGCAATCGATCTATTGGGTAGATCGCACATACATGCAAAAGCACAAGTCCGAGAACCCCGATACTCTGCGCGCTATGTACTACCCTAATCTGGTTATGTACCCAACCAAGGGTGGCTCTGGTAGTTCGGCACCGAAAGCGGAGGCTCTATTGGCGTTTTTCAACCGCTACGCCAAGAGGGTGGGTATTCTCGTCGGTGTATATATTATCTCCTGCCTACCTTACATCGGTCGATATGTTCTGCCGGCAGCAAGTTATTATACCTTCAGCAAGCATGTCGGGTCCATGCCCGCCACCGTCATTTTCTGCGTCGGCCTAGTTCTACCCAAGGCATATCTTGTCCGATTCATGCATACCTACTTCGCATCCCGCAGTCTGATGCGAGAACTAGTGAGCTTTTCTTTCTTGTTTCCACAACTTTATGCTCCATCGCCTGACCAATTCCCAGCTTCAACCCTACTTTCGCCGCGTCAAATTCACTCCCGAACAAAAGCAACGTTGGTTCAGAGACCGCGAGGGCGTGCTTTTTGGCTTTGCGTTCGGCTTCACCATGATCCTAAAGACTCCGTTCATTGGCGTCCTCATGTATGGTGTTGCTGAGGCATCTACTGCGTATCTTGTCACCAAGATTACCGACCCTCCCCCACCACCTGCTAGCAGCGAGGGGTACGTGGAGAGTCAGGTTACCTGGGCGAACAAGCATGACTTCCTGCAATTGTCTCTTGACAAGATTGATAATGTCAATGTCGTCAGTGGCGAGAAGGACGCTGCCGAGCCCAGCCCCGCCGGCAAAAAGTTCTCATAAAGGCCCCTTTAACATGCCTTGGAACTGCAGATGGAAAATTCTGGGACCGGCACTGGACTACGAGCCTAGCGGAAGAAATCAGTCTTCTTCAATTATTTGAGATCACGATGACTGCCCTGGTAGCGTTCTCGATCTTATGTCCAAACCGCGGAAGGAACAGTAGTCTATTGTATTAGGAAAGCAAACGGTCGAATCAATAAATAGCATAGCGATATTGGCAATAAATCCATCCGCATGACAGCAGAGATAGTAGGTTTGGCGACACTTGTATCATTAGAAAAGATTGTCTTCGGGTGAAGATACAGGCCGGGTAGATGGCAACTCCTATGATGTTTTTGCCGTGCCTTCGGGATTTACTGTGACACATCAGGGACCTGGATCCGGAACGCAGTGGCGACCAAAGTACACTTCCATGTCCACCTAGTAAGTAACATTTACGACCTATGCTCAAACATTCAAGTTCAAGTTGGCAGTCATCTTTAGGTTAATCTGAGTGAACATGGAATTAAGATGGGGTCCACCCTTACGGTTCCAAGGTTACAGCGCGCATCCCCGCAGTTGAGGGCGGGTTAATTGCGATAAAGAGACATTTTCATCAAGTAAGAATTTCCTTTTGTGTTGCACCTAATACGAAAGAGGCGGAAAGCACTGACCGTGGAGATAAACCTATTCGGGCGGGGGCCCCAATCCTTGTCTACCTGATTTTACCCCTCTGCGGAGAAGCTGGCTCTTATCTATGTCTCCTCGGCATCCCATTTTCACGCTCTGCGATATTTTCGCAGTATCTTCCCATTACTTCCTAACCTCTTTCGAATTTCTTTCCCTGGCTCCTGTCTCATTGCTAAGAGGCGCGGCCATTATTACTTTACGCCACATTTCTCTACAACGACGCATCTTTGAACATGGGTATCAAGGGTATTCGCACTGCGTTGAAGGTTGATCTTGAAAAGCCGGCGAGAGATCAGCCAGGTCTACATGTAAGAATATCGATGCAAATGATCAAAAGCCCGGCAATGACTAACAGGCACGTGCATGACAGAATCGTTGGCACCCAGATGGTATGTCGCGAAGCCTTTGATTGGAATGATTGATAACATGATGCTAACCTAAATGTCAGTTCCCTCATGTGGGAAGATTGCAAACAACGAGGTTGTGAAGATTGAGTGTCTCGACTGGACGGGTGGACAAATCGGAAATAACGATTCGGCCGAGGACGTCAAGAATGTAGATCTTACACAGATCCACTACCTCTCCGGCCCCTTCGATATTGAATCAGCCGAGCCAGGCGATGTGTTGGTAGTCGAAATCCAGGATGTGCAGCCGTTCCAGGACCAACCATGGGGATTCTCGGGGGTCTTCCACCAAAAGAATGGAGGAGGCTTTCTGGACCAGCTGTACCCCAAAGCGTGAGAACCCTCGATATTGTTTAATCAACGGAAATAACTGACCAGCTGGTAGCGCAAAGGCCATCTGGGACTTTGAGGGAATTTTCTGCTCCTCTCGACACATTCCACATGTCCGTTTTGCGGGTTTGATACACCCCGGCATCTTAGGATGTGCCCCATCGGCCGAGGTTCTTGCGGAATGGAACCGTCGTGAAGGCGAGCTGATCGCAACGAATACAGTCGAAGATCGAATCGTCGCGCAGCCTCCCAATCCACTGAACGCGCATGCGGGCAGTGCTGCGGATGATATCAAGGAGAAAGTTGCCAGAGAAGGAGCCCGAACTATTCCAGTAAGTGAAATCCTTTCGCACCATATAAATGGATACTGATTTAATTCCAGGGACGTCCCGAGCATGGCGGCAACTGCGATATCAAGAACCTTTCTCGTGGCTCAAAAGTGTACCTACCCGTCCACGTGTCCGGCGCGAAATTTTCCGTTGGAGATCTGCATTTCTCGCAGGGGGACGGCGAGATATCGTTCTGTGGTGCCATTGAAATGGCCGGCGAGATCACACTCAAGTTCACCGTGATCAAGAATGGCATGGCGAAGCTAGACATGAAATCACCAATATTCAACGCTGGACCCGTCGAGCCCCAGTTCGGCCCTGGGCGCTATCTCACATTCGAAGGATTCTCGGTTGACGAGAACGGGAAGCAGCATTATCTCGATGCTACGGTCGCGTATAGACAGACTTGTTTGCGGGTGATTGAATATCTTCGCCGCTACGGATATAGCGACTACCAGATCTATTTGCTTCTGAGCTGTGCGCCGGTCCAGGGACATATCGCTGGAATCGTGGATATACCAAACGCCTGTACTACTCTTGGGTTGCCGATGGATATTTTCGACTTTGATATTCGGCCCGAAGCCGAAGTCGTGAAAAGAGACATGGGCGCATGTGCCATCACGGCTGACTAGTAGGTACTATACAGTTTTCGGCATTTCATGAAATTGAACCATATGAGTATAATTCTATTTGCTTAATTCTCCAATTTGAGTCCACCCATCCTCCTTGACATCTTGAAAATCCATCATTCTATTCGGTCCGCCGAACCTATTTTGTGTAGACTTCCAATCTCGATTCACTGCCAAATCGGGTCTCCAGCGTACAACATCCTTTAGCTCGTTCACGAGCTCACCCTCCAAAGCGTCTACAATAAAGCCCCCAACGGTAGGCATTTGCATCGCTCCATTTCCAGACCCACCCACGGCAACTAGAAGAGATGGGTGATTAGGATGTCGATCTATCAAGAATGCTCGATCCGGGGTATCGGCGTCCCAGCAGATACGAGCAAAGACGAATGGTCTCTCTGCAAGGTGCGGCATAGTATCCCTCAGAAACTCCCTAGCACGTGCCTCAGCCTCGAGAGGAATCTGCTTTCTTGCAAACGGGATACTCTTCAGCTCATCAGGACTGTGAGGATCGCGAATGAAGTTGCAGTATCCCGGGTGCTCATCGCAGATCTTCAACTGATGTTCATCCTCATCAGGTTCCATGAAAAATCCCTTGGCGACGTTGAAGAGAACGGGAAGGTTTCTATACAGCTGGCACTCCTCCGCTGTCATCTGGATATGACTCAGAGTCCAGGCAGTAGGCCGTAACTGCTTCTTGAAATCCAGCAAACGATCACTACCGGCACCTGCAGCAAGAATCGTACGGTCTGCACGGTGGATAACACCATCCGCTGTTCGGGCTCCGATGACATCTCCCTTTCCGTAGACTAGTGCTACCACATTCCCATGGGGAGTACCGGTGATAAAATTCGCACCGAGACGTTTCGCCTCGGTATATGCAGAGACCATAGCCTTTCGAGCATGAATCCACCCTGCTCCTTGGTGGCTGAACCAGCCCTTCCACCCTGGGAAGTCACCAGTCAATACACCTGGCGGCATGGTCTTGCGAAAGTCATCTGCTGTTTCAAGTGCGATAAAGTCGCCCTGGGATGTGTCTATATCTTCCTCTTTGATATGCTGGACAATCTCAGGCGTGTTCCCAGAAACTATGAACCCGGTCTCGTGGAAGTATGGTTTAAAGACAGGGTCATTTTTCCAACCATCCAGAGCGGCTCGCGTGCAAGTAGCAAATGCAATGCTTCTGGCGTCCGAATCGGGCCCTGGGTGTTGTTAGTATGCGTTTTGCAATAGCCCAGTCGAGCCTTTTTCTGGTGTCTTGTACCTTTGAGCTCCTTATGTTCCATGATTTTATTCACATCATTCCCAGCAGCGATGGGTGATGGCACAGGATATGGATCCAATATAGTCACATCTGTGTATCCTCTTCGGACCAGATGAAGGGCAGTTGAGCAGCCCCATGTCCCTGCACCAACGATTAAGATGGAGGACGAGTGATTCGGCGATGGGGTGGTCATTTTGATAGCACTGCCAGTTGAAGTTCTTGAAAAATTGTCGAGAGGGTCTTCGGGTAGAAAACAACAGACTTCTCTTTGAATGGGCGCTAAGATGCAAGCTTATCAGCGGCGTTAGGGGGCTGTCGCGTGGACCTTCCTACCCCTCAAACCTGGGGAAGCTTCTCCGCACCCGCCTGTGGTGATCCCGGTTGTTGGTATCACATTCGCGGCCGAGAAATCTCAACACCAGTCATCTCTGGCATTGAAGTTTTTCTGATTGCTTCGCTTAGAACTTCATACTTTTTCTACCCCTCACAATCTGGCTTCGCTATTCTAGATTGAGAGTGATGGTCGCAAGCCAGTCGATTTTCACTGGCCGATAGGTACACTGACCGTTACATACCGCCAGTGAGACTTCCGATAACCTTGGAACCAGATCCTACCAATGGGTGAAATCGTCCTAGTACTATCGAAGAGATATAAAATCAGCACCCTTGCTGTGGAGTGAGGGATTGTAATTTCTCTCGACCCTTGCAATCACTATGGCTCCCTTCGATGATCAACACACCGATGTTCCTGGCACTGTGTACCTGGTAGATAGTATGCATAAAGCCACCCGTCATCTTGATCTATTAATGCTGACAGTTCTACTCTGTAGCATCGAACGCCTTGGAGAATGCCGCTCATGTAGGAGGTCAAGATGTTCTCCTCATACCACAACCGTCCAAATCCCAGGCTGATCCTTTGGTGAGAGCATCACTGAAATCTCCTATGACCAATAGAGCTGACAATAAACTCTAAGAACTGGCCACGGTTTAAGAAGCTCTGGTCGTTGTTCCTCATATCGATGTATGCTTGTGTGTTCTCATTCGGTGAGAATAACTGGGGAGCTAGCTGGACGTTGATCTCAGAAGATACCGGCGTCAGCCTGACCAACATGAACGGCGGTTCTGCTTTAAACTACCTTCTCCTTGGATTCTTTAACATAATCTGGATTCCCACAGCAATGAAAGTTGGACGCAAGATTGTTTACATTTTGAGTTTACTTCTTCTTGTCGGTGGAAGTGTGTGGGGCAAGTATTATACCGGAACTGCGCAGTACTACATCATGCTAGCCATCCAAGGAGTTGGCACGGCAGCTTACCAGGCCTTGATTCAACTGACGGTGAGCTCCTCAGACCTAAAAAAAAACAACTAAACAAGCCACTAATTTCATTGCAGATCTTTGATATGTTTTTTACGCATGAGCGAGGCCGCATGGTTGCGATATACATTTTTTTCCAGCAGCTCGGCTCGATCCTTGGTCTTATCCTAGGCGGGTACATCTCCGATGGAATTGGCTGGCGCTGGAGCTCGCCTATCGTTGCAATTGCATGTGTGGGTACCCTCTGTATTTGGCAAGTCTTTTCTTCACTAAATAAGCAAAGGGCGTATTGATCTTACTATTCATTTTTACCTTCGACGATACAATGTTTCCGCGGTACCGATTTAACAGCTTCTCTGACACAAACCCGACTGGACCGAATGAGGATATGAAGAAAGAATCAGAACTGGGGCCATCAATTTCAGAGCTGGCCAGCGATGGCGATGGTGAAGAGATTCCCCCAAGAACCTATCGCCAGAAGATTGCCCTGGTCCATCGTTTTGCCGATGACAAAACAACCTGGTTCCAGTACTTTCGTCGGCCATTCTATCTCTTTGCCTTTCCAAACATTGTCCTCGCAGGCATACAGTTCGCATTCGGCTGTACAGCGGGGATTGTTTCTTTCAACACCATATCAGAAATCATGACTGAGTCGCCTTATAATTGGAGTGCTGGTTCTACCGGCTTGATATTTCTCGCTGCGCTGATTGGGAACTTCCTCGGTATGGGAGTAGGCTCTTTATCTGACTGGGTAGTGCTTGTTCTTGCGCGGAGAAACAAGGGTTACAAGGAGCCTGAGATGCGCATCTGGACATACATTTTTCCCTTCACTTTCGGCGCTATTGGATACTTTCTCTACGGTTGGGCTGCGACTAATGGCTCACATTGGATGGCTATTGCAGTCGCGCTTTGCTGTTTAATCGCTCAGCAGGTGTCGATAACAAGTCTTGCAACGGCGTATGCGATGGAATGTTTTGATGGGGTATGCTCTTTGGCTTTCACAAAATATACTCTTCTTTCTTGTGATTTTATCTAATTTCCATTGCAGATATCTGGCGAGCTTGTCGTGGTACTTGCTATCTGCTCATCTCTGATCAACTTCGCTATTTCGTACTCCGTCCAGCCATTCATCGATGCCACGAATTATGGCTGGGCTTTTACTTGCTTCGGAATACTTGTGGCTCTTTCGGGTTTGCTTGGTATCCCTATGATTATTTGGGGCAAGTCGTGGCGTCGGAAGTGCAAGATGCGATACGAACAGTTTCTCGCAGAGACAGGCCGCAGCTAGTTAATCTGAAGATGAACCGCTCTGGTAGTAGTATTCAGTTACGCCGAGAGTCTGAAATGCTAACTAGTAGTTACTATTACTAGTAACTTCTAACTAAATAGTCGGACATAGATACCAGTCACTTCAGTAAAATTTCACTCAATTTCATCATTATAATTCATTTTGCCCACAATCGATAAGCAAATCGAGATATGCCCTCACTGTGGGTTTTCAGCGTTTCCCAACTACGCAGAATTACCAGCAAACCAGGCCGGATCCTCCGGTTCAAACGTATAATCATCAAGATTCAGCAAGGAAGTCCAATCAAATGAGTTCGAAAAAGCCTCCGGCTGACCGAAAGGTCCAGAAGGCCAGGCTTCTGAGCCCATCTCCTCTGGGAACTGGAATTGGAACTGATTAAAGTCCACACTATGCAAGCGATCGTACTCCGCCGATGCGATAATAGCATCGACCAATTCAACATCCCCATTTCCAGCTGACTCGAAGTCACTCTGTAGTCTTTTCATAAGGCCCAGAAGTCCATCGACGATCTTGCTGCTCATCGCGTAAAGGCATCCGCCTGCAAAGGCAGCGTCGACAGTGAGAATCGGCGACGAGGCCATGTTGGCGAGGGCCTCAGCGCATTTCTGGAAAAGATCAAGTTGTTTGGGAAAAGCTGGGTGTAGATGGCCAGAGCATTTAATCTGGACGACATTATTCTCGAGTATATTTTTGCAGATAATCACGTTTTCCAAGCAGATGTACCTCGGCGGTGGGTGGAAATCAATGCCGTGCAGCTTCAGCGTTGAACACTGGATGAACTTCTCAAGTATTGAGGACAGGTCGTTCGGATATGCCGAGCCGTAACGCTCCAAAAACTCTTTGAAGTAATTGTTTGACTGTTCCCCGGTTTTTTTCAAGACATTCGTGATCTGTGAGGTGATTTTAATGGTTTCGTCGCGAAATATGTCCGAATCCCGTCGACTACCCCATTCTCGTCCGGATCTTGTCCCTGAGACTGGATGTGTAAAGAAAACCTAATCCAATAATCCAGTTTTGCACAGTATGAAAGCGAAGCTCCATCACGGATCGTACGGCTTTTATTTCTTCGTTACCTGAATTCCCTTGCTGTACAGCATCAAGTAGAGAGTTGGTGTAGTTGATTTGTTCCAAGCATTTCTTTTCGGTCTCTTCTGCAAGGCCAATGAAGCGTCCCGGGTCATGCAAGCTTTGTTTGGCTTCAGCCAGCATTTGGAATAGTATGTAAGTTGATGTAGCCCATTGAATGTGGTAAATAGCCCGTGGTGTGCACTGGCGGAATTTCAAAGCATTTTGGTAGGCGTCAACGCGGGTTTTCATGTAGGCGATTAGATAGCGTAGACTTTGAAGTGGTCTCCTGACCAGACCGTCTACTGTTGCATGGTTTGAAACCATCTGGATTCCTTGAATCGAGTCGAAGAGGCATTTTTCAAATGTGTCATAGTCTGCGGCATTTAGTCCACTAAGATATTGAGCTCCCTCTCCGTTTACTGCTTCCAATCGGTGAGAAATGCCATATGCGATATTGATGTATATCTCTGACTTGATTGTTTTGTGAGCGATTGCTTGCATGGTGACCAAAGCTGTTGGCTTATAATCGGATAGGAAAAGAGAGACGTTGACCGAGTCATGGTGAGTGGGTGGCGAAAAAATGAACTCCTGACCATAGAACGATACGGCAAGTTGCAATTTCTGTTTCAATCGCCAGTCTTCGCGAGTGATATTTCGTTGGAGCTCGAGCGCAGTCACACAAAGAAGTGCAAAGAGTAGCCTTGTCGCGCAATTTGTGGAGATGGCAGACTTTTCCGAAGTTAATCGAGCACGGAGGTTGACTAAAGTTGGCAAATTTGGAAGAAAGAACCGATGCCAAACTAACCTAAAGGTTCTTGTCAGCATGGCCACAGCGTAGTAGTATGAATATTCCTTTCATAAGGTAATCAGGCTTTACCATTTATCGAAGAATGCTGCCATATCATCGCTTATCAGTTGCTGCACAGGTGTGTTCCAGCTTGAGGTAGCATGGACAATGTCAGCGCCAAACGCGCGGTCTTTGGCCAGCACCGAGATGAAGAAATAGTTCGCCTGAATCATAGATTGGAAGATCTCTTCTTTTCGCGTCATGCGAGTGGGATCAGGTTGGCGATCATGAGATAGAATACCATCTCCCTCGTCGGCGAAGAGATAGTCTTTGATATCCAAACTCGAAATAGCTGGAATACCTTCCTCGGGGACGGAATCCGAGTGGGTATTCGGACTTCGATCTTCTGACCTTTGGAGCCGACTGCGTTTAGATTGTGGGCGTCCAAGCATTGTATAGTCCACTACACATTCCAAATCGAGGTTTCGACACCGCTCACAGCACTTCTCTCTTGGCTGGGGAGTATTCAAAGGCCCCAGGTCGTGCACACTGGGCAACACACATTTGATTTTCCGGGATCGACAGCCCCGACATATCAACCGGGCGTATTTACCTCGTCGGACTCGGTCGGACATATTCAAATTATTCAGTGGTTATGGGGGGAGATTAAAATTTAGCGATGGGTCGAAAGAAGGTCAGATAGTTGAGGTAGGGCCGATGGTAGATTCCGATTGCATGGTAATATCGGGGGTGGCTCATTGTGGCGGAGTATTGCTGCGGTTCAGCTGGGATTCGGGCCCATTTTCCAGGTTTACTGATCGAGTGAAATGAATCTTGTTGCCTTGTTGCCTGACTGCCGGAAGGCATCCACTATAGTTGAATGTACGCGGCTACGGGCCAAAGTTGATTCCATAAACAGTGTACATCCTCGTGAAGATTTCAATTCAAAGCAACTGTCTGGGTATTTATCTCCCAAGTGCCGAGTGTTTCAAGGGTGGCGGCCCCCGGGGCCTATGCAACGCCCCAATAACTGCATGGGCACCCTTTATTAACGGGGTAGAACTCATTTCTGTTTGAGCTTTTTTTTTTGGGTGCTGCTAACGAGAGCATCTTCATATTTCTCTCGCTCCTTCCTCATACCACCCAATTTCTGGGGTATCCTCCTTCTTAGTATTGAGTTCTCTCACGCAGCGTCCACGATAACTTCCAACGTTGTCGTGCCCTGCAAAATGGCCACCGCCGAAGCAACAACTCACCAATGGCCCCAATTGGCACCAGAACGATATTCCTTGTCTACCTCATGTCGGCAACGCGCTTGGCTGAGGCTTATGGCATCCATCATGAAATTTCTTTATTCGCTGTTACCACCGTATGTCAATTTCATGCTCACCTCATACTGTTGAATTCTGATATTCAAATTAATCATTCTCCCAGGATACTTTTCTTGGGGTTTCTTGGCCCAGAATACCTCCGTCATGCTTGCAAGCACTATATACGATGGAAGGAAGAAGAGAGGCTGCCTTCTATATTCACAGTTTCATCGATTACAGATCTGGAGGTATGTAAGGATGTAAACAGATTCATGGTCATGATTTGGTTCCCGTGGCACCTGCTTTTCATGATTGTGTTTTTTTGTCTGGCCTGGAAATATAGGCATGTGGATTTTGAGAACCTGGAACAGATAGATGAGAGAGAGAGCGAAGCTATTAGTACTTCAAGTTCCAAGGTTACCGTGTGATAGGGAGTGGGACATTGCTCCTAGGCTGTTTACTTCAGAGAGTAGGAGCCACACACAGAGAGGTGACAGAGTTTATGAAGAAGAGGATGCCTGGGCTGCTCTCATCATGGTAAACAGGCATTATATACACGTCCAGGTCATATAAGCCCACTTGACATACTACTATCACATTTCGCTTCGTATTCTCTCGATTTATGGATGTCTGAGGCTGTTGGTATCCCAGGCACCGCACCTGAACAATACTCGAGTTCGTTCTACCAAATCATTCCAAGGTTAAGATGCCCGAGGCAGTACTACTATAATGATGCCAGTATCTTCGTCCTCTGAATATACACGTAGCGAAAGGGGGATGTTAGGAGCCCTGGGGTTAGACCATTCTTTCTAGTAGCTTCAACCTCGGAGGTTCTTTCATACCTAGCCTAGGTACCGTAGTACTTTGAATCGTTCGGATCAAGTAACCTACCCTAGCAAGAATATTGGGTCGATTAGTGCAGCCATGGAGCGCCGCATGCAATATCTACCTTGATTAGAGTAATGTAATTACGAGAAGTTCACGGAGAATGGGAAAGATAAATCGAACTTGAAGCAGAAATCTCAAAGAGCAATTGAATTGCCCAATGATGCGATTACTAGTATCATACATCATGCTTCACAGATAAAACAGGAGAGAAAAAAATACGTCATAAATCGTATGATAGAGAGCTATAAACACAAGAGAGTAAATCAGGAGAAGAACTTCTGAGCAGCCTTCTTATCCTTTGCCTCGCGGTCCTTAACAGCCTTCTTGACCTTGGCAATCTCGTTGGTAATACCCACATCAGTAGGGGCCAGCTTGGAAGCCTCCACGAGATCCTTGAGCGCATTATCCTCCTCCTTCAGACCGACGTAGGCAAGAGCCCGACGGTAGTAAACCTTGGCCTTGTCACTGTCCTTGCCGTTGGCGGTATCCGCGACCTTCAGGGCGTATCCAGCCCAGGTCTTGGCGTTCAGGAACTGACCAAGCTTGTTGGCGAGAAGGGATGAGTTGGAGTGCAGGGTAAAGCGCAGAGCGGTCATCTGCTCGCCGAGCTCCTTGGAGTCGTTCTCGCCAGGCTCGGGGAACTCGTTCAACCAGCGCAAGCCCTTTTGGTACTTCTCCAGACCGAGCTCGAGGTTGCCGCTCTTGAACGCAGCATTGCCGAATCCCTTGAGATCCGAAGCGATCTTGAAGGCCAGAGGGGCAGTCAGCTCCTCTCCCTGGTGGTCCTCGGGGAAGTCCTCGTAGGGATCGCCGGTCGCGTCCTGAGCGCGCTTGTTGGCATTCTCGTAGTCCTCGCCGAAGAGCTGACCGCAGTTCACCACGGTAACGTCGACCTTGGGCTTGTCGGACTGAGTGGGCATGTTTTCGATCTTGCGAATAATGCTTTTGCCATTGATGACCTCGCCGAAGACGACGTGCTTGCCGTCGAGGTGGGGGGTGGGAACGGTGGTAACGAAGAATTGACTGCCGTTGGTGCCGGGGCCGGAGTTGGCCATGGAGAGCAGGAAAGGACGGTCATGCTTAAGGTCGAAGTTCTCGTCGGGGAACTTTTCGCCGTAGATCGATTCACCACCGGTACCGTTGAAGGCAGTGAAGTCACCACCCTGGATCATAAACTGCTTGATCACACGGTGGAAGATGGAGCCTGCCTCGGTTTAGTCAAGGCGCTAGGTTTAAATCGCGATGGAAGAAGCATTTCAACATACCCTTGTAGGTCAATGGCTTGCCCTGCTGGCCGATGCCCTTCTCGCCAGTGCAAAGCGAACGGAAGTTATCTGCAGTTTTGGGGACCACTGGATTTTTCCAGGATTAGTTGGGAGGTCAATCGGTTGGAGCGGAGTTTGATCGTACCATCGTCGAACTAAGTGAGGCGCAAGTTAGCTGCGAAGCTCCCGATTGTGAAAAGAAAAATAACAGATGGAATATAGCTTACCAGCTCGAAATTGACACGACCGGCCTTGACACCACCGACTTCAATGTCGAAAAAGACACGGGAACGCTCTAACGAGGGGTCAGCAAGAGACAATTCCTGCGCGCGCGGACTGATCGGCAGACCCCGCAGTGGGACACGAACTCTGGGATTCCGCCATGGTGAGAGTATAAGTGCGAGGGGGCGCAACAAGAGGTGACGATAAAGAGGACGGAAGTGAGTGTTGAATTGAATCTCGGAATGAGGTGAAGTGGAGAGAGTAAAAGTGGGGGAGGTGTTGGAGTGAAGGTGGAAGTGCAGGTGGAGAGGAGAAATTGGGGTGATTCAGGAAGCTTCCACGGGCGGTGCAGGTGCAGCCTTGAGTAAACTACTACAGGTAGGTATAACTAGTAATTTATTAATACCGATGTCTATTTCTATATATATATATACACATGATTATTTTGGCATCTCTTCATCATTCATCACATCCTTTTCTTTATGCCAGCAGTTCTGGGGGAATCGTGAACTCAATCGTCGTGCCTGAACTGCTATCCTTGTCCTTATTCTCATCTTTGGGCGGTTTGGGCTCCTTCGGTTCTTTCTTAGGGAGATTCGTATTGATTTCGATCGTGACCTATAATCTCTGTTAGTTCTCCAATTCCATGGTGACGCAGGGAGGAGCCAGAAAGACAAAAGGTATATAGTTACCACTGCGTCTTCACTGGTGTAGTCAACACCCACCGGCCCATCATTCTTCAGCTCGACCTCCATCATAGCCTGGAAGACTCCATTCTTCACTCGATCTTCCTTGTATGATTCCCGCATTTTATTGTAGAAGTGGTCGTAGACTCGGCGCGCGGTGACGGCATCGGCCGCATCGTGAAAATCGGGCTTGTTGCCCTTCTTCATCTTGCCATAGAGAGTGAACTGGGATACTTGTAGGAGTTAGTATGAGTGCATTGAAACATCAAGAAATCAGGGAAAGGGAAAATGGAAGCCGAAACTTACCACAAAGTACTTCGCCCTCAATTTCCTGCACGTTCTTCTTCCACTAGAGTTGCATGTCAGCACTGGCCGAGATGGCAATACCAATACCCCAACACCATGCGCATTCTTACTTGACTGCCATTCTCATCCGGCCAGAACTTGGCCTTGAGGACTTTGTTCACGATATTCTCGGCTTCCTTCTCGGTATCCTCCTTCCCCACCCCCGCTAATACTAGCAGTCCCTTGCCAATGGAGGAGATCAACTCTTCATCCACCGTGACCGAGGCCGACTTGACTCTTTGGATAATCACTGAACGGTAAGCTTCTTTTTTGTCACAATTCAGTTCCAAAGACCACACACCTTTCATTTTTCTGTGTGTGTTTGTTGTTCGCTGTTTGCGCACTCGTTTGACTGAGTGGACAAGCTCCGCGGGGAAAATTGAGCTCTAGCTCGGGGCCCGGGGTAGACGTGGCGCAAATCAACTCGTGAAATCAACAACGGCTCTGACGAAAATAGTGGTCACAAACTGTGATGGCGGTGCCTGTTATTATTTTCCTGTGAGATTAATGTTGAAGTAGGTTTTCCCATTCATATTCGCCGCACTTTTGGTTGATCCATCGGCGACTGCCTTCCAGACCGCCTGCCCAAGCCGGCAACCCTTCATTCTCCAGCCAAGCGGACTTCCAATCCAGCAGCAATCTACGTTTAACCCTCTGGCAGCGACTTCTTGGTTTCAAGCTAGTCCACACCCTATCCAGAGACAGCTCTCTTCTATCCATCGATTGTGCAACCATTCAACCCTCGGTTGCACACCACGAACTACAACTCCGCCCCCACCGCATCATCATCACCCCAGTGGACCACCCCAGTCCACACCTCCAGTCGAATGCACCATGGCGTCTCGTAA